AGATTACAGGAAATAAATCTATTATTTGTTACTCTACTTACATATCCATTCACTGAAATGAGACAAGTACAGAGAATAGTTCATTTTAAACGAACACCTGCAATTAATTCCACAGCATGCTTCCATCGGAAGCCTTATCCATAAGTTATTAGAAATCTCTTTTCTCTCCTCCCTGTTTTAATCAGGACCACTTGCCCTTGGCTTTGCAGTGGCAGCTTCATCCCAAGGCCCAGGCCACTGGCTCGCAGGCCCCAGGTCACTCTAACCTGGACATCTGCTGTCCCTTTACTCCGGATTCCCTGGCCCAGGGGTCTTGCTAACGCACCCAGGTGTAGGAGCTCGGTCACGATGGCCTTTCCGATGCCCGTGCCCCCGCCGGTGACGATGGCCACTTTGTTCTGCAGCAAGCCGGCTGCCAGGCAGCTCTTCAAATGAACCAAAGAGCTCATCGCCACGCAGAGTCCTATTCCAAAGTGCAGGTCTTTGGAGTGCTACTGTGGACCAGAGCTCTCCAAGGTGGGCCGAGCTAAATATCCACGTGACCCGAAACCACGCCCCATCGAGGACACGCCCACCCTAGCGAAGCCACGCCCACCCGCGCCGGCTCCCGGAGCCCCGCCCGCCCGCCGCAGCTGCTCCGGAGCCTCCCAAGGCTACTGGCTGGCGGCGGCTTCATTGAGGTCCGCATCCTCTGTGGGTCTCGGACCCCGCTCGTGTGGGTGAGACTCCTTGTTCGTCTTGTGTGTGTGTGCGTGTGTGCGTGTGTGTTTGTGTGTGTGTGTTATTTAGATGACGGGGGCAGTGGGGGTGGGCAGGAAAGCGGGAGGATGCTCTATTTTGAAAATTGGAATTCTTGCTGCTGACGCTGTCACGATGAATGCAAATGCAATTATACTGTCCAGTGCCTCTGGGACTAGCCTGCTGCTCGGGGACCGTCCTGCCCCCGCCCCTGACATGGAGCGATGCTCCGCTGCCCCGTGTGCCTGCGGCTGGCTGCAAAGGAAGGAAAGAGGCAGGTTTGCTGGGAAGGAAGAGAAGCAGACATGGGGCTTCCAGATCTTTTCTTTTCACCGCAAAGGCGAAATCAAGAGAATCAGAGTGCGGGGTGAGGTGGGGGTGGAGTGGGGAGGGGGGCGCATTGTGGGTAAGGGGGGAGGGTATAATTTCAATTGTCCACAGAACCAAGATAACAGATGGTTTTAAAAATAAACTCAATCTCCCTGTTCCCCCTCATTTCCTCGCTTTCTCTCCCCCCCCCCTCCCGCCACCCCATCCATGAAAGACCGGGGGGTGGGGGGGTTGTTGGGGGTGGGGGGGGAAGCAACCTTGACTAGATCTGGTCTATACATGAGACCAGATCTGGTCTATGCATGAGTTCAAAAGAGGGTCTTTACTTTGAAGGGTGCATGCTACCTACAGAAACGGGTTTTCCACCCTGTCTAGTTCATTCTGTAAGGTCTGCGTGGGCGCTCCTCTCCTGAGGATGGGGGGAGAGAGGTCTCATTTGTTCGGAGGTCCTATAACAGATACTCAAATTCTCCTTGTTTCTTTTGCCGCCAGTATGTCATCTGTCTAAAGTGACATTGATAACAGCTGGTCCATGAGACGGGATAGCACATCTAGGAGGGTGCTGAGTGCTGTGGGTTTTAGCAGTCCAGGGGGGATGCTGTTTGTAAGGCTGCTATCAGAATTCCGCATTCGTCCCCCCCACCACCACCCATCTTAAACTACTGTGAAAAAGCAAACAAACATCATCATCCTTGGGCTTGGCCCACCACCTCGGAGTCACAAAGGAAATTGGAAATGAATGGCTGGTTGAGAGTAGAATCAGACTGTACTTCCTGTCTGATCCTCCGCCTCTTGCCCTTCCTTGACCTCCTTTGAGAAATACTTGTCCCTCTTTCTTTGTGGCTAACAGATGCCAGTCTGCACACAGTAAAGAAGGGAAGAAATTTCTGTTTCCCATTTGCTAGAGTTTATCAAGGAATCATTTGAATTTGCTGCTCAAAAATCAATTCTATAGTCATAAGCATTAAAAAAAAACCAACTATACCACCCATCATTTCACTTTTATTATTATTATTATTATTATTATTATTATTATTATTTTGGTCTTTTTGGGTCACATCCGATGATGCTCAGGGGTTAGTCCTGGCTCTGCACTCAGGAATTACTCCTGGTGTTTCTCTAGGGACCATATGGGATTTCCTGGGATCTAACCTTTGTCGGCCATGAACAAGACAAACACCCTACCTGCTGTATTATCACTCTGGGCCCCCACCAATCACTTCTTTTATTTATTATTATTAGCGATAGCACAGCGGGTAGGGCGTTCGCCTTACAAGCGGCCAACTATGGCCGACCCGAGTTCGATTCCTCCGCCCCTCTCGGAGAGCCCGGCAAGCTACCGAGAGTATTCGATATGCCAGACACAGTAACAACAAAGTCTCCAATGGAGACGTTACTGGGCCCGCTCGAGCAAATCGATGATCGATGATTATTATTATTGCTTTCTGGATCACACCCAGCATGCACAGGGGTTACTCATGGCTCTGCACTCAGGAATCACTCCTGGCAGTGCTCAGGGGATCATATGGGATGCTGGGCATCGAACCTGGGTCGGCTGCATGCAAGGCAAACGCCCTACCTGCTGTGCTATCTCTCCAGCCCCACCAATCACTTCTTTTAAAAATATTTAAATAGGAAAATTCAAAGAAATATTGCAGAAAAATAGAATTCCTAGTGCTTTGATCCCAACAGGAAAAACACATTGATTCAGTTTATCATTTCAGAAAATTCCAGGCTTTTCTTTCTTGGGAGGAAGGAATCTTTTAAGTTGCTCGTAGGGGGTAATTTGGGGGCCAGATATGATTTAATAATCTTTGAGACTTAGCGTGGACCTATGGCTTCATGGAGCTCTGTCAAGGTGGTCAGAATGGGCCTGGCTGTGCCCTGCCTCTGTTTTGCAAGAGAATTAAGTAAGAGCGATTCTGCCTTCTCCAATGAAAGGTGACAGAGCTAGATTTGAGCCGGCCCTGCTTGATGCTGAGGATGACCAGGGGGCCAGTCCTCAGCGGGAAAGAAGTTGGAGGAGGAACCCTTGGAAAACTCTTTTTCGTGACAGGCCTGTGATGAAGAGAGATGTGGGGGCTGAGAAATTGTCTGTTCCAAAATATAAAAAGCATCACTTCTTTGGGGGAAGTAGGCCCACCCTCAAGGCCTGGACGCCCAGATATAAGCTTCCCCCTTGAAGCCCTTTGTTTCCAGAATTGAACTCTGACCCCTGGTCTCACCCTCTGCTCTCAGGACACTCCCACTGCAGTAAGGCACTGACTGCCCCTCTGGCGGAATCCAGTGTTACCCAGCTCTTCGCCTCACTGCCGGCTTTGTCCTGGGGAGAAAAAAGGCAACAATGTTGCCAGAATCGCTCCCACCCGTCATCCCCCATTAGCTCTGACTCCCAGCCTCGCCAGCGCTCTCCCTGCACCCCCCCCCCCATACTCCCACCCCTTCCCTCCCATCTGCCATTCTCTCCCCTCCACGAAGCAGCTGCTGGCTCAGTCTCACAAGAGCCTCGCCATTCACACTCACAGTGCTGTAAGGATGCTTCTAGCCTTGTGCCACCTTGAGATGAGATGCGCCCTGAACCACCTCCTACTCCTATCACTTTTCTGAGTTAGCGGCAGTCAGGAAATATTTCTTGAGCTAGGTGGCAAATACTCTGCAAGGCACGGGAGATAGAGAACAGTGGACTTTGTGGAGTTTTTATGTAAGTATTTTTTTATTTTATTTTACTTTTTTTTTTTTTTTGCTTTTTGGGTCACACCCGGTGATGCACAGGGGTTCCTCCTGGCTCATGCACTCAGGAATTACTCCTGGTGGTGCTCGTGGGACCATATGGGATGCTGGGAAACGAACCCAGGTCGGCCACGTGCAAGGCAAATGTCCTACCCGCTGTGCTATCGCTTGAGCCCCTGTGGAGTTTTATTGTAGCATGCTTGTACATTGGGAGTGGGGAGGTGGAAAGGGTCTATGTGCCGTGGGAGGTAGGACTATATCCTAATAGAAGATCAAGTAGTGAAGATCAGATTTTCCAACTCTTACCACAGGAGATGCCCAGAGTCCTGTAAGCACATACTCTCACTGCTGGGATTTCTTTCCTCTGTAACCTCAGAGGTCCCTGACCCAATGAACTTGCCTTGGAATATGAGAATTTTCAGAACCCGGCAGTTTGGCCGATAATAAGAGAATCTGTGCTTGCAGGACCCCAAAGGAGCCTGACTTGCAATGATTCACAAAAAACTTGTTGGCAGCTCAGAGCTTTAAGTTGCTGTTCCATCCTCCCTTGAATGCCTTCACAAAAATGTGAGCCAAATTTCCTTCTATCTTCACAAGGGGGAGAGGAAGGGCTAGTGGTGGTTTGTGGAAGTACAAAGGTAAGCATTTTATTTATTTATTCATTTATTTTGCTTCTTGGGTCACACCCAGCAATGCACAGGAGTTACTCCTGGCTTTGCACTTAGGAATTACTCCTGGCGGTGCTCAGGGGATCATATGGGATGCTGGTAATTGAACCCAGGTTGGCCGCATGCAAGGCAAACGCCCTACCTGCTGTACTATTGCTCTAGCCCCCAAGGTAAGCATTTTCTTCGTTGATTTTGTACAATTAGAAAAGCCTGTCTACCCCAGACAGCTGAGAAGTGACCTGTGAGGTGACAGATACACACATCAGAGGTGACGCGAGGCCAAAGCCACTGGAGTATGGTAAATGAGCCTGAAATGATGATGTGCCAAGTGTTCAGAGGGGTAGGGTGCAGAACAAGCTCGTGGCCTTAGACTGTTCATCCCTTTGTGACTTTGCTTTTCTATTTTTCAAGTGGAACCCATTGGTGGGACAGCTGTGTCTAGCCCTTTCCTGGACAAAGCTCTGTGATGTACGGATTCTGAGTGCCAAAGCCACTAGACTTTTTCCCGAGGTATCAATCTACATCAGGACCAGGATGGAAGAGCCAGCACCCATAGAAAGCGAGAGCCAGCTCCCAAGCCCTCAGCAAGGCTCTTTGAAGAAAACCGTGGCTGCCCTGACCCTGGATGGGGAATCCACTGTGAGTCGCAGGAAGAAGAAGAGAAAAGAATCCCGCCCAGAATCTATCATCATCTACCGGTCAGACAATGAGCTGGATGAGGAGCCAGAAGAATCAGAAGGTGGAGACCAACCTAAAGGGGAGGAAGGTGATGATTTCCTAGATTACCCTGTTGATGATGGTAAGTCTCTTCAGGCCCACTTGCTAAAAGTCAGTGGAGTGGGGCTGGAGCAATAGTACGGTGAGTAGGGTGTTTGCTTTGCACACGGCTGACCCAGGTTCGATTCCCAGTATTCCATATGGTCCCCCTGAGCACCGCCAGGAGTAACTCCGGAGCATCGCCGGGTGTGAACCAAAAAGCAAAAAAAAAAAAAAAAGACAGAAAAAAAGAAAGAAAAAGAAGTCAGTGGAGTGAGACCATGTCTGAATTCTCTAGAAAACAGACAGACATTTGTAGCTGGACCAGGGTCTCCTTGTTGTTACATTTCTTTGAACAACATTGTAGGCTTCAACAAATCAACAGCATTAAGAGCTCTATGATTCTTTCCTGGCTGATACCACCTTTTCACAACTCTTTAATGGAAGGAAGGAGTTATTATACACCAACATTTATAATGCAAGTAGACCATGCAAACTAATGCATGCAAGATAAACACTCTCACATTCACAAAACCCAGAGAAATGCAAACCATGTGACTGATAGTACTCCTTCTCGTGTAGCATGGCCAAAGATCAGGTCAACTATATAAGCACCCAAAGTGAGGAAACAAATGCAGTCTTATATAACTCAGAAGGAAGTGTGGACTTTACTTTGTAGGGAAATGTGTCACTATTTTAAAATCCAAAATATGGGCTGGAGAGATGGTACAGTGGATAAGGCACTTGCCTTGCCCCTGACTGATCCAGATTCAATTCTCAGCATCAGATATGATCCCCCTGAACCCTATCAGGAGTGATTCCTAAGCACAGAGTCAGGAGTAAGCCCTGAGCATAACTGGGTACAACCCCAAACAAAACAATAAATTATATTAAATTTAAAATATATATTCCCGGGGTTACATGTATATTTACATGTATATTTATAATGTATATTTTGCAAATATACATTATACATTTGGGCTGGAGTGATAGCACAGCGGTAGGGCGTTTGCCTTGCGCGCAGCCAGCCCGGCCGAGCCGGGTTTGATTCCTCCACCCCTCTCGGAGAGCCTGGCAAGCTACCAAGAGTATTCAATATGCCAAACACAGTGACAAGAAGTCTCACAATGGAGACATTACTGGGCCCACTTGAGCAAATTGATGAACAACAGGAGGACAATGTATATTTTATTATACATTTATAAAATATTAAATATACATTATAAATATACATCTATATATTTACATTTATGCATTTATAATGTACATTTATAAAATATACATTATAAACATACATGTAAATGTACATGTAAATATACATGTAATCCCTGTACATTGTGGGGTGTGACCCAAAAATTAAAAAAAAAATTAAAATATATATTCTCTTGACCCAGAAATTCTCAGGTTCTCTCCCATGAAACTTAGACCCATCCACATACAGAAGCAAGAGTGAGAATGTTTGTTAATGAAACAGTGGCATGTCTGTATTAAATATTAAACCTCACTGTCTAGACAGACAGATGGGATAGATCTCATTGTGTGACCTGAGTGAGCCCTACAACGTACACACACAGATACTAAGCAATGTCCCAGCTTTCAGCAGCTTCCCTTCCTAGTCAGAGAAATACAGATAATGAATGCGTCAGCAAATCAACATTCATTTCAGGTAATGGTATGAATTCCAGAGACAACTACGCTCGCAATAGGAAGATGAATAATGTTGGGAGGGCGATGGCAGTGAGTGGGTGACAGTAAGGAGAGTTTGTACCAGATGGCATGAGGAAACCTGGAACCAAACATTGTAAAAAGAGGGAGCCTCAAGGGCAGGAACCCTGAGGGAGGAGTACCCCTGCCTCATGTCTGGAAAAAAATTATTTTAGCATAGAGAACGAGGAAGGAAGCAGGGAGAGGAATCAGAAAGGCAGATGGGGGCTAGGTCATGTGGAACACTGCAAATCAGAATCAAAACTGGAATTTGTTCTACTTGCACAGGAAGTCAGCGGAGGACTCAAGCTGCATGCAAGAGGTGGCATCCCCGTTCTGATTTATATACATCTTGATTCCTGCTTTTCTAGAAAGAATGAATTCTGAGGGGAAAGAGTAGGAGTTGGTGGGAGGTTGAGGTCTTAGTCGTGTGGTAGCCTAGACTAGAGAGACAGCAGGAAAGAGAGCTAGAGGACAAAGGCCAAGTCCAGAAAAGCAACTTGGAACATTTTGGAGGCTAGCTTCGTTTTGGGGACCACAACCGGTAATGCTCAGGGATTATTCCTGGCTTTGTACTCAGGGATCACTCCTGGTGAGCCATTGTTTTTAGTGTCAGGGATTGATTGAACCAGGTTGGCTGCATGCAAGACAAGCACCGGGCCCATTGTGCTATCTCTCTGACCCCAGAATTTGCTGATGGCTCAGAGGCAAAGAGTGTTGGAAAAGGAAGTATCAAGATGGGGCAGGAACAACATAGGATACCCAGGGTGGTGTCATTTATGGTTCTGTGGCAGATTGGAAAAGCACTGGCTTTGGGGGAGTATTATACTTGGGCCATTGGTGTCTTTGTCACTATCCTGGGCCCTTCTGCTGTTTCTTCCTTCTGACAGTGACAGGGCCGGGTATTCATCAGGTCCTTGGGGACACACCAGCCCAAAGTCTGTTCTCCTTCTCTCCCGCCTTTCACTTCTAGGTTACATTTGTCTATCAAGATCATGAACTTTTCTGCAAAACATCTCTAGTCTCTCTCCCAGGGTGACCACAGATGGCTGTTGGGTCATGGTCGAGGAGTGTATAGGGGCCTATGTGTGAGTGTATGCGTGTGTGTGAGTGTTGGGTTGGAGGTTACAAAGACAGGTGAGGAGGCCCCCCTCTCGGGGCAAACCTAGAGAGAAAAGTGAGAGGGAAAGGCGTAGGCAGTGCATATAATGTACCCACACCACAGGGTTCATCCACACTGGCTGATACTTATAAAATTTTCATGTACCCAAAGATGAGAGATAAGTCCCATATATATTTTTTAAATTCATTCTTTTTGTTGTTGTTTTGTTTTTGGATCACACTCAGTGGAGCTCAGGACTTAGTCCTGACTCAGCACTCAAAGATCACTCCTGGTGGAACTCAGGGGACCGTAGGGGATGCCTGGGATTGAACCCAGATTAGATGTATGCAAGGCAAGAGCCCTACCTCTTGTAGTATCACTCTGGCCCGGAAATAGGATCCTTATAAAGTAGTATCCCTCCATAGCATAGAGATGATGCTCAGAGTGAGGTTCAGAAAAGTGAAGCCAGACCAACAGGGAGCAAGTTGGACCTGCTCCACAATTTGATCAGTGATCACACTAAGAGTTCACATATAGTTTTGTGTCAGCCTAACAGTGCCAATGGGCGCTCGCCTTAGAGCGGTTCAGGTAGGCCAGCACTGAATCACTAACCCCAGTCCCCTGCCAAGTGTGGTAAAAGAAGACCCTACACATCCTTACCCCCAACCCCTGCCCCTGCCTACTTGCAAAATTCCCTCTTCTGATTTCACCTCCTCCACCCTCTGCAGACATGTGGAACATCCCCTTGGACAGCCGCTACGTGACCTTAACGGGGACCATCACACGAGGAAAGAAGAAAGGTCAGATGGTGGACATCCACGTCACATTGACGGAGAAAGAGCTGCAGGAATTGACGAAGCCCAAAGAGTGTTCACGGGAGACTGCCCCCGAAGGCCTAACGGCCTGCCAGATGGCGGCAGACCGCGGGCCCCATGTGGTCCTGTGGACGCTAGTCTGCCTGCCTGTGGTTTTCATCCTGTCTTTTGTCGTCTCTTTCTACTATGGCACCATCACCTGGTACAATATCTTCCTTGTGTACAACGAGGAGAGGACCTTTTGGCACAAGATCTCCTGCTGTCCCTGCCTCATTCTCTTCTATCCAGTGCTCATCATGGCAATGGCCTCCTCTCTGGGCCTCTACGCTGCGGTGGTCCAGCTCTCATGGTCCTGGGGAGCCTGGTGGCAAGCGGCCCGGGACATGGAAAAAGGCTTCTGCGGCTGGCTTTGTAGCAAGCTGGGGCTGGAGGACTGTTCTCCTTATAGCATTGTCGAGCTCCTTGAGTCTGATACTATTTCAGGCAATCTCTCCAACAAAGACCCCAACCAGGATGTCGAAACTTCCACCGTCTGAGCTCTTTGCAACCTATTAACTTCCTTCTCTTGTTCTAGTAGCTTAAATGTACTCTTTGAATTCCAGGAGACTCAATCTCTCTCCCTCTTCCCCTGGTCCCAAACATGCACAACGTTCTTCTAGAAAATTCTAGCACACTGATCTGTCTTCTTGCCATCTTGATGATTTTAGGAAAGCAGGAAACAAAAAGCAATTTATGCTGAGGCATTGTATCCAATGGACAAACTCTTCTTCATTTCTTGTCCTAGGATGAATATCTAGGACAGAGAGATTAAGCAAAGCAAAGTGTCAGTACAGGATCTTGAAGATGTTGCTGGTGCCTGGAACCATATATGATTAAATATGACAGGGAGAAAAAGGAGGCTCTGGGGAGACCCAAGATTACAAATAAGATGATAAGTCTATGTCACGGTCACGGTCCTCCCGTTGTTCATCGATTTGCTCGAGCGGGCCCAGTAACGTCTCCATCATGAGACTTGTTGTTACTGTGTTTGACTTATCGAGTACGTCACGGATGGCAGAGCCTGGCAAGATGATAAGTAAAGATGGGATATAAGATTTAGGAAGCAGGGTTACCGCAGTATAGCAGAATGTGAAATTTATGTGTTTATTTAGATTTTGATTTAGCTGTCTACAATAAAGTCAGGAAAATGTCAGTAGTTTAGACCAGAAAGAAACCTCCAGAGATGTGTAGAAATAGACCTTCGGGGAGTAGCCTTAGGGGTCTCAGGCTTCTCTTTTTCCCTCCTGGGGTTGTGACTTCATCCTCCCCTAGGTTCAGGGCTGACTTCTTATCTAGCCCTCATGTCCCTGTTTCTGGCAGAAGCAAGGAAGGGGACCAAGATAAGCACATCTCCCCCACTTAAGAACATTCCCAGCATACATCTCACCACCCAGCACCTCTTTTACCTCATTGGTCAGCCTTAATCAACATAACTTCACAAGATGTTGGCAAAGGTAGTCTTATGTCTGGGTGGCTATATTTTGGGATAAATGTTGGAGTAATGTTCATTTAAGAGAAAAGGAAAGAATAACTCTATAGGCAGGTAAGTAAGCATCACTGCCCCACAGTAATTATCTAAATACCTTCAGATCCCGAACCACTACTACAAGCTATTTATTTATTTAAGCCAGAGTCTTACCTAGAGAATTTATATAGAGCTGCATCTGCATATTTTAGGCCTCTGCTACACATAACTTTTAACAACTCATGTACTTTGCAATTCAGTGTCTGTCATGTCATGTGCTTTTTTGGTTTTCGTAGAAACCAAGAGTGAACAGTTGAATATGACTATTTAGTAATAGCATTAACTTTCTTCCTGGTAGAAAAGGTGGGACTGGGTAGCTATGTAGTCTAGCCTAGAGATAGATGACAAAGGAGAGATTACGTCTTTCAAAGCACCCCCCGCACACACACACACACACACACCCCACACACACCAGAAATATTCAGTTATCTCAAACACACAAAAACACAGATTTCTGTTTGGCAAAGCCTCATGCAGATCTTTCTGGCCATTTTACAAACTCCATCTTCACTGAGCTGGGGTGCTTGTGTTTTCATAGCCACTAGGGGGGTTATAAACCAGATACATTCTGTTTCATAAATGCTGAACTTTTTAAAAAATATGAACTTTAAAAAAAATTTTAAAAAACACCTGATGGGTGTTTTTCCAATCTAAAAAAGAATATTAAGAATCCTAAGACTTCAAGTAGATTTTGGAATTTTTGTTTCTTATAAGAATAGCCAATGCCCATTTCTCTCCCCACTGGGGGAGGTGGGCAGAAGGGTGGTATCCCAACGGTGCTCAGGAAGCCTGGAGTCCACTCCTGGTGATTTTCTGCCAACTGGACCTATTGGGTCAATGCTGGGGTCCCAGAATGCATTGCTACTTGGGCCCTGTGGTGCTCAGAGGTCTCCAGGTTCAAACCTAATAATGCTTGGGCGGCCATATGGTACCAGGGATCACACTGGGGCTCTCTACAAACAACACATGAGCCCTAGTCACTTGACTCTCTCCCCGGCCCCCAGTGCCTGTTTCTTGCTTATATTTCAGAAAGAAACTGCCAAGAGAACTGCTAATCCAACAGAGGGTGGGCCATGTTCTCCCACAGGAAGCCAGGACATCTCCACAGAGTGTGGTGCTCATCTCCACTTTCAGAGGAATTCTTTCTCTTTATTTTTTCTTTAAGAATGATTATTAATATGACCAAAACAAAACTTGGCATTTTAAAGATGACCTTGGTGCTCTCTGGTGCTTTACAGGAGATACGGACAACTAAAATGAAGGAAAAGAAAATAAAAATAAACACTTGATAAACATGTGCTGATGCCGTCTCTGAAGTTCTCCAATTTCCTTTGAATGTTACCATTTTCAGAAACGGGTGAGCTGGTAGCAATCCTAGGGAGGCAAAATGTCCTTAACGTGGTTCTTTTTAAAAATTATTACTATGGTTTAGGTACCATGGTTCTAATAGTGTTGACATTTATGTATTGCTATGGCAAGCTACCGAGAGTATCTCGCCCGCATGGCAGAGCCTGGCAAGCTCCCTGTGACGTATTCGATATGCCAGACACAGTAACAACAAAGTCTCCAATGGAGACGTTACTGGGCCCGCTCGAGCAAATCGAGGAACAACGGGAGGGCTTTTACCTTTACCTTTACCTTATACAAAGTTGGCTGGAGCAATAGCACAGTGGGTAGAGTGTTTGCCTTGCATGTGGCCGACCCAGGTTCAGTTCCTTCGTCCCTCTCAGAGAGCCCAGCAAGCTACTGGGAGTATCCGGCTACCTGTGGCATATTCGATTTGCCGAAAACAGTAACAACAAATCTCACAATGGAGATCTTACTGGTGCCCACTCCAGCAAATGGATGAACAATGGGAGAACAGTGCTACGGTGCTACATACAAAGTTACTAGACCCTACCATCAAAGTTAATATGGATTCCTATATCTTTTAAAAATATATATTTTATTTATTATTTAAACTGAATCACAGTGAGATACACAGTTACAAAGTTGTTCATGATTGAGTTTCAGTAATGCAATGTTCCAGCACCCATCCCTCCACCACTGTACTTTTCCTACCACCAGTATCCCAGTTTTCTGCCCCCACCCCCCTGCCTCTATGGCAAAACACTTTTCTTCTTCCTCTCTCTCTCTCTCTCTCTCTCTCCCCTCCCTCCTCTCTGTCTTTCCATGAAGCACTCATTTCTTCTTCTTCTTCTTCTTCTTCTTCTTCTCTCTCTCTCTCTTTCTCTCTTTCTCTCTCTCTCTCTCTCTCCCCCTCCTCTCTGTCTTTCCATGAAGCACTCATTTCTTCTCTCTCTCTCTCTCTCTCCCTCTCTCTCTCTCTCTTTCTCCCTCCCTCCCTCCCTCCTTCCCTTCCCCTCCTCTCTGTCTTTCCATGAAGCACTCATTTCTCCAGGAACCAGTAATAAAGGGAACTAGAATTCCATTGATGAGCTGTTTCCACAGGTCATACACTATCTAAGCATATTCGAAAGTTGCATTCACTTTTGTCACATTTCCCTGGGGACTAGGGTCAAACCCTAAATCAGACATGATTGGAATATATGGAATATATGGCCCTCCCGTTGATCGTCGATTTGCTCGAGCGGGCCCAGTAACGTCTCCATTGGAGACTTTGTTATTACTGTGTCTGGCATATCGAATACTCTCGGTAGCTTGCCGGGCTCTCCGACATGATTAGTATCAGGATTAGTGTCATGAAGGGGTGCCCCCATGGTTACCTGTATGAAGATGACAAGGAGCTGCCCTAGTTAAGTTCGCCACCTAGCGGACAAAGTAGGCTTGTGAGGAATCATTTTACGGAAGGATCAAAGGCTAGAAAGACTGGGAAGAAGGGAAATTATACCAGAAAACACTTAGAGTTCCTTAGTGGAGAAGTCAGGGAATTAAATACCATAGATGAGAACTTTCAGAGTTCCTTAATCTCCAGGGCGAACAGCAAATAGGAGGAATAATCTCCCATTGCTTTGCGGTCGTAATATATGAATGGATCAGCTCTCAGTCAATGCAGTATGAAGATGTCCAAGCTATCTTGTCTGTTGACATTAGGTGGCACTCTTACTCCAGTTCAAGTCCAAGGTGGGAAATAAACCCACTTCCCTGTCTTCCTAAAAAAACGAGAGTTTAGAGGGGTGGAAAGATCCTATAGGGGAATAGGATGGGAACACAGCCAGGAGTAACCCCTGAGCACAGCTGGGTGTGGCCCCCAAAACAAAACAAAACCAAATCCAAGAATTTTTTTTTTTTCCTTTTTGGGTCACACCTGGCTATGCACAAGGGTTACTCCTGGCTCTACACTCAGGAATTACCCCTGGCGGTGCTCAAGGAACCATATGGGATGCTGGAAATCGAACCCGGTGTGCAAGGCAAACGCTCTACCCGCTGTGCTATTGCTCCAGCCACACAAAACCCAGGATTTTACATTTTACAAAGGACTAATTTCAGCTGATCAAAAAGTTTTATTCTGTCATGTTGGGATGAACACTAAGCCCCAGGACCTTCAAGGTGTGAATTTGGTGGCTGTGATCTAGGTGCACACTTGAAGCTCCTGGGGCTGAGTGTTTTATTAGATTATGGATATTAATATACCATACAGATTAGTTGACTGAAACAGCAGCAACTATTTTTTCAACTTAAGCGACTAGAAGCCTGTGATCAGGTAATCTCAAGGTTGGGTTCGAAGAGTTTTCTCCTTGTGTTACTAGAGACACGTTTTTCATTGTGTTTTCTTTTCTTTTCCGTGGAAATACAGGGGTGAGGAGAGTGGGAAGTACTCTAGTGTCTTCTTACAGAGACATTGTGAAAGCCCCTTCCTTTGATCCTAATTTGATCCAGATCCTAATTACCTACTCAGGGCACCATTTCCTAATACACACTTGGGAACATATTTCCTGTCTCTGTGATCAGGCTGAATTTTCTTAGCTTGAGTCTCTGGATGGTCCTTCCTTGCGAGGCATCAGACTGCCACCAGAGTGTAAAAATTGAATTTCCCAGACATTCTTGAAGGCTTTGGCCCTGAATTTGTCCAAGAGTCCTTCCATCACAGGTTACTGTGAAAGTTAGTCTGTCTCAAGGTCACTTCATATTCAAAGGGAAGGGACCACATTAGTCACCTAAATGCTGGTGTGTGTGTGGGGGGGGGGGGCGGGGAGGATGGCTTCTCTCCTCAGGAGGTTGAGCTTTCTCTGGGCCAACACAGAGAGGAGCTGTGCCAGTTAAGAATACTATTTAGGGCTCTATTTCTGCATCTCAAAAGGTGCCCAGCATTCATGCCTTTAGAGCTGAGGACAGAATAACTTCTTTAAATCACATCTTGATTTTATTACTGCCCAAGGAACTCTGCTAGGGGCCTTCCCATAAGCCTGCCTGCAGAGTTCTGTCAATGTTTACTTCAAAGTATTTTACGGATTCTGGTCGAATGTTGAAGTCCTTAAAGTGTTTTTTTTTAATCAACTTCAAAAACTGCATCTGAAGCCAGAAGATGGGAAAGGGACTAAGGCAGTTGCCTAGCAGGCTTCATCTTCGCCCGCCACGTGATTCCTCCCCTGAGTACCATCAGTAGTGATCACTGAGCCAGTAATAAGCCTTGAGCAGCTTGGGGTGTGGATCAAACCCCTACCTCCTTGTTCCCTGAGATGTGTTTGAATAAAAAACATAGAGGAATCTCCTGTGCTTTGTGAGCAAAACCTTACAAAATGAAAGTACTCTCTAGGCCTCAGTGTATTCATAACTCCAGCTTTCTCTGGTGAGGTTCAAAAATTTGGAGCATCAAAGGATTGTGGCCCCCAAGCAAAATAATCCGAAGGTCCATCCCTTCCATCCATCTCTCCAGTTTTAGTAACTGCTCCCCCCAGATTCAATTTTTCAAGAGGGAGAAAATCTGATTGGATTAAATTTTTCAACCTGGGTAGAAGTTACAGACCCCATGCAGAGTTCTCAACCACAGCAGGGTCACCTACAGGCTGTGGGTGATTTGGTACAAGAAACAGCGATTTGTGGGAACTGTACGGCTTGGTCTGCCTTCATCAAAATGAGCAGAGGCAGGGGTGTCTACTGGAAGGGGGCTTTGAGCTCGTCAGGCACAGTAATGACAGTCTGTGCTGCAACTTCCAGAACAGCTCCACAGAATCCAGTGCAGGAATAAAAACTTTGCTTTCTCCCTTCTCTAAACCTTTGGGAAATAGCCTAACCAGAGGTTGCTTCCTGGCTGCAGGCTTTTGAACATCCCATTTCCTTGCAAAAGAATGTCCTTCCCACTTTAGAGTGCCTAAAAAAAAAAAAAATGAAAAATCACTCTCTGACTGAAATTGTTCCCAAAAGTCATTGAATCTATATTAAAAAAAAATCTTTCATCATCCCTCACATTTCCTCTGCAAGTAATACTACACCTTCTGGGGGGAAAGGAACAAACTTCCAGATAAGAGACTTTCTGGATTCAGACTCATGGATATCTAATTCCGAAGTTTGTTCCTTTCCCTCAGATTGCTCCGGCCCCATGTAAGGCAAATGCCCTACCCACTCCACTATCTTTCCAGCCCTCTAAGATTTATTTTAAAATAAATTTGTTTCATTTTAAGTAAATATTTGGTTTGATATATATTTATATAATGAATTTACATACCTATTTTTATGGGCTAGAGCAATAGCCCAGTGGGTAGGGTGTTTGCCTTGCGCGTGGCCAACCCAGGTTGGATTCCTCCGCCCCTCTCAGAGAGCCCGGCAAGCTACCGAGAGTATCTTGCCCGCATGGCAAAGCATGGCAAGCTACCCGTGACGTATTCAATATGCCCTGGCATATTTGATATGCCAAACACAATAACAAGTGTCACAATGGAGATGTTATTTGGCCCGCTGGAGCAAATGGCTGAACAACAGGAGGACAGTAACAATAACTTATTTTTATATAATAGGTATATATATATGTACTATAAAATAAAGTTTAAACTACCCCATATATACAATTATGTATATAATTATATCATTATATATTATTATATATTATATAATTATATATATATAATTATGCCGACCCGAGTTTGATTCCTCTGCCCCTCTCAGAGAGCCCGGCAAGCTACGGAGAGTATCTCGCCCGCATGGCAGAGCCTGGCAAGCTACCCGTGATGTATTCGATATGCCAAACACAGTAACAAGTGTCACAATGGAGACGTTACTAGGCCCGCTCGAGCAAATTGATGAACAACGGGAGGACAATGACAGTGATATATAATTATATTATATAATCATATATTGTAATTATATAATATAATTCTATTCTATTATATAATTATATTATATATTATTAATATATTATATATTATTAATATAATATATAATTTATATATATATAAATTTTTTCAGGGGGAAGGCGGTCCAAGTGGAGAGAGTTTAAGACCCCGTGCTCTGGGCTTAGAGAGCTAGGATGGAGTTGATGCAGGTGAGACAGAAGCAGCTGCGCTGGGGTCTCTGTTCGTTCGCAATTCCCAAGCTCTTCAGTATTTTCTTAATTAGTCAATAATATTTATATATATATACACACACACATAATATTTGTAACATATTCATATATGTATGTTCTATCGATAGAACATACATATATGAATATATTATCTCGAGAGAGATATATATTTGGAGGTGGGTGGGTAAGAAGCGACTTTGTGTAGGTCCCGCTTGGGCGTCCCGAGCCCCCGTTGGCGGGGCTGAGCCCGGCTTCCCCGCCCCTTCCCGGCGGCGCCCGGAACCGAGACGCGCGGCTGCGGGTTCCCGGCCGGAGCGGCGAACGGGGCGCAGGCGGACGGCAGCATGGCCCGGTCGGGGAACAAGGTAGCGCGGTCCCTGGGCCCGGGCGGCCCGGACACGGGGATGTGCAGGCGGGCGCCGTGAGGTCGCGGCAGGGCAAAAGAGGGAGGAAAAAAAAAATTTCCCGTGGTGGGTTGGATCAGGAGGGCAGGTGCGAATTTGGAGGACAGGTGCGGGTTGGGGAGGGTGCGGAGACCCCAAATTTAGCCTCCGCCCTCGACCCCCCGCATCCCTCACCCCTCTCTGCTCATCCTTTCCCTCCCCGATCTCCCCATCACCCGCTCTGCCTCCCCCTCTCTGTCCTCCTACCCCGGGCGTTTTTTTTTTTTAAACCCACTTCCTGCTTCTGAGTTTTGTTTTTTTTTGTTTGTTTTTATGAGGATGCTGGTTGGTCTGGAGATCGCACCAAACTCCACAGACTTCCCTTGTAAGACTTTTGAAGTTTTTATAGGGAATAAAAAGAATAAAAAAAAAAATGAAATGGGCACTGCCCCAGGATTGCTATGCACTCTTGATTATTCTGCCCTGACTGGACGCTGATTTCCTGCGACTCGCTTATAGGAAATGGCTTTAGTCCCCACCCCTTGTCCTGGGCACATCAGAGCCAGGAATGGGACGCGTAGTAGCGCCCACCTTCCAGGTGAGGCATAAAAGGGATGAGCCCCATCCTTGAGGGTGGCAGAATGCAGATTTCAAGCCAGGCTGTTTGGTTTCAGAGTGCTGAAGAACAATTATGAGCGGTGCTTGAGATTACGGATGAGAATTTATTGAATTTTATTATTATTATTATTATTATTATTATTATTATTATTATTTTGCCACACCTGGGATGCTGAGGGGTAGGGATCACTTCCTGGTAGTCCTCAGCGCACCATCCTTATAGAGTGTCGGGGAATCCAACCCCCTCAGCTGCAAGCAGAGCAAGCACCCTACCTGCTATCGGGTCCTTCAGACCTCTGGATGAGGTTTTTTTCCTTAAGAGTTTTTTCTTTTTTCTTTTTGGTAATGATGCGGTAGAGGGTGATTGTTGGAACAGTAGAAGAAGGTGTGGTCCCTGGAGCTAAGCCATCCTTTCCTCCAGCTCTAAGACTAGGTGCCTTTTTAAGCACCTGGTGTAAAAGATAAACAAGGAGGAATTGGAGCAACTGAGCCCTTTGGGAAATGCTGATTGAAATGAGAACATCTGGTTCCACTTGCCTACTTCAAGCCTTCTCTTTTTTCCTTTTTTTTTTTTTTGGTCACACCCAGCAATGCTCAGGAGTTACTCCTGGCTCATGCACTCAGGAATTACTCCTGGCAGTGCTTGGGGGACCATATGGGATGCCGGGGATCGAACCTGGGTCAGCCGCGTGCAAGGCAAACACCCTACGCGCTGTGCTATCGCTCCAGTCCCTCTTTTTTAGCTGCTGAAAGTTACACCTGTCTTGCAGAAAATTAGTACACTTTGTGGCTAGATTTGAAGCAGCCAATATTGTTTCCCTGTGGCTGTTGAATAGCTACTCCTCTGCCCAGTTTCTCTTTCCTAGTTTTACTGCTGACCAGGGAGGACCTTGATGTAATCATGGACTTCTGGTAAAACTTTTGATACGAGTTTCGAATACTGAGACCTGACAAAAAGTCAAAAAAAAAAAAAGCCTTCTGACTTTGGGTTTTCCGGCCTAACACTACTCTTAGGAACATTAAGTACAGTAGTAGTAGTAGTATATTTTTGGATTCTGAGTTTTTAAGTATGCTTCTCCTCAGGGTGTTGTAATCTCGAAAAGTTTGTCTCTGGTACTGCTTCCCAGGAATCTATTAAAGACAGAATGACCAATAGAGAAAGCTTTATTAGCCATAAATATATTGGAAGATGGTAGACTCACCTCTTAGAGGACCATCTTGCTTGTACCATCACTAAAAGTAGTATATATAAGAAAAATGTCAGGGAAGCTTGTATTTTTAGATAGGAGATATTAACTCTGTTACCTGTGATCAGGCATGGTCCTATAAATCAAAAGGAGGTTTCTGATGAATGGCTTGTGATTATCTTCAATTTCTTTTTTGAAGGGAGTGAAGGTTGGACCACACCCAGGGTGTTCAGTGGTCACTCCTGGTGGTGCTCGGAGGGCCCTATGTGGTTCTAGGGATCAAATGGGGGTTGGCTACATGTATGATAAATGCCTTAACTCCTGTTCTAAATCTCCAGCCCCATGATGATCGGTATCCTTCAACCTTTTTATAACCTCAGACCAACACCTGTCAGCATACTGGCCTGCAGACCAGCAGTTAAAATCTCTGTGATAGAACATTGGTTTTTATCTTTTCTATACCTTCAGACTGGCACCTCTACATGGATCGGTTATTGAAGACTGCTGCTTTTTATTATTTAGTTGTTATTTTTCCTTCTGCAGTTGTTGGGGAAGGACAGGGAAAGAAAAATGATTTTTTTTTTTGGCTAGGTCAGCCTATGCTGACCCATGCCCAGACATGTTTGCTGGCTTAAAATTTGAGCCCAGCAACAAACTTGTTTTGAGTTGTTTTCGGTATTGAAATTCTGAAATGTAAACATTAGGAGTTTTAAGCTTTATCACCATTTTCTTTTGAAACATTTTTATTCTGGAAATTTCCTTTTTTTATAATTCCCCCCACCCCCTTTTTAAAAATTGAATCACCGTGAGATATAGTTACAAAGCTTTTGTGTTTGAGTTTCAGTCATACAAGGATCAAACACCCATCCCTCCACCAGTGTACATTTTCCACCACCAATGTTCCCAGTATACCCCCTCTCCCCCACCCCATCCTACTTCTCCCCCTGCCTCTGTGGCAGACGATTTCCCTCTTACTCTCTACTTTGGGACATCATGGTTTGTAACACAGATAATGAGAGGTCATCATGTTTGGTCTTTTATTTTCAGGACACATCTCCCATCCTAAGCGATCCCTCTAACCATCATTGACTTCGTGGTCCCTTCTCTATCCCAGCTGCCTTCTCCCTACTCTGGAAATTTCTTAATATTGGTGTTATGATCAGTCCTTTGTCAATTAGGAAAAAACTGGTCTCACCATGTTTTACCTAAGATATAACCAAATCTGATACAAACTGAAATATAACCAGACTATCTGTAACTTCCCTGAGGTCCTTCAAGTATTTTAGACATGTTAGGGTCAGATCAGTGCTTTGGCAAATAGTTCTTTTACTGATTGCTTCTCCGGGTTATTTCTCCCGTTTAATGGAGTCAGACTAATCTCCCTGCGACTCCCATGATTGCACCCATCTTTTACTCTCATGCAGACTGATCTCATAACAGCTGCCCGGAATTTGAGAGGGATGGTCCTGTTCCCCTCAATCTTACCTGGCTTAGAAAAAAAGGTTTTGGGGCTGGAGAGATAGCACAGCGGGTAGGGCGTTTGCCTTAGACGCGGCCGACCCGGATTCGATTCCCAGCATCCCATATGGTCCCCTGAGCACCTCCAGGAGTAACCCCTGTGTATCACCATGTGTGACCAAAAAGCAAAAAACAAAAACAAAAACAAAAAAAAAACCAGGTTTTTCCAGCTTGTCCTCATGCCATGTATTCTTCAGATCCTATACCAACTTGCTTATTTCATGTTCATTTGTAATTCATCTTCTCATGAGATGTGATACTCTGAAATCTGCAGAGTTTGTTCAGTGTTGTCTGATCAGTATGAACTACAGGTATTGTCAGAGAGTGTTTAAAAAGCTTTCACCCTGGAAAAGAGTTTAGATCTCACCTACTCCAATGGTTATTTGCTGCCTCCATAAAGTAATTGAGATTAAGTGGACATCCCAAGGACTCAGAGCTCTGTTGGCAATAAAGATGGAAATGGTTTCCAGATAGCTAATGTAGTCTCTTATAATACAACCTTTCTTTTTGTTCCTTGAATTCACTATAGTGAATATAATCTATTTTTGTAGGATTCAATGAGATCGAGTTTGAGGAATGTAGTCGCATTGCCAGGTTCAAACAGGTGCTTAATTTAGGATCCGCCCTGAAAGATTTCTATTAATTTAGGTCTTCTCCAGATTATATTAAATTTAAGTAAATTTTGGGTGCTTCATAAAGAATTTTACCTGAATCCCTTTTAGCTTCTCTTTCTCCTGTTGCCTAGTTCCGGTCATGCATTTGGGACCAGAGTGATGGTACAGTCGGTAGGGTGCTTGCATTACACACAGCCAACCTAGGTTCGATCCCCAACACCCCATCTAGTCCCCGGAGTTCCACCAGCAGTGACCCCTGAGCAGAGACGCTAGAGCAAGCTCTGAGCACTGCCAGGTGTGGGCTCCTCTCCATCAAAAAGAAAGATGGTTTCCTACATACATGATAGTCTTTAATGTTGATGCCAGTGACTTATGTGAAGTAGAGAGGAGAGATGACCACTTTCAGTCCACCTCTACCATCCCAAGACAGGCTGGGAAGGCTAGGACTGATTAAATCTGTGGTGAGCCCTTGCGTACCACAGATCTCGAGTCCTGCCAGCCCCACTAGGTAGCCATCAAGCCCCACCTGACCTCCACTTGTTCTGCCTGCTGTGGGAGTCAATCCATGGCACTTGATTTCTTGGGAACCGTAGACTCAGGCTGGAGCAAGGAATTGCTCTTTGCAGGAAAGGAAAGTCAGTCCTAGGTCTTAACCTAGGCCTTCTGGGTCCTTTTCTTTCTCTCAGGAAGGAACGTAAGGAGAAGACGAGAAAGGGAGAGGGAAGAGACAGAGGGGGAGAACACAAAGGCTTCTCCAAGGGAGACACACCCCAACTTTAGGTTTGAGAGCTTTAAAGTACACAATTCAAGAAGGGAGATGTGGGCGACACTTGTATGTGGGCAACGCATGCACTTTTCCATGATATGTGGACCCAAGCAGCACGTGGTTGTAGGCAGCATATCTGTGTGCTTCCTTCAAGTTGGTTTTTATAAGGTTTTTCCAATCTGCCCTACTTGGGGCTTTCTATCCATGTCAGACTCTGTCCACTGCTAGAGTAGTCGCCAAGGGGGTAGAGTTAGGATTGGTTGATGATCTTTGACATTCCTTTCCTTGGCCTTTGTTCCTGCTGGAGTTTCTCTCTGAAGGCAGGGTTCAGCCTTATCTGGGGCTGTTGGCACCAGGTAAAGGTCTTACCATGCCTTCGTTTCTGTGTCCACAAGGTGGGTTTTTTGCAGTCGTAGGGCTAAGTTGGTTTTATTACTTCCCAACGAATTCCATTGCCATGGAGGCCCTTCTCAATCTACCTGCCTGCTTCATTACTCTCTAGAGATTTTACAACCTTACATCTTTAAGGGGAAAATGACCGAAGGTCAGCCTTACATAACTTCAGAGTCGATGACTCCCTAAGAAAGTGGGTGATGGGGATTAACTCCTGTGCTGAGCAGAACAAATGCATGTCAGGTGTAGCTTGACAGCTATCTAGTGGGGCTGGCAGGACTTGAGGTCCGTGCTGTGCAGGGGCTCATCTCAGACTTTATCGGTCCCAGCCTTCCAGCTGATCCCTGAGTGGCAGAGTTGGATCAGGAGGAAGGGCTATCTCTCTTGTCTATTCAGGGTGGAGGTGCATTGGCATCAATGTCTTGGTATTTTTGGTAATTTTCGGCCATATCTGGCAATTCTCAGGGGTTCCTCCTGCCTCTGCGCTCAGGAATCACTCCTGGCAGTGCTCAGGGAATTGTATGAGATGCCGGGGACAGAACCCAGGTCAGCAGCATGCAAGGCAAGAACCCTCCTTGCTGTACTATTGCTCCATCCCCATAACTTGGTGTCTTGATGTGCATCCTTTGCCTGTTGTAGTTTATTTAATGGATGCTTCCTCATTCTTTAGACTCACCTGAGGATTATATCCAAGAAACCTTTTCTGCCTCCTTTCCTCGTCCCCAGGCTTGAGTAGATGCCCCTCCTGTATCTTCTCTGTATACCCTCAGCATACTTTATCCTGGAATACTGTGTTGGTATTATTTCAGTGTTCCTTACTCAAATAGGTTTTGTATCCTTGTTTTTAATTTTTTTGTTTTTTGGTGCGGCTGAGGGTTGAGCCCAGATCTCATGCACGCAAGGCATCTAGTTTGCCCCTGAGGCCTCTTCAGTTTAGATCAACAAGTTTACAAATGATGCAAATTGTTGGGGTGGTATATCTTTTTAGCCTAGATAGATTGCAGCAGTTACCTTTTGCCACAAAAGTGCTGGCTAGCATATTATATTCCCAGTAGCTTCAAATAAAGCTACACATTATCATGCTTGTATGTCTTCAGATCAACTACCGTTTGATGTCTTTTACGTGGGCTAGGCTTAGCTTTCTTTTTTTTTTAAATTTTTATTAGTGAAACACAATGAGGTACAGTTGTGTAGACTTACAGATTTTTGTGCTTGGGTTTCAGTTATACAATGATCAAGTACCCATCCCTCCACCAGTGCCCATTTTCCACCACCATGGATCCCAGTATCCCTCCCACCCCCCATACTCCCCATCCCACCCTACCTCTGTGGGAGGGCATTCCCTTTTGTTCTCTCTCTCCTTTTGGGTGTTGTGGTTTGCAAAAGAGGCATTGAGTGGCAATCATGTTTGGTCCATATAGACTTAGCTTTCTTACCGCACCCCTCGGTGGTGGGTTTTAGGTCTCCCCGTTACTCATCACTGTGGTTTTATTACTGGACTTGGGTTAATGTAGTAGCAGCTCCCTGATGCATATCCCTGTTTTTTATAAACTGTCAAAGTTTTTTATAAACTGTCAAATCACTAACACTGTCATCTCGTTGTTTATCGATTTGCTCGAGCGGGTGCCAGTAACGTCTCCATTCGTCCCAGCCCTGAGATTTTAGTAGCCTCTCTTTACTCGTCTTTCCCAATGCTCCATATAGGAGGCTCTTTCAGAGTCAAGGGAAACAGACCTGTTATTGTTACTGTGTTTGGCATATTGGATACGCCACGGGTAGCTTGCCGGGCTCTGCCGTGAAACTGTCGTAAGACTATTTAAATTTCTCCTGGTGTAAATGTATATGTCTGATATGGTCTAACAGAATGCTTCTCCTTGATCATGTATGCTCTGAATATCAGTGCAAGTTCTGTGGGTAAAGCAGCAAAGGATTCTTCTTTTTTTTAAATTTTATTGAATCACCATGAGATAGTTACAAGCTTTCATGTTTGGGTTAGAATCGAACACCCATCCCTCCCAGTGCACATTCCCCACCGCCAATATCCCTGGTATATCCCCCCGCCGCCTTTCCCACCCTCCCCCTGCCTCCATGGCAGACATGATTCCCCATACTCTCTCTCTACTTTTGGGCATTATGGTTTGCAGTACAGACACTGAGAGGTTATCATGTTTGGTCCTTTATCTACTTTCTGCACACACAAAGGATTCTTCTTTATCTTATGACCCTTGTTAATATTGGCCTAAGAGATCTCTTTGTGACCCTGCTTCTAGGCAGCTGTTGTGCTGTGTATGGATGTGAGCTCCGCCATGAATGATTCCTTCATGGGTGAAGAGTCCTCATTTGAACTAGCAAAGAAGGTGATAACCATGTTTGTCCAGCGACAGGTAAGTTGCAGACAGGCCTTTTGTTAAAAACCTGTCCTTGCTCCTTGTTGCGTTCACACAAGATTCCAGCCTCTTTACAGTGTTCAGCCTCAGGTTTGGGGGGAATCAGAAGTTTGTTTTGTGTATTCTTAACATACAAATTTGGCTACCATTAGAGCCTGATTTTGGTGGGGGGGTTGTTTTGATTTTGGTGTCGGGGCCATGTCCACCTTTGCTAAGGTGCCAACCCTGGCTCTATACCGAAGGACCATGCCTGGTGGTGCTCAAGGGACCACATGTAATGCTGGGGATCAAACACAGGTCAGCCACATGTAAGTTCCTTAATCCTGTACTATCTCTCCGACTTTTAGGGGGAATGTAAGGTATAGTGGTTAAAGCCAGTCGGTGATGGTTTGACTTTTTATTCTACCGTGTCATTACTTAATGATCTGTACATCCTGGGGCTGGAGCGATAGTACAGCAGGTAGGGCATTTGCCTTGCACGTGGCCGCCCTGGGTTCAATTCTTAGCATCCCATATGGTCTCCCGAACACTGCCAGGAGTAATTCCTGAGTGCAAAGCCTGGAGTAACTCCTAGGCATCGTTGGGTGTGACCCCCCCAAAAAAAACAAAAAACAAAAAAACAACTTTACATTCTTCACTTTCTCTATGCTGATTCCAGCTCCTTTTGCTGGTAATAAGTGATCCCCAAACTTAGTGTCTTAAAGGACATTTTTCAGGAAGTGCTGCTATGGGTCTGTAGGATAATTAAGTGGCTCCGTTGGGTGATTCTGCGAGTAGTAGCCTGAGATTCCCACGGGAGAGCCGCTGCTTCTGAGAAGGAGTGGCTCGAGCAGATACTCTGAAAGAATTCCTTTGTGGCACTTTAATGACCTAGCTTAAGAAATCCAAGGAAGTCATTTCTCTTGCTTTCTATTAGGCAAGCGAGTAAGATAGTCAACTCACATTCAAGAGGGGTTGGGTGGTGGGAATTAGACTTGAATTAGGAAGTAGCTTGGAAAGAAGGCGGGGTGGGAAGGAATGTATGGTGCCCAGCCATAGTTATCACATATGGTGGCTCAACCACAGTGCCTCAGTGTCCCATGTCTGAAATGAAAGAACACAGTAATCTTTCTCAGATGACTACTATTGTTGTGTTTTGGCTGAATAAAAAAGTTAATGTAAGTAAACCATAGAAGAGTGTTTGAAGTGGTGTATATACTGTATCAGGATTAACAATTACTGTTGCTGTTATTATTTCTGTCCCTTTCTGCCTGGTCTGTCTGCTACTTTTGCCTATGAAGATTTGCTTTATTCCCTGGGTAATGCTGCTCTTGGAAACTCTGCTCATTCTCTTGGGTTCTGCCTTTTCCCTGGACACTCCTGTGTCCCACCTGCCATTCTAGATTTTAACATGTTCTGGTGACCTGAAGTCCCTAGTGTGTCCCAGAGGAAGATGATGCCATTCTTAATTGTTGTTATCTGAGTTAATTGTATCCAAGTAGTGCTGCTGTGTCCCAGAGTAGTAAATATATGTGTGTATATATATGTATATATATAATATATATGGGCTGGAGCGATAGCACAGCGGGTAGGGCGTTCGCCTTATAAGCGGCCAACATGGCCGACCCGAGTTCGATTCCTCCGCCCCTCTCGGAGAGCCCGGCAAGCTACTGAGAGTATCTCGCCCGCACGGCAGAGCCTGGCAAGCTCCCCGTGACGTATTCGATATGCCAGACACAGTAACAACAAAGTCTCCAATGGAGACGTTACTGGACCCACTCGAGCAAATCGACGATCAACGGGAGGGCCTTTACCTTTACCTTTTATAATATATATAGACTGTGTACATATATTATATATAGACTGTGTACATATATTATATATAGACTGTGTACATAGAATAAATGTAGCATATGTAGTAGCACTGTAGCACTGTCCTCCCGTTCATTGATTTGCTCAAGCGGGCACAAGTAATGTCTCCATTGTGAGACTTGTTCCTATTTTTGGTATATCGAATATGCCACTGGGAGCTTGCCAGGCTCTGCTGTATGGGCAGGATACTCAGTAGCTTGCCGGGCTCTCCAAGAGAAAAAGAAGAATCGAAGGCGGGTTGGCCGTGTACAAGGCAAATGCCCTGCCCACTGTGCTATTTAAATATATATATGTTTACTTAGGGCTGGGCGATAGCCCAGCAGTAGGGCGTTTGCCTTGTGCGCAGCAAGCCCAGCCGAGCCGGGTTCGATTCTTCTGCCCCTCTCGGAGAGCCCGGCAAGCTACCGAGAGTATCTCGCCTGACGGCAAAGCCTGGCAAGCTACCCGTGATGTATTCAGTATGCCAAACACAGTAGCAACAAGTCTCAAAATGGAGACTTACTGGGCCCACTCGAGCAAATCGATAAACAACGGGAGGACAGTGACAGATGTTTACTTATTTATTTTTTTAAAGAGAAATGGTGCTCTGAGTTTTTTTTTTTGTTTTTTTTTTCCCTTTTTTTATTAGTGAAATACCATGAGGTACAGTTATAGGCTTACAAATTTTGTGCTTAGGTTTCAGTTATACAATGATCAAGTTTTTATTTTTGACTCTCTTTCTTCCGTGTTAATCTGAGTGTATCAGGAAGGTTGGGAGATCCAGTCTGTGCTGTTCCCACCCATTGGGGGTTTGGACAAGATTCCCTGGCCTGAAAATGAAAATGAGTTTTTGCGCAGGAGACAGAATTCTAGCTGACTGCCTGTCTCACGTGCTAGACATGCTTGAACAGGAATAGCTGGGTCGTTTCTCCATGTTCACCCAGCACCTGAGGCTAGAGTTGTTAACAGACGGGGGAATTTCACACACCAGACACAGGTGAAGAATGGCAGACTCCGTGCTCATTCCACATGGTGTGGTGTTCCCTCGTCGGCTGTAAAAGGCTTCTGAAAATAAGTAGGTGCTAACAGGGCTGCCTTTGATGTCAGGTCCAAAATACTGTTTTGTTTTTACATTTTATTATGAAGAGTTTAGTAACAGACAAAACCCAAGACTAGTATAACAGAAAGCAATTTCCCCATTGTCCAGGACTGTATAATCCTGAAGTCTTATTTATCTGATTTCTTTTTCTTAAAAAATAAATTGTTGGGGTTGGAGTGATAGCACAGTGGGTAGGGCATTTGCCTTGCATGCAACAGACCTGGGTTTGATCCCCAGCATCCCATATGGTCCCCCCAGCACTGCCAGAAGTAATTCCTGAGTGCAGAGCCAGGAGTTGCCCCATGCATTCCTGGGTATGACCCAAAAGGCAAAAAAAAAAATAAATAAAATAAAAAAGGCCCTCCCGTTGATCATCGATTTGCTCGAGCGGGCCCAGTAACGTCTCCATTGGAGAATTTGTTGTTACTGTGTCTGGCATATCGAATACTCTCGGTAGCTTGCCAGGCTCTCCGAGAGGGGCGGAGGAATCGAACTCGGGTCGGCCATGTTGGCTGCGTGCAAGGCAAACACCCTACCCGCTGTGCTATCACTCCAAAGTAAAATAAAATGTTGCTCCTGAAAGCTAGGAGAGGGATGGAGGCAGTTGCCTAGCATCCCATGAAGCCTGTTCCTTTCTTTCTTTTATAAACAATTTATTAAGTTTTTAACTGATTCACAGTGAGATACACAGTTACAAAGTCATTCATGATTGGGTTTCCGTCATATAATGTTCCAACACCCGTCTCTTTACCAGTGTATATTTCCCACCACGTGTCCTCACTTTCCTTCCTGCTACCCCTCCATCTCTATGGCAGGCAATTGTCTTCTCTCTCTCTCTATTTCTCTATCCCTTCCCCCTGTCACACACACACATACCCCTTTTGGGCATTATGGTTTGTAGTATAGACACTGAAAGGCTATCAGGTATATCCCTATACCTACTTTCAGCACTCATTCCTGTCCAGAGCACTCATTTCCAACTATTGTTGTCATACTGACCCCTTCTCCATCTTTTGCCCCCCACACACTTGTGGCAAGCTTCCAACCATTATCCAGTTCTTCTGGCCCGTCTTTTTCCTGACCTTGGATATTAGTCTCATACTATTTTTTTTTATATCCACAAGTGAATACAGTCGTTCTGTATCTGTTCCTCTCCTCTGACTGATTTCACGCAACATGATAATCTCCATGTCCATCCATTAGCAAATTTTATGGCTTCGTTTTCCCTAACAGCTGTGTAGTATTCCATTTTGTAGACATACCATAGTTTCTTTATCCAATCATCTGTTCATGGTCATACCAGTTGTTTCTAGATTCTGGCTATTGTATTCTGGTTCTTTGTTTTTCTCTCAGAAAAGAATGTGATGGGGGAGGGAGAGAAAGAGAGAAAGAGAGAGAGAGAGAGGGAGGATGGATGGTGGGAAGGGAAGTGGGAACATTGGCAGTAGAACATTGTATGACTGAAACAAGAGAGAGAGAGAGAGAGAGAGAGAGAGAGAGAGAGAGAGAGAGGTGGGGTGGTGGGAAGGAAACTGGGAACATTGGCGACAAAACATTGTATGATGTGTGTGTGTGTGTGTGTGTGTGTGTGTGTGAGAGAGAGAGAGAGAGAGAGAGAGAGATATGCAGTGAGTATGGAAATACAGATGGCGTTTCTGCCATGTGTTTTGGGCCTCCACAGTATATTCACTGGGTCAAATAGGAGCTCAATTTCTAGTTTTTTGAGCACTGTCCAGATTGTTGAGCCTGTATCTGTCTGGACACCTGAGCACCACTGGCAGCCACTCCTGAGCATCCTAGCTAGGAATAGCTCCCGAGGGCCACCACCCTAAAGCGTCATAGATAAGCTTGAGGTCTCTGTGTATTCCTTCCCAACCCTCTTATTTCTTCCTTTTTCTCAGAGCCCCCCTTAGTTTTTACCTTGAGTATTTTATGCTTTGCGACATAATCATCATTTCTTAATAATATCAACTATGGGGTGAAGCTCTTAAAAATTTATATAATGATTTAAAGGTACATGCAACTTGTATTAATCTTATATCTTTGAGATTTGCTCATGTTGATAAACATTGTTTAAATTATTATTTTTTTTTACTCGAGTGTTGCACAGGGATATTCTGCCACATGTTCTTTATCCTTGAAGATGACAGTTCATTTCTAATTTTCCCTTGTCACAAACAGTGCTAAAGAGAACTTTTCTTGGCTTCTTGCCTCAATTTGCAAGGAGTATGTGTTTTTGTAAATTGGAGTTGCTGATATTCAGAGTGTGAACCAACTGTGTTTTTCCAATATGGAAAATTTGAACCTTAGTTAGTTATCCCACACTAAATATTTTTCAAACAGCTAATAATTATTTTTCTTTCTTTGAGAGAATGAGTCTGATTTGACTGGAAATCATCAACAGCAGTTATCAATTCCCATCTTCTAACATTAAATTATACTGAAATGAAGATGGACCTAAAGTCAGCATAAAATTACCTTCAACCAAATATAAAATGTTGCCTATCAGGATGGCAGGCCGGGGGGCGGGGAGGGGAAGAGCAGGTAGGAGAGGGAACCTGGGGACATTGGCAGAGGAAAGTTGACACTGGTGGTGAGATCGTTCCTGGGACATTGATTGTCTAAAACTCAACTATGAATAATTTTGTGTACCATAGTGCTTTTTTTATTTTTGCTTTTTGGGTCATACCCAGTGATGCTCAGGGGTTACTCCTGGCTCGTGCACTCAGGAGTTACTCCCAGTGGTGCTCAGGGGCCATATGGGATGCTGGGAATCGATCCCAGGTCGACCGCATGCAAGGCAAACACCCTACCCACTGTGCTATTTCTCCAGCTCCACCCTAGTGCTTTAACAGAATAAAACTTCAAAAAAAATTAAGCAGCAACCTCAAAAAGTAAAAGATGGAATCACATAATCTTCTACTAAATGGATAGAATTTGAGAGTACCAGGTTGAGTGAAGCCAGTCAGAAGACAAGGGACAGTTACAGAATGATCTTGCTCATAGGTGCTATGTAAGAAACAGTAAGTGCGCAATAAATACCAGAAGCATCAGGACTGCAGAAACTGTCTACAGAACTCAACTTCACCTGGAGCCGAGAGGAGGAGAGATGGGAGGGGGGTCTTGCGGACATTGGCAGAGGGAAGAAGCACTCTGCTGGTGGGTGTGGTGAGGTGTTGGAACTACATATGCATCAAACAGTCACCAGCTGTCTGGTAAACCATCAGGTTATCCAGATTCACAAGACTATAAACAGTCTTGTAAACCATAATGCCTCAATACAAATGGGAAAAAGAATTTAAAAAAAAAAAGTCATCTTTAGGGTTTATCTTTGACCCAGGGGCCAGTTGTTGAGAATGGCCCCGGGACCTATTACAGGAAGGGATGTTGTTTTTCTCTATGGTACCTCATGACTTTTGACCTCAGGCTCTTCCCGGTTTTTCTCTAGGTGTTTGCAGAGACCAAGGATGAAGTTGCATTAGTCCTTTTCGGGACAGATGGCACCGAGAATGCCCTTGCTGGGGAAGATCAATATCAGAACATCACAGTGCACAGACATCTCATGCTACCAGATTTTGACTTGTTGGATGACCTTGAAAACAGAATCCAGCCAGGTTCTCAACATGCTGACTGTATCCTTTTCAGCCCAAGGAGACCCCTGGAGAAATTTTTGTTTTTGTTTGGGAGGCCCACACCCAGCAGTGTTAAGGGCTGACTCCTGGCTCTGCACTGAGGTATTCACTCCTGGCAGGCTCAGGGAAACATACTGGGTACTGGGGATTGAATCCAAGTCAACCAGGGCCAAGGCAAGGGCCTTACATGTTGTACTAACTCTGAGGAATTTTTCTTAATCTGGGGAATTATAATCTAATTTGGGGAGGCTCTCTAAGAATTCGAATTCTAAGAACATAGATATTTTTGCTTTTGAAAACATGGGATTAAGTGTGAGATTTATTGGATTGTACTGGATACCTAATCTAGTCACTGTGTCCCTTCTCGACACACTAATGACATTGAGAGGTTGAAGGGCATTGGAAAATGAGGATAAAATTTGGACAGAGAATACGGTGGTGGTGATTTAGAATTTAGAAAAATTTGGATGTAGAGTTAATTTTATCTTTTTTTCTTCTAACTAAAAGTACGGCATTAAAATTCTCCATGCTTCTTGAAAGTAAGGCATTTTGGTGCCAAGACTCAAACTGATATCCAGAGGGAGAGGTTTTATTTCTTCTACAGCTGCTCTGATTGTAATGGGTAACTCATTTTTCTAAGCAATCAGGCTATCCAAATTCACTACTGTGTTGGGAGTGAATTAAAAATGCTCCCTTAAGGTTCACTTTCTATTTAAGAATAGATAAATTGTTAAAAAATAGGGATATTGTAAAATGGCATTTTTTTTTCTTAATGGAGTATGTTAGTTGACCTTAGTTTTATTTTTTTCTGGTTATGTGAGTATATGTGAATCACTGTATCACTATCATCCCGTTGTTTGTCGATTTCCTCGAGCAGGCACCAGTAACGTCACCATTTGTCCTAGTCTTGAGATTTTAGCAAGTGGCACATTGGAGCCTCTTTAAGGGTTAGGGGAATAAGACCCATCATTGTAACTGGGTTTTGGCATATCAAATACGCCATGGGGAGCTTGCCAGACTCTGCCATGAGGGCAGGATACTCTTTTTAACCTGCCGGGTTCTCTGAGAACTTCTGGGAGCTTGGTTTTATAGTCTCTGGATCTTGGCCATTGATGGGATTACATGGTGCAGGGGGAGCAGTTGGTGAGTGTAACTGCCTAGCTACTGGAAGAGGGGGGATCTGGGTGGAGGAGGCCCAGTCCCGATCCGAGCAGGCTTGGAGATCTCAGCCCCGAGTCCCAAACACCTGGGTTCCTCTCTGGTTCCTTCATGCGTGAGGCTTGTCCCAGCATGTGGAGAATGGTCTTGAGCATGGCTGTGGCTGGTTCCAGAGATCTTCAGCTGCTGGGGCTCTGCTTGGGGCGGGGAGGGAAACTCAACCCCCCCCCCCCCCCCCCGACCCCTATGAGGACAGTCAGGTGCGGGGGCAGGAGACTCTGCATTGTTTTCTTCCCGGAGCTTGGTCTTATAGTCTCTGGATCTTGACCGTTGATGAGATTACATGGCACGGGGATGGGGCAGGGTGGGGGGGGGGGCAGTTGGTGGGTGTGAATATGTGATAATAAAATCAACTTTAGAAGAAGGGCAGGTACTTGTGATCCATCACACAATTGTGCCAGTGTTATTAAATTTCCAGCATTGTGAACCTCCCCAGGGAAAAGTTGATTGCTGTTGGGGTAACGGGACTGTCTGGGACATCTTCTACCCTTAACTAGCTGAGTCGTGGATGCACTCATCGTGTGCATGGATTTGATTCAGCAAGAAACAGTGTAAGTGTCTACTGAAGAGAGCTGGGAATGAGCCTTTGTTGAAAAAGCAAAATTGTATGAATGTATTCAGCGCACTGCTAACTCCCTGTTCCTCAAGCAGCATATTTGTCTGACTAACTGAAGAAACTTTGATAGAATTAAGTGATATGTATGGTTCAACTTCTCTTCTTTTTTTAATTTTTTTTTTTCAACTTAACCTTCTTTACAAATTTAAAAGGAATGGCGATGGTGTGGGAATTTCTCTGGGGAATATACATATTTGACTGTTTTGGGGTCTTTTTTTAAATAGAATTTTTTAAATTGAATCACAGTTAATTGAGATACAGGTATGAGCTTGGTCATGATTGGTTTTCAGTTATATAATATTCTAATACCCATCCCTTCACCAGTGTACATTTCCCACTACCAATGTCCCCAATTTCCCTCCTGTCCCTCCACCGCCTGCCTCAGTGGCAGGCTCCTCTCCTCTCCTCTCCTCTCCTCTCCTCTCCTCTCCTCTCCTCTCCTCTCCTCTCCTCTCCTCTCCTCTCCTCTCCTCTCCTCTCCTCTGCTCTCCCCTGCCCTCCCCTCCCCTCCTCTCCCCTCCCCTCCCCTCCCCCTCCCCTCCCCTCCCCTCCCCTCCCTTCCCCTCCCCTCTTCTCTCTCCCTCTCCCCCAGCCCCCACTTTTTGGGCATTATGGTTTGCAGTACAGATACTGAAAAGTCATCATGTATGTTCAAGGGTTTAAAGCCTTGAAAATGCTTATCTTTTGACATAGCCCTCCATGCAGATGTATTTCTTGACTATTCTATGGTGCCATCATTTCTCTATCTCTTTACATCACGTGTAACATCTTGCCACTGATCCTGTAAGTGGGCTGTAGTGATAGCACAGCAGGTAGGGCGTTTGCCTTGCACGCGGCCAGGTCGGCCGACCCAGGTTCGATTCCTGCGCCTCTCTCGGATAGCCCGGCAAGCTACTGAGAGTATCTCGCCTGCATGGCAAAGCCTGACAGGCTCCCCGTGGCGTATTCGATATGCCAAACACAGTAACAACAAGTCTCACGATAGAGATGTTACTGGGCCCGCTTGAGCAAATCGATGAACAACGGGAGGACAGTGACAGTGATCCTATAAGTAGAAGCTGGCTGTGGTGTTTGGCTATAAGGCTAAAGTTGTAGAGCCCCGTAAGAGTGTCTAGACTATGTTCTGTCTGTGTGGGGGCTGGAACCATAAGCTTAAGGACCACATCTTTAAAGTTAGAATTAGGCAATCAGGAACGTAATAGATCCATAATGCTTCAAAGTTTTATCCAAGCTGTTACAAGTACGAGTTAGAATTAGGATGATTATGTTTCTAAGGGGACCTTAGCTGGGCACCCACACAATATATGAGCTTTCAGTCATGTTTGTTCATTGTATCCAGCTTCGTTCCTTAGCAGCTCTCTGCTCACTGACCAAGTGTATTTGAATTTGTAGGAACTAATACAGAAGAAAGATTTCTTAACATGAGGACTCTCTTTTTCAGTGGAAAGAAGTTTGAGAAGAGACATATTGAAGTCTTCACTGACCTCAGCAGCCCATTCAGCAAAGATCAACTGGAGACGGTCATCGAGAACTTGAAGAGATCCGGCATCTCCCTGCAGTTCTTGTAAGACCTTTAGAATAATGTTTGTAGACGGATCCCTGAGTGCAGTGAAGGGGATCCCTCCATAGAATACTTGGTTCTCAGGATCTCTCTCTCTCTCTCTCTCCCTCTCCCTCTCTCCCTCTCTCTCTCCCCCTCCCTCCCTCCATTTCTCTCTCCCTCACACTCTCTCTCCCTCTCTCTCTCCCTCTCTCCCTCCCCAAACAACCACAGGTTACTCTCATTATGGTGAAGATGCTCCTGAATGGTCACAGTGAGACCCGGACTTAGCTCAGCAGTACATGTTTTCTTCACTATTCCTTTTTGAACTTTTTTGGGGGCGATGTGGGTAGGGACCCTGGTAGTGCTGAGAGCTGACTCCTGGCTCTTAGGGATCACTTCTGATGAGGTCTGGGGAATGATGTATGATGCTGGAGACTGAACCCAGATTGGCTGCATTCAAGACAAATACCCATTCCTATCTCTCCAGCCTCTTGCTTCTCTATACTTAAAGTCTTCAAGTATTGAGGCATTAGAGGACTCTTTTGAGGATGTACAATTCACTTCTTGATTACATAGAGGAATTTGACCAAATAATTTCCAGATCAATAGTGTCTTTTCTTAAATGGCTCTGGGTACTGGTGTCTTACAGATGGGAGTTGAGAAGAATGTCAACTGAGGAATCATTTTAAACACATAATACTCTCATTTATTTTTCAGATGTAAAGGGTGTATGTACATACATAAAATATCATTCGCTTATGTGTCTGTAGAGGTCATAAACAAATTTTGGGAGAAATGAATCTCACAGTGATTCATTTCTGAAAAATGAATCCTTTCAGAGGCAAGCCCCTCCTTCCTCCCCATGCTCAATAATTTGAATTTTCTCTCCCATGATTTGCGCTTTTTTTTAAATCTTATATACTAAGAGGAAGATCTTTTTGCTACACTAATCCTTCCTTCCTGCTACATCTGAAACCTACATTTTTTTTTTCTAATTTTGGTAAAAGCCGAGTCTTTTTCATGAGTGGTAAGTTACTGGTTTTCTAGGGACATTCATTTTTTATTGTATTTTTTAAAATGGAGCCTCCAGCTCAGAGTGGAAAGTGGCCACTGCCTTCTTTGAAATGCCTGCCACGGGGAGTGAAGAACCTCTCTTGCATGTATGCGCCTCTTAAAGGCTGCTGAGTGTAGCGCTTTTCTGTAGAACTGAAGAAAGAATAGTTCAAGCTTACACTTTCCAAGACCAAGTACTTTTTTAAGTGACACTTTGTACTGAGCTAAGATTCTCTCGGTGTTTCCAAAAGCCAGCTCAACTTCCGTTCCCTGGTCCTAATCTCTGGATGCCTTTACGTGCTTGGTGCGCGCTATATTTCTGTCAGTCATTGGGGAGGGCTGTGTTTGTTTGTCGGAGCAATGCCATGCTGTGTGTTGAAAAGGGATCCACCTTTTCTTCCGTTTGTTCTTTGACTGGTTGTACTTTCTCTCTTGGGTAATATGCTTTCCTCCTGTGCTACAAATCTCTTGCGGGCAAAGTAAAACTTGCCTGCGAAGTTTTGGTATTACTGTTTTGTGCGTTTCATGTGTAACTGATTATTTTAATTTAGTGTTTCCCATAAAGGGTGATACTGCACCCCAACTCCTCTCCCCTTCCCCTTACAGGGGTGCTAGAATGATGGGGGGTGATGGACTTGAGTGCAGTGGGAGGGCCCTTTATGTTTATTTATTTATTTTCATTTAAAGAAGGCCTATTTCCAGGGGGCCACTAAGTGAATTTTTTCCTTTTTTCTTTCCTGCAGAAGGGGGTGAAAGGCCCCATAAGTTTGGGAATCTCTGTTTTAGTTGGACTAAAAAGAGAACAACAGACCAAAGAAGGACTTTATTTTGAGCTGGATTGTTTCTTGGACCTATTTCTCATTTCTTTTGCTGACGCAGAGAAGGTTTATTTCTAATCCAAATCAGAGTAGAAAAACACCTGTTGTTGTAACTTCTTTTTTCCCAGGAGAGATTCCCGACTCTTCCTTTTCCTGTCATTTCCCTATTGAATATCCGAGGGGCCATCCCCTGCTCCCTGGACACTCTTTACCTGGTGGCCGTGCAGGACATGTGACTCTGCCTTGCTGAATGCAGAAGCAATTTAAACAAGGAAGCATCCTTCGCTAGAGCAAGTCAAAAGCTAGGCAAATTATTGTTAAACTCATCTTCTGCCTAGTGTTGACCAGCAGGAAATGTTGAGTGAATCGAAAAGGCTGCTGAACTCAGCACTTCCCGGTTTCCAGGGACAAAGAGATGAGGTTAACTGCAGTGGAAAGAATCTTGCTTCTTCTGTCAGCTGGATGAGCCTTGTATTAGTAGTTTGTTTCTTTTGGGTTTGGGGGATCACACATTGTGGTGTTTAAGCGCCATTCCTGTCTCCACACTGAGGGATCACTCTTGGAGGTGCTTTGGGATGCTGAGACTTCAAACCAGAGACAGCGGGATGCAGGGCAAGCCCCTTAACAGCTCATGTATTTTTTTTATTTATTTATTTTTTTTGCTTTTTGGGTCACACCCGGTGATGCTCAGGGGTTATTCCTGGCTCTGCACTCAGGAATTACTCCTAGTGGTGCTCTGGAGACCATATGGGATGCTGGGAATTGAACCCGGGTCAGCCGTGTACAAGACAAATGCCCTACCCGCTGTGCTATTGCTCCAGCCCCACTCATGTATTATCTTTCCTCCCCCTTAGCTGTGCAGTTGTGTATAAATGATTCCATCTCTGTAAGTTTTGGTTTCTTTTTAGAAAATAGTGATAGAAATCTCTGTATACACTGATATGAGGATACAAGAAGAATTTTTGTTTTCATGTGAAAGCTGTTACAAAGTACCATATAGGTTATTATGAAATATACTTGGTTGGCTTATTTTTCAATTTGTACAATTATTAGGGAGTATTCCCATGACTGGTAAGCTCAATCTAGTTTTAGTCTAATTTCAGTCAAACAATTGGAGTGAAACGCAAATACAAAACTGCTTTCATTTTTTTCCAGCAATTAATGATTTCTGTATAGAAATCTTGTGTCAGCCATAATAATAGCATTGAGTTCTAAGTAGTTTGAGGTCTTTTATTTAATATTTATAATAACCTTGAAAAATTTTTTGTTTTCTCTGAAAGGAAGTACAAAGTAGAAACATTCTCGGCTTGAGGATAGTAAAATGACCTTTTTGCCAGTGACTAAGCATCCCAGACAAGGCTCAGGGAGAGAAGGAGCTTCAGATCTCTGGAAGAGTAGCCCTGGGCAAGATCGTCAGTTCTCCAGTTCTCTTATATTGCTGCCGCCCCGACAAGTGGTCAGTAGGAGAACAGAGGGCCAATGTGTGCAGGTTCGCCCAGGACAAGCTGCCACTGTCCGCTGTACTTCTCCTCGGAAGGCCAGACGGAGAGAGAAAGAAGCAACAGAGACTGAATGCAGCCAGTTGACTTTAGCCAATGCCAGTGGCAAACCTCTGGCTGGCTCTCACCGGATGCTGTAGTGGGCACAGACGTTCAGGTTCTCATCCTCAAGCTGTCAGAACTGAAAACCAGGGACTGGTGAGCCAACGGCCGAATTCAGTAAAAGATTGAATTTAGGGAAACAGAAAGGAAGGGAGAGTGAGACAGGGAAGTAGCCAGGTTATGGGAGATGGGAGGGGTCTCCTAAAGTAGAATTCTCCCTTGATATATTTTCAGTGGGTATCACTTGATCACTTGATCCCCCGTTATTCATCAATTTACTCGAGCGGGTGCCAGTAACGTCTCTATTCATCCCTGTTGCGTGCTAGCGTAGCCCAATGGCATCTGTTCATTCTAGGAACATGCAGAGCCTCAAACCGATCATTCAGGGTCTTGACGAAGAAGTCTGACCATCTTGTAGGTGGGCGTCCACGCGATCTTTTGACGTCCCGTGGAATCCAGTCAGTCATGGCTCTAGTCCAGCGGTTGTCTGTAAACCTCATTTCATGTCCAGCCCATCTGATTTTTGATGCCTTGGCAAATGAGACAGCGTCCCTGATTCTTGAGCGTTGACGGAGATCGGAACTCCGGATTCTATCTCTCATTTGAGTGAATCATGATATTCCAAGCATAGCTCTTTCAATTCCTCTTGGGGAGACCCAAATAGCGTTCTCATCATGTTTTTGTAGGGCCTCAGTGGGTATATGTTTGATTTTTGTCTCCCTAGAATACTCTTCACCATTTTTTAGGGAACATTCCCTGTCTCTCTCTTTCTTTCTTTCTTTCTTTCTTTCTTTCTTTCTTTCTTTCTTTCCTTCTTTCTTTCTTTCCCATTTTTAGGGCCATACCCGACTATACTCAGGTACTTAGGGTCTACTCCAGGGTTTGTGGTACTCAAGGATTACTCCTGATGACACTTAGGGGACTATATAGGGTGCTGGGGATGCAGCCCAGGTCAGCTGTGTGCAAGTCACTATATAGATATAGATGACATATAGATAACACAAGAGTTAATAGTTTAAAGTGTAAAAAACAAAGTGTAAAAAAAATAGTTCAAAGAACACCTTTCCTAATCTTCTATCTCCCCAGCCCTCTCCCTCCTAAACTTTTTATCTCTTGACTTGAATGAGGGCTGATGTGTTTTAGAGCTAGCCCTCCATCCACCACTGATGTCGGTTTTGGATTTTTTTTCAAATCAGAAAGTAGAGATCTCAATGCTCTCAAATGTTGAAGTTTGGGTTTGTATTCAAAGAGGATGCAGAGGAAGTCAGTCACAGACTGAAGCCAGCATAGTGGCAAATGAAGACAAAAGGGAGGAAAAGAGAGGTCCAGGGGGAGGCATGATCTCTGGGTGTGTGACACTCTAGCCTACTCCTCCAAGATGATGTGCACCCTGCCCTTACCGTGATTTGATTATGTAACTCAGTTCCACTAGTGGAATGCAATATTAAGGTAGATTAAGTAACATTGGATAGATGAGAAATTTGAAGCATGGAGTGGTTTCCTGACAAGCCCATTCTCTTCCGGTTATCGAGAGTGCGTTTCAGGATTGGAATCCTTTCAGACTTGGCTTCTGAGCTGGTCTTAACCCCCTCCCCTCTTTCCCTTCTGATAGCCTGCCTTTCTCCATTGGCAAGGAAGATGGAACCGGGGACAGAGGAGATGGTGACTTCACCCCAGCCCGTCACAGACCCTCATTTCCTCTGAAGGGAATTACTGAGCAGCAAAAAGAAGGTATTCGGACAGTGAAAAAAATAATGACGTCTTTAGAAGGCGAAGAAGGGCTGGAGGAAATTTATTCCTTCAGGTAAGAAGTGGAACTCTGGTTTTTCACAAATTTTAATTGTAACTATAAATTTCTCTTTTGATTAAGCACTTCCTGCAGCTTTTCTTTTTTTGGGCCATCGTTGATTAGGATTTGTTCTTTTACATATACTTTGATGATGATGATGATGATGATGATGATGATGATGATGATGATTAAAGAAATGATCCCAAGCCTCTAATCCTTATTTGAAATTTGTATGGGTGGCACAAACTTCTCATTTGTATCCAGGACAGTTCATAATGGTTAGAAACATATAGATAACACGAGAGTTAATGGTTCAAAACATAAACACTGAAATCATAGGTTTCCTCTTTATGCCATGGGATCCTTCTTTTTCATACACTTACACCCACCCCAATTTTTAATTATAGAAAGTGGTGTTATATCTGAGAAATATAATATTCTCCTGTCCTCTGATTTATGATTTAGGAGTCTGCACATGATACTATAATAATTTAAAGATAAAAACAACTTGTGGTCTCAAAACAGTTTGGTCAACGGGAAAAAAAATTTAAAAAGTAAAAACAAATAAAGGCGCTGGAGCGGGAGTACAGTGTATAGGGTGTTTGCCTTGCCATGCGGCTGATCTGGCTTCGATCCCCAGCATCCCATATGGTCCTCCAAGCACTGCCAGGAGTAATTCCTGAGTGCAGAGCCAGGAGTGACCCCTGAGCATCGCTGGGTGTGACCCAAAAAGCATAAAAAAATACGAACACCCCTAAATGGAAGAATTTATAGCCTACTTAGTTTATGTGGTTTTTCAGGCATTTTACATTTCCTAAGTCACTTTGTTTGCTTTGTGCTCAGAGATTACTTCTGGTAGGGCTCAGGGGACAGTATTTGGTGCCTGGGAACACTTTGTGTGCAGGTCACTTTGCAAGAAAAGCATAAGGGAAGATCCCCTATATCTCTGGCCCCTTGAAGAGCTTTTTTATTGCCCCCCCCTCCCGGATTTTTGGGTGATACACGGTGTTGCATAGAAGTTACTCCCGGCTTTGCACTCAGGAATTACTCCTAGTGGTGCTTGGGGAATCTTATGGGGGCTGGGAATCGAACCCGGGTCGGCCGCATGCAAGGCAAACACCCTACCCCCTTGTACTACTCCTCCAGCCCCTTGAAGAGCCTTTTTAACAATAAAGAAACCCCTCTCCCTCAACCATCCAGTTAAAAACCGTAAAACCATTATAGTGACTTTCTCCTTTATTTATCTCAGTTTTGTTTGAGATTAGACTACATTTAGTTGGCACAGAAAACTGGAGAGGGAGAAAAATATCATCTTGAACAGTAGGTGCTTAAGAGGTGTGGTTTGATGAAAATGAAGACAGTTCTTTACCATATAGTGTGACTTATGTACTTCAAGTTTTCACAGATATTACTTGGTGCTCCTGAATTAATTTCAGTTTATTAACATATAAAATGTACTATATGCAAAGTTCTTAAATAAAGGTTCAACAGTTAGCATTTTGTCATTAGCTACAGTGCATTTCTGCTCAAATTCCTTCTCACAGTACCCTCCCCCCCCAACACACACACATACACACACACAATTTCCTCCTTCCTTTTTTTTTTTTTATTTTTTATTTTCTGGGACATACCCAGTTGTGCTCAGGGCTTGCTTAGGAATCACTTCTAGTGGTACTGGAGGACCATATGTGGTACCAGGAACTGAACCCAGTCAGCCATGTCTAAGGTGAATGGCTTATCCACTGTACTATTACTCCAGCCCCTCAGATTCATATTTTAAAATTATTTTTAATGAGAGCCCAGAGGGAGTTAAGGGGTTAGTTAAGGTATTTACCCTGCATGTGACTGACCCCATTTCAGTCCCTTGAGCACCACAGGGAATGATCCCTGAGCATAGGCTAGGAGTAAGCCTCCGGGTTAGGGTTAGGGTACAGCTGGATCCTCCCACCCCCAAAGAGAATTTCTGGTGATTGTAATTGGCAGGCAGTATATTCCGATTGTCTAAGTACAAACACTTGAAAAATTATAGATAATTGGGGAAATTCATTTGCAGTTTCCCAGCGGGTGCTAAAGAAATCAATGAGGAATCTTGTTCAATAACATTTCTGTCATATTATTAGAATATGCATTTTGATGTGTTCCTAATTATTTTGCTTTCAAATCTTTTTCTACTGTGAAATATACATCTCTCAGCTAACATCTTTACCATGTTATCATAGAGAAAAATTATTTTCCTATCTCATAACAAGGGCAGAGTCTCCTGCCTCTGCCCGAAATGCCTCCTTCCCACTCGGAGATCCAGGCAAGCTACCGAGAGTATCCCGATCACATGGCAGAGCCTGGCAAGCTCCCTGTGGTGTATTAGATATGCCAAAAACAGTAACAATAATGCCTCTCACTCCCCTGACTCTGAAAAAGTCCCCAATACGCCACTGGGCTATGCTAGCACGTGACAGGGACTAATGGAGATGTTACTGGCACCAAATTGATGAACAACAGGACGACAAATGATACAAGTGATCATAACAAAAACAGAAATTACTTTGTATTGTCCTAAGAATTTGATGCTGCATTGTTTTTTGGTGGTCTTTTTTTTTTGCCCCTGTGATTGATGTTTTGGGCCGGCATCCCTTATAATCTCCCAAACGCCACCAGGAGTGAATCCTGAGTTCAGAGCCAGGAGTAACCCCTGCTCATTGCTGGGTGTGGCTCAAAAACAAAACCAAACAAAAATGTCATAAGGGACAGATTAGACTTGGGTCACACCCATTCATTCCCCTAAGAAATTCCAAACCGTGGTGTTATCATAGCTTTGGAAGGAGTATGTCAGGTAAAATACCTATTAGTTGTTCTGAAATTATTTCTGAAACTTGAAGCCTCTTTGAGACCTCTTTGCCCATCACCAGATGATGTCGGGTAATTCTCTTTGCCTCTTTGCTGCGCTGCTTTCCCTCTGTGCTAAGCGGCTTGTCGTCTGGACCATCTTTTAATATGTTTGATCATTATTTTTTTTTATTTCAATGACGGCCACGAATTGTACCTATCTCCTTTAGTGTTTCTTTGTGTGAAGAGAACAGAAAAAAGGTTAAAAAATGTTTTTTTAGTTGAATCACTGTGAGATGAACCCGTACACAGCTGTTCATGATTAGGTTTCAGTCATACAGTGTTCCAACACCCATCCATCCCCCAGTGTACATTTCCCACACCAGTGTTTCTAGTTTTCCTCTGTCACTCCCCGCTCCCACCCCAAGCCTACCTCCGTGTCAGGGGTGTTCTCTCTCTCTCTCTCTCTCTCTCTCTCTTTCTTTCTTTCTCTCTCTCTCCCCCTCTCTCTCTTTCCCCCATCCTCTCCCTCTCCTTTCCTCTCTCCCTCTCCCCTTTGGGCATTGTGATTTGCAGTACAGGTTGTTGTGTATATCTCTCGTCCAGTGTGATCATTCCCAACTATTATTGTCATACTGGTCTCTTCCCTATCTTACCTGCCCTTCGCCTCACACATACTTGTGGTAGATTCCAGCCATTGACTAGTTTTCCCAGCCCTTGTTTACCCTGCACTGTCCACGGCACTGTCCTGCGCTTGTCTCTCGTTGTCCATCAATTTGCTCGAGCAGGCACCAGTAACGTCTCCATTGTGAGACTTTGTTGTTACTGTGTTTGGCATATCGAATGCATCACGGGTAGCTTGCCAGGCTTTGCTACTCTGGGTAGCTTGCCGGGATCTCTGAGAGGGGCAAGGTGGTTGATGTTTTGGGCCAAGTCGGTCACATGCAAGGCAAACCCCCTACCCACTGTGCTATCGCTCCAGCCCTGTTTACCCTGACCTTGGATATTAGTCTTCTACTTTATATTTTTATCTACGCGCCCCCCCCCACACACAAATGAATGCAGTCATTCTATATATGCCCCTCTCCTTCTGACTCATTTCACTCAGCATGATACTCTCCATGTCCATCCATTTATAAGCAGATTTCATGACTTCATTGAGAAAAGGTAGAACTGACCTTGACTTTGTGTTCCAGGGCAGTAGCTTTCCACAGTGGCTACTATCCCAGTTCTGCTTCCCTGACTAATAAAAAACCTGGTTATCTGCTTTGTCTTAAGACTAAATAGGGACTGCTTGTTTAACTCTCCATCACATGCATAGATGTATTGTGACTTTTATTTAAGACAATTGGAGTTAGCTAATGAATTGTAGTAGCTATGAGTAGCTATGGGCTGGAGCAATAGCACAGCAGGTAGGGAATTTGCCTTGCACATGGTCGACCCGGGTTTAATTCCTCTGTCCCTCTTGGAGAGCCCGGCAAGCTACCGAGAGTATGCCGCCCGCACGGCAGAGCCTGGCAAGCTCCCCGTGGCATATTCAATATGCCAAAAACGGTAACAAAAAGTCTCATAATGGACACATTACTGGTGTCCGCTCGAGCAAATCATTGAACAATGGGAGGACAGTCCTACCGTGCTATGAATATTACTGCTAGAGGAGAGTGTCTGCCCATTGATAGACTAGATCAGTGTTTCTCAACTTTTTTCCAACTGTGTCTCCCTTCTGAGTCTGCCTCTTCCCTGCGGCCCTCCTGTTCTACCACTTGGCCCCCTATGAACACTATTTTCACCTGTGACTCCCTTGGCCATAGAGCGCCCCCAAGTAGAAACACGCTATTCTAGAACGAGGAAGGGCTCATCAGCTGCATGGTTTTCAGAGAGTTGGCGAACCCTTTATAATGGTGCCTAATCACTTATGAATATACTTTTTATCATATCCTCGAGATGTCTTCGGTCCTGAAAAAAAAAAGATGTTAAGAACAACTGAGTTGTTGGCTGAGTTGAAGGGAGAGATTGAATAGGGGAAGGTAGTGATGTTCCTTTTCACCTGTCAGCAGAGTAATTTCAGTTCCCTTTTCCGAAGCCAATTCACTTGTATTCTGGCTGTCTCCCAACTTGTGGTTGTCATTTTCCTGCCATCCCCCGCTATTCAGCTCTTTATGATCAACAACAGCTCACTTCTCATTCTAGAAAACTGAGCACAGTGTTCAGCCAAGTTAACATTTCAAAATTGTTGCTTTCATTTTACATTTTTCTTCAGTGAGAGTCTGAGACAGCTGTGTGTCTTTAAGAAAATTGAGAGGCGTCCCATGCCCTGGCCCTGCCAACTAACCATTGGCTCCAATTTGTCCATAAGGATTGTGGCTTATAAATCGGTAAGTGGCAACGTACACATTTTTTAAAGAAGTGTTACCAGGAAGACAAATACGCTTATATTTGGAACTGACAATTCATGTGTGGGTTATTCTGTACCATAATTACTGCTTCCCTAACTGCTCTCCCTGTTCATTTAATCTCTATTTAGCTTTTATGTAAAAAGGCTTTCTTAGGAGAGGAAGTTTTAAGGACGGTCTATAATAGAGTTGATTTCCTTCTCTTTCTTTCTCTCCTCTGATAATTAGTTGTTAATCAGGAGTTACAGGGCTTTGTCTCTCTTGTGCTCTCTGTCTCTGTCTCTTTCTCTGTCTCTCTCTAAGTAAAATGCTCACTTAGGTTATGCTATTGTAGTGTCAGAGCAGAAATACAGTATTCACCAGAATTAAGTTTAGAATTTTGGAAACTAGTTAACTAGTAAGCTAGTTAAACTATTAATTCACTTATTGATGATCTGGTAGTCATAGCATCTGTGAAACATGAAAACTATTGATTGTTACTGTGAAATTTCCATTTGTAGTGCATATACTGTTGTATATAAAATATGAAAGTGGAACGTTCTAGGTGAAAAGGAAGCTCAGATAGAGAAGAGAGCACCAAATGAAGGGTGTTGTGAGGACCCTCCCAGGGTGGGAGAAGCATGCTAAAAGTAGTCTATAGACCAAACATGATTGCCACTCAATGCCTCTCTTGCAAAACATGGTACCCAAAAGAAGAGAGAGAGAACAAGGGGGAATACCCTGCCACAGAGGCAGGATGGGACGGGGGGGGGGGGGGGGGGATGGGGGGTTGGGGGGGATGCTGGGACCCGTGGTGATGGATGACGGGCACTGGTGGAGGGATGGGCACTTGATCATTGTATAACTGAAACCCAAGCACAAAATTTGTAAGCCTATAACTGTACCTCATGGTGTTTCACTAATAAAAAAAGAAAAAAATAAAATAAAATATGAAAGTGGATAGCTTTATTCTTTGATGGAATCTCAGTTTGAGCATAAGTCTAAATCCTTGCCTCCACAGGATCCTCCTGGCCTTTGTTCCTTTAAAGTACAAAATAAATGCATAGATACATTTGCACAAAATATAAAAAAACATGTTTTTCTTTTTTCTTTCTTTTTTTTTTCTTTTTGGGTCACACCCAGTGATGCATAGAATTTACTCCTGGCTCGTGCACTCAGGAATTACTCCTGGCGGTGCTTGGGGGACCATATGGGATGCTTGGGAATTGAACCTGGGGTCAGCTGCCTGCAAGGCAAATGCCCTACCTGCTGTGCTATTGTTTCAGCCCTGAAACATGTTTTTTATACCCATGTCTTTTGTGTTTATAAGATTAGCTACCACATACACTCACACACACGCACACACACACTAAATTCATAAAAAAAAACTTTGTCTGGGTTTCGTTTAGTCCTAGAATTGTGTTCCTGAAAATGAGAATACAATTTTATCCCTCTTTCTATTTGCATTTTTAGGCCTTTTGATTTTAGATCTTTTCAGTAGACTTCTCTCTCTCTATTCAGTTAGAAAACTGTAGTAACAAAATATCTTCTCTTTCATAAGGTAGTCTAGAGTCTTCTTTAGAAAGTATATGCAGACCAACACATGCTAATATTTGCTGGATGAATTATCCTAAGGGGAGGGAGTGAAGTGTAGAAAGAGTTATGAGGCAAACTCAAAATTCCATACTAGGCCATAGCGAACAAAATAACTTAGAATGATTGTTTTCTTTCTGTAGATCAGAGAGTTTTATTTTTATATTGGTTGGAACCCTAACTTCCCTGTTTCTCATTTTTCTTTTGCAAATTAGATTGTACAGGAGAAAGTTAAAAAGTCTTGGACAGTTGTGGATGCAAGAACCCACAAGAAAGAAGATATACAAAAAGAAACCGTTTATTGCTTGAATGATGATGATGAGACGGAAGTTTCGAAAGACAATATCATTCAAGGTATGTCAGGGAGAGTTTTCACTTTTGCCCAGGAGATTTTCTTCAAGGTGCCAGGAGCCAGGCTAGGGTTTAGCAGTAGTCTTTGTATATAGTCATTTCTGAGTTCTTTTCAATCTTTTTTTTTCCTTCAACTCCGCCAGAAGCTCCAGCTCTTTGAGGATCACAGCACTCGGGGTCCTTGGATCTTCTGCTGAGCCTTAGGAAGTTATGTCCTGGGAGCACACTCCAGTTCTCTAGCTTGTCAGTGTTCCAGTGATAGAACTTAATGTTTACCTTTTTTTTCTCCTTAAGTTTGAAATTTAATAGCTAAGAGAAGGTTTAGATTAAAGTGGCTGAAGCAAGGTTGTTTTTATTTTTTTTTTTAATTTTTATTTTTGACTTCCAGAGAGGTTGTTTCTGTGAGTGCTAATTTTAGGTCCTAATAACATGAAAAAGATGCTCCCTTAAGGTAATGTAGGAAATGAGAAAAATTATTTGTGTTTGTTATATTGCTTTAAGTTCACTAGGATCTTTAAAATTGTGCTTTGTATAATCAACCTATTTGTTTCGCATGCTAGCTGGCTTTCCTATCCGGAGTGCTTAGAAGCCAAGAGAGAGTATCTAAATATTCAAGACTGAAGTTGTAAGATTCCAAACTAAGGAGGGATAGTACAGTGGGTAAGGTGTTTGCTTTGCATGTGGCTGACCCAGATTTGATCCCCAGAACCCCCGTAGTGTACCATGAGTCTGTCAGGAGTAATCACTGAGCACAGAGCCACGAGTAAATCCTGAGCCCAGTTAGATGTGGCCCCAAACAAACTTATTTTGTTATTTTGATACCAAATAAAAGTTAAAAAGAGACCGTTATGACAATAATAGTTGGAAATGATCACTTTGGACAGAAACTGAGTGTTAGGAGATATGCCTGATAACCTTTCAGTGCTTGTTTTGCAAACCACAATGCCCAAAAGAGGTTGGGGAGAAGGGAGGAGAGACGTAGCGGGGGATGGGGAGGGAGTGGGCAGTGTAGAAAGAAGAGAGGAGAGGAGAGGTGTCTCATTGGTGATGGGCAATGTACACTGTTGAAGGGACAGGTGTTGGAACATATATGAGTGAAGCCCAACCATGAACAAGCCCAACTTTGTAACTGTGTGTCTCATTGTGATTAATTAAAAATATTTATTTAAAAACCCAACTTTGCATACATTGCCAGACTGTGCTGCCCAATATATATTTTTTGTTGTTGTTTTCTGTTTGGGGCCCATGTCCAGTGGTAGTCAGGGACAATTCCTAGTTCTGTGTTCAGGAGTGACCCCCGGAGGTGCTCAAGGAGCAATATATGGTGTCAGGGAATCAAACTGGGGTCAGTAGGATGCAAGGCAAGTGCCTTAGTCTCTATACTATATTCCCAGCTCTCCAATATAGCTTAAATTTGCAAGCATTGAGAAAATGATTTCTTTAAAATTTCTTTAGGCTTCCTTTAAAAATACTGAGTCACAGTGCTTGTATTTATTTGTGTTTCAGGATGTTGGGGAGAGAATGGTTAAAGCTGATGATAGTTATAGTATCTTTCTTTGTCCTGATGGATTAGGTGTAGAATATAATCACTGCTAATGTTTATATTCACTTCAGTAATACAGGGTTGTTAAGAGCATGAATTTTGGAGTCAGGCCTTGATTAGAATCATAGCTCTATCTCTTACTAATCATTTAATCCTAGTTATAAATGACACACCCAGGGAGCTGGAGTGATAGCACAGTGGGTAGGGCGTTTGCCTTGCACGAGGAAATTGGGTTCAATTCCCAGCATCCCATATGGTCTCCTGAACACCGCCCGGAGTTATTCCTGAGTGCAGAGCCAGGAGTAACCCCAGTGCATTGCCGGGTGTGACCCCCCCCCCCAAAAAAAAAGATACACCCAAAGGAAGAAGAATAGCATGGTTAAAGACCAAAAAAGTGGTGGGTCTTCCTGAGGATATCATATAGTTTGTTTGCTGTATCACTGTCACTGTCATGCTGTTAATCATCAAATTACTTGAGCGGGCGCCAGTAACGTCTCTCTTCCTCCCAGCCCTGAGATTTTTAACAGCCTCTTACTAGTCTTTTCCCAATGATTGGAGGCTCTTTCAGGGTCAGGGGAATGAGACCTATTGTCGTTACTGTATTTGGCATATCTAATACGCCACGGGGAGCTTGCCAGGCTCTGCCCGTAGCTTGAATACTCTCGGTAGCTTGCTGGGCTCTGTTTGCTGTATTTGAGCATATACAGATTAGCTCTCAAGGGCAGTATCTAAAAGAGACTTGCATTTTCTCTTTTAATCTTCAAAACAAAGTAATGAAGATGGCATCCACTAGTGTTATTTCCATTTTACGGATAACAGTTTCAGGCTGGAACACATTAATGCTTTCAAAGTCATAAATCTGCCAGCCAGCAGAACTTGAACCCACAGTTGCCATGCTTCAGGCTTTCTCCCTACATGTTCCTCTGAGTTAGGAAGGGTTTTGAAGGATAGGTTGAAGAGTTTCTGGTTCATTTTAAAAACAAAGCAGTGTTTGAGAACGAAGTCGACCACGGAGTGGGTATGGGGAGGGGATTGGGTTGAGGTTGGTGGTGGTGGTGATGGGGGTGGATAGAGGGTGTAGAGCACTGTATGCACGAATCCCTGTCATTAGCAGTATCATAAATCGTGGTGCCTCTAACATAAATAGAGCTGTTAAGTTTGAGAAGCAGTGTTATTAGGGCTATATTTTAGGAAGTAATATGACAGTTGGGTGTAAGAAGAGTTGGAAGGAAAAAGGACTAAAGATAAAGATGCAGTTCTTTGGGTTGCAGGCAAAGAAAGCTGCTATGATTATTTTAAGCAAAAAGAGATCTCGCTGGTGGAATATGGAGAGGGAGGTGTTAAATTTGTAAGTTCAAAACCATCGATAAATACGCAGTGTTTCTCCCTTATCTTTTTTTGCGATCACCCACTGTTCTCTGCTGTCTTCCCCCTTTAGAAGTAGAGTTCTTTTTCTTCGAGGCACTAGTGGTACACGTGGGCAAGAGAATATCATTATATATTCTATTCTATACCTTTTGCCTTTTACAGTTTAATTGGAGTTGCTGATTTATTCTTTGAATGAATGGCAGTTGGGGGAAGAGGGGTGGGGCTTGTTTGGGGGCCACACCCAGGTAGTGCTCAGGGCTTAGTTTTGGCTTTGTGCTCAGGCATCATTCCTGGAGGGACTCAGGAGACAGTATGTGGTGTGGGGCACGAAACCTAGGGTGGGTTCATATAAGATAACCCGCCTCACCGGCCATACTACCTCTCTGGCCTAAGGTGGTTTTATTATAAATTTCAGATTACTGTCATATGATTCAATGAAAAGAACAAATTGAAAAACATTTGGTTTAAGTACCACACTTTATCATCTGCCATACATTTTCTTAGTTTTTTTTTTAATTGGAATTAAAAAAAAATCCATGAAAATAGAAATGTTTCCCACTAGAAACAGGAGTAAAATAGAACTAGAAAATAGAAATGTGTTCACCAAATACATGACATTAACTCTGGGATCACATACTGAGTCCCAAACATACAGAAACATAAAAACATAAACGTTTCTCTTTTCTTTTTCTTTCTTTCTTCGGGGGGTTAACATTGGGGTGGGGTGGGGTTCATATCTGGTGGTGCTCAAAGGCTACTTCTGTCTCAGTGCTCAGGGAAATGTATGCACGTATGCCACTGATCAAAGTCAGCCTTCTATATTCCAGGCCTGTTGAGCCCTCTCTGGCCCCACGCAGGCACACCACACACACACATACACACACACACACACACACCCCTTGAAGATCTTGATGCTCCATCTCTCACTAAATGCAGGACTATATACTGAGAGGAACTTGAGCTAACCTAGAGCAGAGGCCCTGAATTCATATTGGTGTTGTTTCTTTAAGTAGCCAAGAATCTATATTTGTATGAGTAATCTAAGTAATTTTTTTTAAAAAAAGGAAAAAAGATCACCAGTTCCAATAACAAAATACACTTAAATGCAGAAAAATATCCAATTTATCAATTCAGTGTTTCTAAAAAGAAGAAATGTTGACTGCTTCCATTAGGCATTTATATATTTCCAGCATTCATTTTTTGGCGAACATTATGTTCCGAACATTTCCTAGGGGCGTTTTTCTCCGTGGGTTTCCAGATTTCAGAATAAATGTGTTTTTGTTATTAAGTTTACAAATCACGCTTGTACTTGACTCAACCCTGGTTTCATCTTTGGAGGATAACCAGCACATTACATTTTTCCACTTTCGTTCTTCTAGGCTGGCTAATCGTTAAGGTAACTAGATTGCAGAAGATGCTACTTAAAAAATGTAATTAGATTTTAATCGTGTCTATAGCGTATGTGTTGTTCGCGTGTCTGCACCTTCTTTTTCCCCACTGATCACAAGGGGCAGTAATTTGATTCTAGGAAATAGTATGCATGGAAGCTTGATCTAGGGTGTGCATGTATTGTTCATTGTATTTGGAGGGCTAATTTCAGCCTGTGGAAAACGAGGCCCCATATGCTTAACAGATGCGCTTCTCTTGTTCTCTAGGATTCCGCTATGGGAGCGATATCATCCCTTTCTCTAAAGTGGATGAGGAGCAAATGAAATATAAATCGGACGGAAAGTGCTTCTCTGTTTTGGGATTTTGTAGATCTTCTCAGGTACAGCACTTACTTTGCTAATCATAAAATAAACGAGCTTCTGTCTCATTATTTGAGTTGGTGTACTTTTATGGGCTCTTTTCTTTTCTTTGTAGTATGTATTTTTTCACTTTTAGTTTTCCTAAAATGTGGTTTGGGGATTGGTGTTGCTGTTTTTGGTCTTTGACAGGGGAAAAAAAAAACCCATCCAAGATCTAGAAAAGTCTTAGTATGAGTCAGAGGGAATTAAAAGTCAGTTCTTGGGGCCAGAGCGATAGTGCAATGGGTAGGGCATTTGCCTTGCATGTGACCAACCCGGGTTCTATCCCTAGCATCCCATATGGTCCCCGGAGCACTGCCAGGAGTAATTCCTGAGTGCAGAGTCAGGAATAACCCCTGAGCATCTCTGGGTGTGACCCAAAAGAGCAAAAAACTAAAAATAAATAAATAAAAAATAAAAAGTCAGTTCTTAGTTTGCCTTAAAGAGGCTGCTTCCTGCACTGGAGATATAGTACAGCGGTTAAAGCCTTGCCTTACTTGCTGCCAACCTCGATTTAGTTCCTGTCACTGCATAGGATTCTCTAAGAAACACTAATAGAGTGCTTGAGAGGAATGAAGCTCTTGGGTGTGAATGGCCATTACTCTCGTCGAATATCTCTGTCTGATGCCACTCAGCCTTCTTCTCAATAAAGAAGCCTAGGATGTGAAACTTGTCCATAAGGCTTTTTTTCCCTCCCATACCTATGCCAAGATACAAAAATAGGCACAGTGGAAAATATAGTCATTCACTGAAGGTCATGGATTCCCATAGACTAGCCTAGAAAGGGTTATTAATGATTCTTAGATACCTTGGGGGTGGGGGGAAGCGGGGAAGGCGGAGAGATAGTACAGCAAATAGCGTGTTTGCATGCATGCCGCCAATTCGAATTCAATCCCCAGCATCCCATATGGTCCCCTGTGCACTGCCAGGAGAAATTTCTGAGTGTAGAACCAGAAGTCCTTGAGGTAGGAAGTTGAAAAGAATGCATCAGTATGAAGGATGTCTTTTCAGGCTCTTTGGGGATGGAGAGATTTTTGTTCAATGCTAGAACAACTCAAGTGAGAATTTTAATAAAAATAGTACCCGGGACTGGAGGGGTAGTTGCAAGGGTGAAGGCACTTGATTTATTTGCGGCTGATACCCATTTGGCAGAGCCTGGCAAGCTACCTGTGGCATATTCGATATGCCAAACACAGTAACAAGTGTCACAATGGAGACGTTACTGGGCCTGCTCGAGCAAATCGATGAACAACAGGGACAGTGGCAGTGACAGTGACCCATTCGATCTGCAGCATCAGCTGTGGTGCCATTGAACATGGCCAGGAGTGATCTCTAAGCACAGAGCCAGGAGTAAGCTCTGCGTACCACCAGATGTCCTTCCCACCAAGTGGTATTCAGGATTTAGTATTTAAACTTCTTCATATTACTGTAGCACAGGATCCCTGTGTAATTCAGTGTTAGAATGTTTTAGGGAGGTAGGGGACAGTGCTTGTTGTGATATGCCTGGACTGTTAGAGATATATATATGTGTTAGACACATAAGGCCACAAATTAGGACTATTTACTTAAAGTTAATACAGTTCTAATGATCAGAATAATTGTTTCGGAAATTGAGAGCCTAACAATTTACTAATAAATTACACTAATGTGTTTCTCCAGAAAATAAAAAGATTCAGTATGGGAAGTATACAAACTTTAAAATGGATGGTTATTAATGACAGAGATGAAGCATCAATGAAATGCATTTTTCATTCGGTTCTCAGTTCTCTTTGTGGAAATCAGCCTCTTGGGAAGTGGGTCTCCCTAATTCCAGGCAAACAGAAAAGACCTATTTAGAACACCTGTGGGTGTGATTCAGGACTCAGAAACTTGAAATTACGTGTGCCAGAGCAGGCGTGGGGGCGGGTTAGCTAAGTGGCCACTACGGGAAAGAGTGAGCTGACCACAAATACACTTTGCATTTTATTTTATTTTATTTTTGTTTTGGGGCCACACATGGTGGTGCTCAGGGTTTATCCCTGACTCTGAGTTCAGGGATCACTCCTGGCAGGCTTGGGGGACCATATGTGGTGCTGAGGATTAAACTCGGGTTAGCTGCATGCAAGGCCAGTGTTTTACCAGCTGTACTCTCTCTCTAGTCCCACATTTTCTCTCTTAGAGGAATTTAATTAGCTTGTATTTAGCTTTTTGTCATAAAATATTTCTTAATCATCTTTGAAACATTTAATGCATTTGAAAATTATGTATAATGAAGATAATAATAACTGTCATTTGTTGAGTAATTATAATATTCCAGTCATTATATGAAGTAGTTTATGAAAATTCCCCTCAACCCTTTTAGGTAGGCACCATGATATGTCTTTTATAAATTAGGATCTAGGGGTTCAGAGTCGGTACGTAACTGGCCCGGTCACACCCAGCCTGAAAGTGGTCGAGATGGTTCTGAACCTCTTCTCTCAATTCTGAAGTCTGTCCCATTAATCATTTGTGGTCTTCTCACCTGATTTACAGGTTTATTTTTGTGTAGTCTAGCTTTTATGCACCGGCTTTCATGCATTAACAGACACAAACAGCTTGTCTTCCATATGATGGAGAGCAGACACCCTAGCAATCACAGACTAGCAAATCATCATTAAGTTAGGAAGATCACACAGTTCCAGATTCTTTCAAAGTAAGGAAATGAACATTTCTGAATCAAATCGGTGTGAAAATTTTAATTCTGTACCACAGAGGATTTCGTTTTAGCTGTGGATTATTCTTCTTGTAACATGTCAAGAACCGTTTCAATTTGTCTTTCAAGATCTGTTCTCAGGTTCTACTTCTTTCTTTCCCAAAGTGGATGATACTGTTTGCCAGTTGGTGTGGGCTGGGGGCAGCGGATGGCTGGGCGGATGGATGCAACTGGGGGCACTTTCTGTTTGTTTGCTTAAAGAAAGTAGATTTCTTGGTGAAGGGTGCTGATTAGGCTTCTTTTTATCCTCCTGAAAATGAAAATAAATTTAGGAATCTCTGCTCTAAATTGTAGGATGAACAAGAATTTAGCTTCTTGGGGCTGGAGTGATAGCACAGCCGGTAGGGCATTTGCCTTGCACGCGGCTGACCTGAGTTCGATTCCCGGCATTTCATATGGTCCCCCGGGTACCTCCAGGAGTGATTCCTGAGTGCAGAGCCAGGAATAACTCCTGAGCATCTCCGGGTGTGACCCAAAAAGAAAAAAAAAAAGAATTTAGCTTCTTTAAGTGTCTGTCATTTAGACACCTTAGGAGAAATGTTAGTAGTGAAGACCTAGTACAGATTCTAACAGGGGTCAAATAAAATTCTATGTAAATGTCACCAACTGAAAATACAGTCTTATTCCCGAATTCTTTTTTTTTTTTAAATTGAATCACCATAAGGTACAGTTACAGACTTACAAACTTTCATGATTACGTTTCAGTCATACAATGATTGAGCATCTGTCCCTCCACCAATGCCCATTTTGCACTACCAATGCCATAGCACAGCAGTTGGGTGTTTGCTTTGCAAGCCGCTGACCCGGCCGAGCCAGGTTCGATTTCTACGCCCCTCTCGGAGAGCTCGGCAAGGTACTGAGAGTATTTCGCCCACATGGCAAAGCCTGGCAAGCTACCCGTGATGTATTCGATAAGCCAAACACAGTAACAAGAAGTCTCACAATGGAGACGTTACAGGTGTCCACTCCAACAAATTGATGAATAGTGGGAGGAAAGTGACTGTGTTTTGAGCCATACCCCATAGTGCTCAGACGTGCTCTCTGCTCAGGGGTCATTTCTGCTAAAGGTCTGCTCAGGGGACCATATACAGTGTCAGAACTCGAACTGGGGTTTGCCCTGTGCAAGGCAAACCTTTTACCTATTGTATATCTCTCCCGCCCAACACTAATTCCAAGCTAGAGGAGCTCACAGGCTTTTGAAGTGGGAGAGTGGAGAAAACACCTGAGAAATAGTATTGCTCCACACATAACCTATTCTCAGAAATAAGCTCCAGCTGGGCTCAGGATGACTGAGATCAGAGAAAAGTGGTTCCAGAGGTGCAGGGAGCCATGATATTAGGGACTCCAGTATCATTTTCTAATCAGATATTGGTAGACCTGATTTGACCCCTCTGACTTCCCGTGACATTTGTGATTGGATGGAAAGTGGGGAAAACAACATGCGGTACTTACTTTTGGTTTAACTGGTTTCCTTTCCTCCATTCCTGCAGCTCTCGTGGTTTGTTCTGGTACCTTTGCAGGTCATCATATTGCTGCCTGGATGAAGTCCAAACCCTTCAACATTGCTCCTAAGACACTTCCTGATCTGATCTTTGCTTATCTTGCTCACCTTTTCCCTGTTTTCCTCACTCCATGCCACTGCACTACTCCAATAGCTATTCCTCGTGTACTGTTACATTGTTCCATACTTATTCATACACTTTGTGGGGGGCACACCCAGTGTTGGGGGCTCCTCCCAGTTCTCTGTTTAGGGGTCACTCCCATGGTTTGTTGAGCTATCTTTCCAGACCTATGACTTATTTACACTCTTACCTCTGCCCCCAGGCTGGAGCGATAGCACAGTGGATAAGGTGTTTGCCTTGCATGCGGCTGACCCAGGTTCAATTCCTCTGCCCCTCTCAGAGAGCCCGGCAAGCTACGAAGAGTATCTCACCTGCACGGCAAAGCCTGGCAAGCTCCCTGTGATGTATTTGATATACCAAAAACAGTAACAACAAGTCTCACAATTTGTTGTGAGTCGTTACTGGTGCCCGCTCGAGCAAATCAGTGAACAACGGGAGGACACTTCTACAGTGCTACCTCTGCCCCCAGGATGCTTGAACCTGGACACTTAGTTGTTTTCTATACTGCATTGTAGCAGTTGTTGTTCATCAATTTGCTTGAGCGGGCATCAGTAACATGTCCATTGTGAGACTTGTTACTGTTTTTGCATATTGAATATGTCACAGGGAGCTTGTCAGGCTCTGCCATGCAGGCGGGATACTCTCCATATCTTGCCGGGTACTCAGAGGAACAGAGGAATCGAACCTAGGTCGGCTGCATGCAAGGCAAACGTCCTACCCACTGTGCTATCACTCCAGCCCTGGTTTCTATATATCCTTGAATAATTTGCTTAGGATAACAGTTAATTCATACATAATCCTTGGCTTAAGATTATGATCACTTTGGGGCCAGATACTTTTAGTGACTCCTTATGATCAAGCAGGATGCCCCTCGTATGTGCTTTTGTAGCACCAAAATATTCTATTGTTCTTTATTTCCTTTTAAGCACCATTATCTATCTGGGCTCCTTAGAATAAGATGCTAGCCTATCTTATTACACTTACAGTGCCCAGAATAAAATTTGACATATAGTAGGTGTATCTATATGTTTATGTGTACATGTATGTAATGTTGAATGAATCTCAAGTAATAATTTGTTTCTAATATTTGTGATTTTTTCAGTTGTCTTGAATAGAATTTCTTAGTAACATGTGACTTTAAAATTCTTTGTCACTGTACCTCATGGTGTTTCACTAATAAAAGAAGAAAAAAAAAGAAACAAAAAATTAAATAAAAAAAAGAAAAAAAAAGAAAAAAACAAAAAGCAAAAAATATATAAATAAAAAAAAAAAGAAAAAAAAGAAAAAAAATTCTTTGTCACTCATTTGGGATCATTCTTTTTCCTTCCTTCCTCTTGTAGGTCCACAGGAAGTATTTTATGGGAAATCAAGTTCTAAAGGTCTTTGCAGCAAAAGACGATGAGGTGAGTTGACCTTCAGAGATGAGGTTCTTCCACATAGCACCACAGAATTGAATTGTCACTTTAAGTGAATTGTTGGGGGGCCTTTGTAGTTTAGAGTGACATTAATTTTTGGAAGACCACTGGGAAGATCTCGCTGACCTTTCACTCTGAGTATGGAGAAATGACAAATGGATTTATTACTGCAGGGGCCCAAGGCCTGAGGGTGTGGCCCTGCGGTTAGAGGCCTGGTAAAGATTAAAAACAAAAACAAATGCCTGTAGGTGTGGGACGCACATGATCAAATGTCCAGGGGTGCTGGGGGAAGGCCGACATTTTTATTTCCATCAAAGCGAACATTTAGTTTTTGCTGGCATAAGCATCCTGACTTAAGCATCCTGACTTACTGGACCACTTTCATTTTTGAAAAATCTGTCTTTGCCCCTTTTCTCTCACTTTCTACATTTCACCCATCTTCCTCAGGGATTCCATTCTAAAGCTGGGTTTTATTTGATTTCTGATCCTAGCCTCAAAAATGCTCTTTCCTGCAAATATTCTCTAGGTTGCCTGCACATTAGGACTTGTGACTACCTAGAAGAATATCCTTAGGAATGTTGGGTGTTTTTGTTTTTTTTTTTTGTTTGTTTGTTTTGTTTTCCCCATAGAGTCCTGGTGCTGGTCACAGTCCATTAGGACTCTGTTCAGCAGTGCTCACACAACTGTGCCATGCTGAGGATTGAGCTCGAGGCATGAGTGTTCTCCTACCTAAGCTCTCTCTCTCACCTCAGCTCTCTCTCCCACCTGGAAATGTTGATCTTAACTGGACAAATAAAATCTAGTATCTCTTTGATACTAATCAAGTCTTCAAGTTCAGAAGTATTTGCATTTGAAGTTGGTAAAGTGGGTACAGAAAGCTTGTTTCAGGGAGGTGGGGAAAGCATTTGTTATAAGTGACTAGTCCCTTTGTCCTTATTCTGAAGGAGAGCTTGCTGTTGATTGAGTGAATGGATATGCCATTATTCTATCAAAGAAATCTCAATTAGCAGAAGAGAAACACTTGGCTCCATTTAATGCTGAATAGATTCCTTAAAGCACACTAGGCATAGTTATGCGAATCCTTAGAGTTGAGAGGCCAAGTTCACGGATTTCTCTTGGATCAAATCTTACTGGCATTCATGCAGTTCTAATAATTTTTCTTTTTTTTTTTTGCTTTTTGGGTCACACCCGGCAATGCTCAGGGGTTACACCTGGCTCTGCACTCAAGAATTACTCGTGGTGGTGCTCGGGGCACCATATGGGACACTGGGAATCGAACCCAGATTGGCCACATGTAAGGCAAATGCCCTACCCACTGTGCTATTGCTCTCTGATAAATATTGATACAACCTTATTTTATTTCAAACACCCACTGGAGTTTTTGCGTCTGCCCATTGTTGCCTTTTTACAAAGAAAATTTCGACCCCTTTATATGATTTCTGGGTATGCCATGAGGATTACCCTAATGCCAGAGCAGCATCAGGGTGCACGTGATTGTCTGCACTTGGCTCGAATAGGGCAGCGCATGGTTTGCAGTTTGATAACTCACCTCCAGCCTCATCCAGACTCCATAAATTAGGGGGTCACTCCAAAGCAAACAACGATACGCAAAGGGCTACTACTGGGTGTCAGTTCCTAGACAAAAAATAACATGTCAAAGATCCCATGGCAAGGGAATAGTAAATAGTGCTTATCAGATAGGCAGGTTAGCAAATAGATTATGACATATGAGAGCTTCCAGCAAAAGATTGCTTTGTATCCGTGTAGGTGAAGGTGCAGGGGGGGTGTCAGCCATGAGAGTAGTCTTTAGGCATTCTCATTTTTTGGAATACTGAGAAACATACAAAGTGTGGAGTTATAAAGAGAGAGAGACAGAGACGAGACAGAGAGAGAGAGACAGAGAGAGAGAGATGTTTAAAATAAATCTGGAACAGGGATGTTGTCGGTTTACTGAACCTTGACAATGGACTGAAAAGCAGAGAACTGGAGCATTCTGCCTAGGAGGCAGAAACTACAAGTGCAAAGCTATAGACAGGAAAGTCCAAAACTGCCCCTGGAATCTGTGTGTTCCACGATGCTGAAATCAACACACTGTTTAAGGTTTTTGTGGAAGGAGTGCCATCCTCAGCTCCAGGAAGGAATAGGGGAAGAAGCCTTGGGAGGGAACATGTGTACTTGATACACAGCAGAGACCCTGGACTTGGTAGAATGTGGTGAAGAGTTGAAGATAAAGGTGAATCAGGTGTTACCAAAGGACTTTGAGCTTTCTCATGTGAGTGACTGGGTGGTGACCTAAATGTAAAGATGGAATAGAGGAGACAGTGCAGGGGTGGTGAGGCGGGGGTGGTGGAGAGATAGTTTGGATCATGGATAGTTTGATGAATAGTAGAACAATAAGAGCTACCTCCCCCCGCCCAGGTAGTATCTAGGTTATGCAAGTCTGGATCTAGCTGAAGATATTAAAGTAGAAATGCAGACTCTTGTTTTTTTTTTTGGAGCAGGAGCATACCTAGCAGTGCTTAGGGGCTACTCTCAGCTCAGTGTTTGGGTTCCAGTCCTGGTGGAACTCAGGGGACCTTGCAGTTCACGTGGGTTGAGTGTGAGCCTGCACTCTAGTCTGGTGAGTCATCTTTCCAGCCCGGAGTATGCACATCTCACACATCGCCTCATGCAACTGGATAACACAGTCCCCAGGCACACACACACCTCAGAGGACAGAAAGTCTCAGAGCAGAATTTCAGGATTAGTTGGAAGAGCTAGAGGAGTAGTTCACCCCAAAGCCAAATAATAAGGGACCATGTTACCAAAGCCACAGGAAGAAGAAGAATAAAGGTAGGTACTTAGATGCTACTAGATGTCAGACAAATTGATGGGGGACTACGGATTTGGCAACTGGGAGAACATGGGTGACTTCAAAGGGATCCAGCCAGGAAATGGGACCAGTGGCTGGAGTATATTGAAGATTAGCCGTGGTCTGAGCAGTGAAAATAGCGGTACTTCATGAAACGTAGAAATGAAGGGGAAGAAAGACACTGACTGTAATTCACGGAGAGGCCACCACAGAAAGATTTTGTTTCAGAACTCTGAAGGGTTTAGTGTATAAGGTGAGCAAATGAATTCAGAGGAGAATGAAGTTCAGGACGAGAAAATCTGAGCAAATTTCAATTGTGTACATTATGTTCTTGGAGGGAGTGAAGGGAAACTTTTTTAAATTATATTTTATTTTTATAAAGTGGTTCACAATAGTTCATTACAGATAATATTAAACACCAATCCTATCACTGTGCACCTTCCCACCACCATAAGAGGAAAGTGTGTGAAGATTGTCGTATTTCATCCTAGAGCCATTTAAGCCATATAAAAGATTACAAACAGATATGTTATACCCAAACAAATGTGCGCTACTTTTGGTATATCAGTGGGCTAGAGTATAAGAGGTCACGTGCTCTAGAACGTTCTGTGTTCTGTGTTGTTTTCTTCCAGGAGCTTTATTTCATGGTCTCTGGATCTTGGCCATTGACGAGATTATGTGGCATTGGGGCAGGGGAGGGGGGGGGCGGGGAGGTAGTCTGTGGGTGTGGCTACCAAGCTACTGGAAAACTGGGGAGCTGTGGGGAGGAGGACCAGTCCTGTTCCCAGCGAGGTTGGAGATTTCAGTCATGGGTACCACATACCTGGATTTTTCTGCAGGTTCCCTCGTAGGGGAGGCTCATCCGAGCCTGTGGAGAATGGCCTTGAGCATGGCTGTGAGGTTAGGTTCTGGAAGTTTTCAGCTGCCGGGGTTCTGCTGGGGCAGGGAGGGAAACTCAACCCGCCCCCCCCCTCCAAGTCGCCCTAATGAAGACAGCCTGGCATGGGCTCAGGGCGTTCTGTTGGGTGAAGGGACACTTACAGAAAACTCAGGAGGAGGGGACAGAGGGAGCTCAAAGGGGTCAAGCTCAGGCTCGAGGCCTAGAGTTTGAGCCTTGGCTCTGCCTGGCCCCCAAGGCACTGAGTTCAATCCAAGGCACCAAGGTGGCCCCTGTGCACTTACAAGTGTGGGCCTGGTGACCTTCAGGGTCACCTGATGTGATGAGCATCCCCATACCTCCAGGCCTGACCACACTGACTCCTTACACCTGTGCCACTCCTGGGCCACACATGTTGGGAGTGGGTCCACCAGCGCCCTCCACCCAGCCCCACCCCACCTTTTTTAAATTTTTTAATGTTTGCGACTTTAAACACCGTGATTTATGAAGTTGCTCATAATGCAGTTGCTTCGGCTAGTCAGTGTTCCAACAGCAATTCCCACCACCAGTGTGACCTGCCTTCCATCAGGGTCCTCAGTTTCCCCCACTCCCCAAGCCATCCCTTAGCAAGGCCAAAATACTTTTTTTTATATCACTTGCTACAACACATACCTCACAATGGTGTTGCCGAAGCCATAGTCTGAGGTTTTACTAAGCTGTTAGGTGCTAGCTGAAGCCTTTTGTGTTTGTTCTTGGAGCTGAGTGGGAAATTTCTGCACAACTTTTCCCCCATCTAATGTGCCGTGTTCCTACTGGACTGTCAGTCCCTTGAAATTTTGGAGATTTCGTGCAGCCTTGCATGCCCCCATCCTAAGACGGAGCCAGAGATGTAGGGCCGGAGACCAGGAACTGCCTGGGACAGCCCAGGCTTAGCTGTGGTCCTCTCTGAAAACATCTGGGACAGGAACAAAGTGACTCGCCTCTTTCCCACGATTTTATTCTTCTGTGAATGTTGCCCGCGTGTTGGCTGCTGGTTGTATTGATGTGTGTGTCTGTCTTTCCAGGCAGCCGCGGTCGCTCTGTCCTCCCTCATTCATGCCCTGGATGAGTTAGACATGGTGGCCATCGTTCGATATGCTTATGACAGAAGAGCGAACCCTCAAGTTGGCGTGGCTTTTCCTTATATCAAGGACACCTATGAGGTAAACCCCAGAGGACTTTTTGAGTCTTGCTTTTTTTTTTCTTTTTTGGTTGGTATTGTAAATGGTGCTTCTCTTAAGATGAGTTAAATTGTTATCCTTAAAATATTTTTTTAATATATATATTTTTTGGGGGTCACACCCAGCAATGCACAGGGATTACTCCTGGTTTTGCACTCGGGAATTACTCCTGGCAGTGCTCAGGGGACCAAATGGGATGTTGGGAATTGAACCTGGGTTGGCTGCATGCAAGGCAGACTCCCTACCCGCTGTGCTATCGCTCCAGACCTGGAATTGTTATCCTTGGGGGAATCTTCTTAAAGTGCAAGATTCTGATTCTCACGTTCTGGGATAGGGCCTGAGGTACTTGCCTTTTACACAAACTTCCAAGTCCCACTGATGCTACTAGTCTGTGAACCAAAATTTCTTTGCAGTACACAAACAAAGCCAAACAAAACACCACCCCCAAAAAGACCCCAGAAATTGGAAAAGTATGTAAGGAACATTTTCTTAAAGCAAATCAGCCAGAAACAGTGGTGAAGGGAAGCAGGCCCTTGAGAAGGGTGTGCTGTAGGAATAATGTAGGAGCATTGTAAATATGAAACCCTATCATGAATAGCATCATGAATCATGGTGCTTCAAGAAACAGAAATCAAAATTGAAAAGAAGACATGCACGCACACAAATGAACCAAATCAGGCTACCTGTGACTTTTTGTGTGTTCAATTCAGTGTCTTCCTCTGGGTTCTCATTCTAGATGACTTCTTAGATTTATAAGCTACCCCTGACGTATTCAATATGCCAAACACAGTAACAACAAAGTCTCACAATAGATATGTTACTGCGCCCGCTCGAGAAAATTAATGAACAACGGGAGGACAGTGACAGTGACAGATGAGGTTAAGTCCTGAGTTTGATTCCTGACATGCCCTCCCCTACCCGCACCCACAACTCCCATTCAAATGCAGAAGATCAAAGTTCCCAGATAATTTATAAGACTGATCTCGGAGAAAACAAATGTCCTTACTCCCTCATTAGTTTTCCCATCACAATGACTCTTCTTTCTTGTGTTAGGTATTTTACAGATAATTTTTGATAAGTCTCCAATGCCTCCTTTTTGTCTGTCTTCATACCATTGGCAGCTGTGTACAGCTAATACCAAAAATTGGGGTCGGAGCGATAGTGCAGGGGGTAGGGTGTTTACCTACCATGTGGCCAACCCAGGTTCGATCCCCAGCATCCCATATGGTCCTGGAGCGCCACCAAGAGTATTCCTGAGTGCAGAGCCAAGAGTAACCCCTGAGCATTGCTGGGTGTGAAGCAAAAAAAAAAAAGCATAAATAAACAAACAAAAACAAACACTGTCCTCCTGTTGTTCATCAATTTGCTCGAGCAGGCCCAGTAACGTCTCCATTTTGAGACTTATTGTTACTGTGTTTGGCATATTAAATAATGTCACGGGTAGCTTGCCAGGCTTTGCCATGCAGATGAGATACTCTCGGTAGCTTGCCGGGCTCTCCGAGAGGGGCGGAGGAATTGAACCCAGCTCAGCCGGGCTGGCTGCGTATAAGACAAATGCCCTACCACTGTGCTATCGCATCAGCCCAAACGAATAAAACCCCAGCTCATATCAAAAATGAAAACATTTCCTCTCCATGTCCCCAGCTTGATCTCTCTGGTGTTGGAAATCCCCTTTGTGATGCCACTTTCACAGTATTTGGGAGCAACATTGTATTTTTCATTCATTTGGCTGTTCTCTGCTTTTGCCTCCATTCTTTTTCATTAGTGTTTAGTGTATGTGCAGCTGCCTTTCATGGAAGACTTGCGGCAGTACATGTTTTCCTCCTTGAAAAATAACAAGAAGTGCACTCCCACAGGTGAGTTTATTTCCATCTTGCTCACTAATTGACTCTAAACACAGACTGTTCTTGGGAAATCACCTGTCTGCAGGCTCTGGTCGGGGCCTGGATTTCACAGGGCGAGCTTGCACAGTAATGATGAAGGGAGTTCCGCATGCGTTTTGCCAGTTGTAGAGAGAGAGAGAGAGAGACATGTGCCATACGCTCTCCCAAAGCTCTCCAGTTTCCTTCCTCCTAACTGAGAGTCTGTGGCTAGGGAGCTGCTTGCTGCAAATGTTCTCTAAGTCGTGAGCAAGTTTTGCCTGGTGCTGAAATAAGTCAATGAGCAGGAAGTATCAAACCCGTGATTTTGTGCCCTACAGCACAGCGGCCAACCCAGGTTCAATTCCTCCGTCCTTCTTGGAGAGCCCGGCAAGCTACTGAGATTATCCTGCCCACACGGCAGAGTCTGGCAAGCTCCCCCTGGTGTATTCGATATGCCAAAAACAGTAACAACAAGTCTCACAATTGGAGATGTTACTGGTGCCCACTCAAGCAAATCGATGAACCACAGGACAATAGTGCTACAGCGCAGTGATACGTAAAATTAGATGCAGTTTTGATTGGAAAATTAAAGCCTTGGAAGTGGACTTTTTTCTTTGCCCTGTCTTTGTAGTTCACAGTAAGTCTCATTGTTCCTTATTTTTGGCATATTTTAGTGCAGTGAAACTCCAAGATGCCTTTCTGCAGCCGCTGCAGGCAGATGTCAGGGGGCTGCACAGAATGACTGACTGTCATAGGTGAAGATCCTGACTCCTGGAGAGTTCAAAGTTCATGGTTGTTGCAGTAAAATACAATAATGGGCTAACCGCAGAACAGGTTTCAAAACAAAAGAAAAACCAAAATGATCAGTTCTTTTCCTTTACAAAAGTTTAATGTGTCATGTAGCATTAGGGAATTGTGAGATTGTGAGTGTCAGAAATGGGTTTTTTGTTGTTGTTGTTGCTGCATTGGTCTTTGGGAATCATGTGTAATAGGAAAGCTAAGAATCAAATGAACTATGGTTCTTTCACCCTTTATGTGTGTGTGTGAGAGAGAGTGTGTGTGTGTGTGTGTGTGTGTGTGTGTTTGCGTCGCACCTGATTGCTTAGGGCTTCCCCCTGGGTCTGCGCTCAGGAATCACTCTTGGTGGGGCGGGGGGATCATCTGGGATGCTGGAGATCAAATCCAGGTTAGCCACATGCAAAACAAGAGCTCTACCTGCTGTACAGCTCCAGCGTCATTACCTTCCAGGAATGAGGTGGCCAGAGCAGTGAGGCCTTTGCCTTGCATGCAGTTGACCTTGGTTCAATTTCCAGCATCCCATACAATCCCCCGAGCACTTCCAGGAGTCACCCCTGAGCGTCACTGAATATGACACCAAAAACCTCAAAAAAAAAAAAAACGCCCAGAAATGAATCCTTCTACAACCAAGCATGCACTTTTAGGCATAGAGGTCATCATTGGGATTCAGTTTTTTGACTCTTTTTTGCTAATTTCAAACTCAGTAGAAGATATGAAAAAAAGAATCTTGTTGAGAAATGATCTCATCGTTAGAATTCATTCACTGAGGATCTGAAACATTAAATACCTCTTAATCTGTTGGTTGATCTATCTTCTGTTACCTAATATATGTTCTTGTTCTTTCCCCATTGGGAAAGTGATTCATTAAAACTGTCTGGCATATTTCCCGAGTAGATATATATGTAGGGATATGCAGTGGCGGAGTGATCTGACCTGATGCTGGCTTGTGTTATCCAAAATACAGGTCACTGAGAAGTCACACACACAACGCTTTACCCTCTCCTTCCAGTTCCCAGACCCACCTTACTGAAGGCAGCACAATTTGGTAATGCAGTGCCTGAAGTACCTGCAAAGTGAAAAATGGGATCGAAATGATCACTGTCTGTAATGCTCTTTTATTTAGCAGTAGGTGTGGAAAAAGAAATCGTTGGAAGGATGAAAAATAGCATAATAGACTTTTTAGGAATTGCTTCCTTTTTTCCACCTCTTGCCTCTCGACTGTGAATGATCCAAAAATAGCACTTTGGCTTTTTACAGCTGAATGCTGTGTGAATCGGCAGAATGGAAGGTACACGTGGTCGTTGAGGTAGAAGCGTTTTGAAGAGAGTTGCCTTTCATCCACATTGCAGTAGGCTGTGCCATTTGTATTGACTCAGTGGTTTTTATTGAGGAACATTTGCTTTATGTTAGATTTTAGGAAAGCTATAAAGAAGAGGATAGCATGTTTCTGCTCTCAAATAACTGGAGAGTTTGAAGGGAGTAATGCATATACAGGTATGCGTATGTGCGGAGTGTGATTAGTGCCTTGAGATTTGTAGGAGGAAAGAGTTCACTGGCTTGGGACATTGTGAAAATATCTGTTCTCTCTGCTCCAATGGTGTATCCTGACACAAAATATTATTTCCTTTCTTTCTTCCTTCCTTTCTTTCTTTCTTTCTTTCTTTCTTTCTTTCTTTTCTTCCCCTCTCTTTCTTTTTTTTCTTCCTTACTTCCTCCTTTTGCTTTCGGTTTTTGGGTCATACCCATCAATACCTAGGAGTTAACTGGTTTTGCACTCAGGAAGTTTGTTCTGGCGGGGCTCCATATAGGGTTCGAGGGATTAAACCCAGGTTGGCCGAGTGCAAGACTAGTGCCCTTCCCACTGTACTATCCTCCCAGCCCCCTTAGATGTTTTGGGTTTTCTTTTATTTTTGTTTACGGCCGCGCGACATCTTAATATCTAGTTCTTACTGTTGAAGAACCCAGCAGGCTACTGCGAGTATACTGCCCGCACAGCAGAGTCTGGCAAATGCCCCGTGGCGTATTCAGTATGCCAAAACCCAGTAACAATGATGGGTCTCATTCCCCTAACCCTGAAAGAAGCTCGAATGTGGCACTTTCTAAAATCTCAGGGCTAGGACAAAGGAGACGTTACTGGTGCCTGCTCGAGGAAATCGATGAACAGGATGACAGTGATACAGTGGTTTTTTTTTATATACCCAACATTGCTGGAGAGTTAGGGGGGAGTACTCCCAACAGAAATTAGTGCTGGAAGTACTTGGGCATGACCAGGTCCATTCTTGGCAGAAATTGGGGAGCCATACTATCCAGGGAATTGATCTCACGACCCCACACATGCTGGATGTGTGTTCTTTCTCTTGAGCCAAAGGTAGGGGAGGGTGTTTGCCTTGCACATGGCTGATGCAGGTCTGATCCCTGACATCCCATGTGGTCCTCTGAGTCCTGTTAGGAGTAATTCCTGTGTGCAGAACCAGAAGTAAGCTCTGAGCATTACCAGGTGTGGCACAAAAGCAAAAACAAAAAAAATGTTTCCCTTTCAGGGGTCAGAGAGATAGTGCAGGAGATAAGGGCTTGCTGTGCATGTGGTCACTACTGAGCACAGAGCCAGGAGCATCTCTTAAGCACCGCTGGGTGTGACTCAACCCCTCCCTGCCCCTCAAAAGTTTTTCTAATTCAGTTACTAATTAATATAATATTAACTCAAAGGCTATAGAATATTTTGGTTCTGGGACAATACCTAGTAGTGCTCAGGGCTTACTCCTCTTTCTTGATTCAGTGTATCACTCCCAGGTGCCGGGGATTGAACCTGAGTCCCGTTTGCAAGGCAAAAGCCCTCCCTGCCATACTATCACTCTGACCCCCTGACTGCTGAATATTTCAAATCACTGTGTGGAAGTTGGATTTTTGTATAGCTGTGGTAATGTTCCTCAGAACAAACTTTTGCACCTATGATAGTCCATCGCCAAAGGTTCACTGCATGGTAGGACCTGAAAGGTCTGTCCCCTGAGACCAGCAGCTCTAGCTCTTTTTTGAATAGGGAAACCAAGACTCAGGTTAAATAACTTATATAACTGTAGCACTGTAGCACTGTCCTCCCATTGTTCATCGATTTTGCTCGAGCGGGCCCAGTTACGTCTCCCTTGTGAGACTTATTGTTACTGTGTTTGGCATATTGAATACATCACGGGTATCTTGCCAAGCTTTGCCGTGCGGACGTTATACTCTCTCTCGGTAGCTTGCCGGGCTCTCTGAGAGGGGTAGAGGAATTGAACCTGGGTCGGCTGGGTCGGTCGCGTGCAACGCCCTACCCGCTGTGCTAGATGATATTTTTGACAAAACCAGGAATAAATACCTTAATATCTTGTTAGGAAGATATCTTAAATGAAAATCATTCTTGTCCATAGCAACAGCGGAAATGATCATATTTTCTTTCTGCTGCTTTAATCCTTTAGAAGCGCAGCTGAATGCTATTGATGCTTTGATTGACTCCATGAGCTTGGTAAAGAAAGATGAAGAAGAGGATGCTATTGAAGACTTGTTCCCATCTACCAAAATCCCCAATCCTCAGTTTCAGAGGTTATTTCAGGTGAGAGATGAAGATGAACCTCTGTGTGTGTGTGTGTGTGTGTGTGTGTGTGTGTGAGAGAGAGAGAGAGAGAGAGAGAGAGTGTGTGTGTGTGTGAGAGAGAGAGTGTGTGTGTGTGTGTGAGAGAGAGAGAGAGATCTTCTGAAGGTCTCTATTTAATGAAGGAATAGAGCTGTCCCTTTCTTCTTAAAAAAAATCATATGTGCTCTGACTTGTTATAAAGAAGTTAGAATACTTTGAATATTTTTTTATTCCTGAAAGAACTGTTTCCTGTACCCTGTTCAGACTTTTCTTCACTTTTTTGTCAGTGAAACAGTTTTAATATCTAGGGAAGCAGTGTTCCAGTGGAATATTTTTCAAAAACCTTCACAATTAAAGTTAGCTCAGAAGTCAGATTGTCGTATGGTTATAGTGTGAGATGACTAAAGAATAAACTAAAATACACACAAAAAATACTGTCACTGTCACTGTCCTCCCGGTAATCATCAATTTTCTCGAGTGGGCCCAGTAACGTCTCCACTGGAGACTTTGTTGTTACAGTGTCTGGCATATCGAATACGTCATGGGGAGCTTGCAGGCTCTGCCTTGCGGGCGAGACACTCTCGGTAGCTTGCCGGGCTCTCCGAGAGGGGCGGAGGAATCGAACTCGGGTCGGCCATGTTGGCTGCGTGCAAGGCAAACGCCCTACCCACTGTGCTATCGCTCCAGCCCAACACAAAAAATACAGAAATACTAACTTTTGAATATTGGCTAAAGGCATTGTGAGGTGGTGGCTGGATGAAGGGACACAGGGAAAGTGATCAGAGCACCAATTTAAGCTGAGGAGGGAGGGAGGAAAGGAGGGAGGGAGAGAGGGAGGGAGGGAGAGAGAGAGAGAGCAGATTTGAAGGGAAAGAATATTCTGATTTTGGATTAAGTTGGTGATAACAGGGCATAGCTTTCTGTGAAGCCCACAGAGGTTTGCATTTTGGTTCACACCCGGCAGTGCATAGGGATTACTCCTGCCTTTACACTCAGGAATTAGTCCTGGTGGTGCTTGGGGGACCATATGGGATGCTGGGAATTGAACCTGGGTGGCCTTGTAGAAGGCAGATGCCCTACTTGCTGTGTGCTATTGCTCCAGCCCCACAAAGTTGAAAAATAACCCAGCTGACTTTCTCACAGAGCACCAGAGGTGACTGGGACAGGATCATGGAGCCCAGCCTGGGGGCAGTGTGCTGGTGACTTTGTAATGCATTCTTAGTCCATAGTAAGACCTGTTGTGATGCTGAGGGGTCTTCTCCAAAGAAGCTTTGTTTTTAATGCTTGCAATTTCTTTAAATGGTTAAAAAAAATCCTTTCATTTTGGAAGTATAAAACTTAACACTAAAAGAACCATGCACTGGGTTCTTTAGTATTCCAGGTGTAATCAAGTATAAATTACTTGTATAAAGTCCTTTGGTGTTTTTGCGTGGGTTTCATGACTAAAATTTTTTAGTTTGTAGGGACTGGTGCTGGGCTGACCATTTGTTTTGAAAAGCTTGCGAAAACACATCACGATGGTGTAAATTAGAAACGTCTATTTGACTTCTTCTTGACTATTTACCCAGGATGGGTTCTGTCTTCAATAAGTGTTGGATTCACAAACAGATAGGATGCATAAATGAAACCTTTATTACCTTTCAAAGCTGCTGAAACTGACTTTGATTTTTATATCTTACAGCTTTGTTTACTTTTATGAGGGAGAGTTAACATGGCTTATCTGTATAAAGATGCAGTATTGCTAGGACGTTTATAAATCAGGGTCACTTTTTTTTTTTTTAAACACAGTTGAGCACTAACAGTTCCTAGGGCCAATGGCATTCTGAGTTCAGGGCCAGAGCGATAGTACAGCAAAGAGGGACTTTGCCTTGCAGGCGGTTGACTCAGGTTCCATTCCTGGCATCCCATATGGTTCCCCAGCACTGCCAGGGGTGCAGAGCCAGGAATTATATCTGAGCATCGCTGGGTGTGACTGCCCCTCCCCACAAAAAAAGATATTCTGAGTTCAGTGCAGAAGCAGACCCCTCGGGCTGAACCGGGGGCTAGAGAAGTCTGGAACCTACAGGCACAGCAATGGTGGGCACAGAAGGCTGCAGCGCTAATAGGAAAGTGTCTTGCAGATGGGGGACTTAGGCATCACTGAGGGGCAAAGGGGATACATGGTGTCATGGTGGCATGAAACATGAATGTATGAGGTAGTATGATGTAGGTGGTGGAGAGAGAACAGGCGCAATGGGAAAGCAATAAAGGTGGAAGGAAGAAACCAGGTAGGTTTGGGTTTGGGGGTGGGGTAGTGGGATGGGGAGTTCCTGAATGGTCATTTGGAAGCCTCCAGGCCCCACCGGTGATTCTCAGCCCGCTGAGCGTGAGGTCTCAACACTGGGCACTACCATGCTGACACTACCCAGGCCACCCTGACCGGTTCTTGGGGGGCCTCCAAGGCAGCACCTGGTCATTCTGGAGGACCATGTCGTGTTGGGTAACCATGTTGCATCGGGAATTGGACCCGGACAGGGCACGTGCTCAGTGTACGTGCTCCCCAACCGCTCTGCCCTCTCCTGGCCCTCCTCACTAAAGGATGTTGTCAACCGTGTGTGGCATGGTTGGTAGAAGATTTCTCGCGGTTTTCATGAAAGGTGGTTTGGAAACCTGCAGCGGGCTCACCTGAAGGCATGAGGTAGAAGAGTGACTGAGGGGACATTCAGGAGTAAAGATGGGACTTTTGGAACTAAGCAGTAGCTGATGGGAAAGAGGCACTGAAGAGGATTGATTAGAAGGGTGACATCACCATTAGTTATGGTAAGGAATGTAGACTGAGCACTCAGCAAGGATAATTAACTTTATTTGGCTGGGGGGCAGGGGGCGGGGAGAACACATCCAGTAATGCTCAGGTCTTACTCCTGGTTCTGTGTCAGGATCACTTCTGGTGGTGCCAGGGATCAGACTGGGGTCCACAGCATGCAAGACAAGCACCTTGTATCCTGTGCTATCTCTCCAGCTCCCAAGTTTTTTGTTTTTTGTTTTTTTTTTCTTGTGGGTTGGGGCCATACCCAGCAGTGCTCAGGGCATACTCCTGGCTTTGTGCCCGGGGATTATTCCTAGTGATATACTGGAGACCATCTGGGATACCCGGGATTGAACCTGCTTTGGCCTCAGGCAAGGCAAGTGACCTACCCGCTGCACTCTCTCTCCAGCCTCACCCCCCCACACCTCTTTTTTTTTTCGGCCTTTTTTCAAGTGTTAAATTTGCAATAACTGTTAGTATCTCAGTATCGACATTCAGTGGGGGTGCTGGACATAGGGTGGCAGAGTACAGCTGAGAATTCAGCACAGAATAGATCAGTTTGCCAGGTGTTCCTCTTTTAGGTAGAGAGTGAGCTCACTTGGGAGAGGATTGGGAAGAAAAGAAAGCACCCGAGTGTGTATGAAGAGTTACGGGCAGGGTGTTTGCCTTGCGTGTGGCCGACCCGGATTCAATTCCCAGCATCACATATGGTCCCCCGAGCACCATTGTAGCACTGTAGCACTGTCCTCCTGTTGTTCATCGATTTGCCGAGCGGGCACCAGTAACGTCTCCATTGTGAGACTTGTTGTTACTGTTTTTGGCATATCGAATACGCCACGGGGAGCTTGCCAGGCTTTGCCGTGCGGGACGGAATACTTTCGGTAGCTTGCCGGGCTCTCTAAGAGGGAAGGAGGAATCAAACCCGGGTCGGCCGCGTGCAAGACAAACATCCTACCCACTGTGCTGTCGCTCCAGGCCCCCCGCACCAGCACCACCAGGAGTAATTCCTGAGTGCAGAGCCAGGAGGAACCCCTTTGCATCACTGGGTGTGACCCAGAAAGGAAAAGAAAAAAAAGAGTTACGGGCAGACAGTAAAGAAGAGCTGTTTGGGCCCAAGCAAGGCCGGACATGTGGCTTCATGGTCAAGTGCACACCTCACTTACAGGTGACCTGGGCTCAGTGCCCGGCACCACAGAATAAACAGAAAAGGCCAACAAAGGAGCATGTCCCGCCACTGTTTCCCTGAAGCAAAGTCTGAGAGTTAGAAAAATGCAGAGAAGGGTGAGCCCCCAAAAGGGAGGTGTGCAGAGGGAAAGGCCACAAGCCTCATGAAGCCTTGCCTAGTGGTATGGCAAAGGGCCTTTGGGGTCCGAAGTGAGGTCTTCAGTAACCTTGGGGAACCAGCAGCATTAATGAAGCAAGAGACGGGTGCCAGTGCTGGAAGAGGGTGCTTCATTGGTGAGGGATGCTTCATTGGAAAGCTTCCCTCCCCTGTCACCATTCAGAGATGGCACCCAGGGTGCTGTCCTTAGCCTGTCAGTAAATGCATTTGCAACTGAGAGAAATGAAACAGAAGAAGGATCGAAGGAGGAGGAAGTATTACTAATTTATGGAGGTTGGTTCTCATTTGGGAAAGAAAGACTGAAAAGTATAACCCTGGTCATGTGTCCAGTTACAGATACCTTTTATGGCTGGAGTTCAGGCTTTGCATGCAGGGGCCTGGGTTTCTCTTCTTCTGTTTCATTTCTTTTACCCTGGGTGCCGTCTCTGAATGGTGACCGGGGGTGGGGGGTGGGGGCGAGAACTTTCCAATGAAGCACCCCAGCACCCCATTGTCCCCCACTCCCAACCCCCCCCAAGACATAGGATCTGAACCAAACAAACTGCCTTTTAAATCATTGACAAAATGTTGCCAAAAACACATTTTCAGTTACATTTAGAGCTAGACATGCAGTCCACATTTGCTATGTAGTCTTTAGCAAATTTGTGAAGATTACAGCAAGGAATATAGTTGTTTAAAAGAGAAATAAGTAGCTTGAGGACTTCTTGGCTATGAAAGTGTGTCACTGTCTCACAAACCCATCTGTAAAAGGAATTGGGGGGTCTTCTGATTAAATGAATCTTAGAAGTGTCTCACCTTTATCTAAAATGGGACCTGAGAAAATATTGAGGTGACTTTGACCCACCAGGTCTGCGAGCCGATCATCTGCAAAAATTTCCTGGGAAAATTGCAGGAACCTGAGTTTTATTTTATAATATTAGAATTAAAAATGAACACACAGGATACTAGTATAAATAATTTTTAATTTTGGCTGTAGCAGCCTGCAATATAGTTTTTCCTATTTCCTTCTACCAGTCTGCAGGTATGAAAGATTGAAGACCACTGCTTTAAAACGGCTCTTGTAGTTTTTCTGGTTGACTTAAGGACGATGTCTCTGAAAGAACTGCCTAGAAATCATACTGAAAATCGAAATGTTTTCCAGTAGGGAGGCTTGGTGAAGTGCTCTTTTATTTTTTTCAATTGAATCACCATGAGATATAATTACAAAGTTGCTCACGATTGAGTTTCTTTTCTTTTTTTTTTTCTTTCTTTTTGCTTTTTGGGTCACACCCAGCGATGCACAGGGGTTCCATCTGGCTCTGCACTCAGAAATTACTCCTGGCGGTGCTTGGGAGACCACTTGGGCTACTGCTGGGAATCGAACCCGGGTCGACTGTGTGCAGGACAAATGCCCTACCCACTGTGCTATTGCTCCAGCCCCATGATTGAATTTCAATCATGCAGTGTTCTAACAGTATACATTTCCTGCCACCAAGGTCCCCAGTTTCCCTTCTCTCCGCCCTCCACCCCATCCACTTGAGACACTTTTCTTCTCTCTCTGTTATAAAATGCTTATTGTTTATTCTGGTTCTCTTACCTTTAACGTCGAGTTTCATAGAATATTTCAGAGTATGTGAAAGCTAGTCAGCTCTGCTTCTCAGATCCGTAGGGAGTTAGTTATTAGCTGTTTTAGGTTTTTTAGTGACCTGAGGGGGAGCACTATGAATGCTTAAGAAGTTTGGGGTTGGGGACCCGGTAGGGCACTTGCCTTGCAGGTAGCCAACCCAGGTTTGATCCCCAGTATGCTATATGATATCCTTAGTACTCCAGGGATGATTCTTGAGTGCAAAACAGGAGTAAGCTTTGAGCACCTCCATGTAGGTACCCAAGACAATAGTTTGGGTGAGGGTCAAAGTGTGGCGTTATTTTGGTTTCTCCTTAGCATTAAATAGACCTGATGCTACTCATCCTCAAGGGAAAGTCTGGTAATTAGGAAAGAGGAAGACAGAGTCAAACAAATGGGTAGACTGTGGGAAAGGCAGACTCAGAGTTTGTGTATTCAAATAAGGGAGCAGCACATGGAATTCTTAAAGGAAACTGGCATTCTACTTCAGGGTTTTCTGAGTTTCTAGGATGTCAACTTGTGGGTGGAACCTGTTGCCATGCTTCACAAGAAAGTAAAGAGAGGAAAGAGACCAGAGCCCATAAATAAATTTGCACATCTGAAGCAGAGATATGAGTGAACTCTTAATGGGGTCCTGCAAAGTAAAACTATTTAAACCTATTTATACTTAAAAGCTTTTTTTTTTTTTTGCTTTTTGGGTCACACCTGGCAATGATGAGGGGTTCCTCCTGGCTCTTCACTCAGGAATGACTCCTGGCTATGCTCGGGGAACCATATGGGATGCTGGGAATTGAACCTGGTTCAGCAAACGCTCTACCCGCTGTGCTATCACTCCAGCTCCAAAAGCATTTTTGGGGGGGATGTTTTGGTTTTGGGCTATATGCAGTGACACTACAGGCCTACTCTTGGCTCTGCACTCAGGGATCACTCCTGGTGGGTTTCAGGGTATATGGGGTGCAGGGAATCCAACCCTGACCATCCACGTACATAGCAAATGCCTTATCAACTGTACTATTGCTCTAGCTCCTTAAAAAAAAATGACAATGAAGCATAATAGCTTTAGTAAGAAAGTGTTGGGGAACAGTTTTTCCCCAATGTGCCCAGACATGTTGTGTACCAGGCCCGGGCAGATGGGGGGCAAAGGATGACAGACACGCTGAGAACCCACTCTAGGAGACAACCTATCTCCTTTCATTTTATTGCCAAATACACGCATATTTTATGGAGGGTCTCGTCTTAAGAGGATGGTCCAGTCACATAAAGTTTAGCATTACTGACCAATCACCTTCCCAACTCTGCTTTGCCCTGGCCCAATCCCAACTAGGGCTAGATGCTGCGGTTCAGAATGACTTGCTAAGCTTAGGTGACAACCCTTGGGAGGTTGAGAGAGACTCAAGGATGGATACCTTGTGCTTGTAAAATACACCCAGACACTCCCTACTGGGTCACTATGCAGGGACAGATCTTATCTGCTCTGGCACCTGTGCCATGCTCCACAAGAAAGTATAGAGAGGAAAGAGCCCATAAATAAATTTGCACATCTGAAGCACAGATATGTGTGAACTCTTAATGGGGTCCTGCAAAGTAAAACAAAACTAAACAAAACCAGGGTTAAGTATAAGCCTTGCTGCAAACCCCAGACTTCTACCCAACACACCATATGGTCCCCCCAAGCATAGCCAAGAGTGCTCCCTGAGCACAGAGCCAGGAACAGACCCTGAGTACTGTGAGGGCTGGCCTGGAGAAATCCATCTGTCATGACCTAGCCATGACCTGACCTTGATCTCAGCCCCACTTGGATTGCAGTCTCCTGTTGACAGGCTTGTCAGCAACGAGAATCCTAAGAGCACTATAGCAATTCCTGTTTGGTGCTTAGTATATGCCAGGCCTTTCTTTCAATCCATGAAACCAGTCTGTAAGCAGCTGGAGGACATCTCTACTTCCAAGAGGGAATGTTTAGGTAATTAAACAGTAAACTTTAGGAAAAAAAACAAAAACAGCCCATGGGTCATTGGTTCTCAATCCAGTAATCAATTGTGGGAGGTGGGGAGGGCACAGAGCTAAGCAACGTGTGTGGAATGTTTGAAAGCAGAGGGCTAAAGCTCACTCAGGCCATTTAGCACTGACTGGCTTTTGCAGCCCCTTTTTATTGGGTTGACGATCAAAATATCCAGCATACCTCTGAGTACATAAGATCAGAACACCTTAAAATAGCACTGTAGCACTGTCCTATTGTTCATCGATTTGCTCGAGTAGGCACCAGTAATGTTTTTGGCATGTCGAATACTCATGGGGAGCTTGACAGATTCTGCCTTGTGGGCAGGATACTCTTGGTAGCTTGCCAGGCTCTCTGAGAGGGACGGAGGAATTGAACCCAGGTCAGCTGCGTGCAAGGCAAATGCCCTACCCACTGTGCTATTGCTCCAGCCATATTATTTTGTAGTCTAATGATGCACCAATTTCCTAAGTAAATCAGACCACCTTGTAAATCTTTACATCCCACTTCCCATGTATTGCATATCAACATCCTATGCAAGCCTGCACAATAACCCAATAAGGTATTTGTTTAACTTTTACCCAATCATAGCACAGTTAGTCTGTAACAGAAAGCGGCTGCATTGGGACATGCTGACCCCAACCCAGTTCACTCAGAATTCCTAGCTGTTGGCAGCTATTATATGGCCTTCTTTGCAAGGCAGCGTTGCCAGAACTTCCTCATGACTCTGGTCAGACTCCAACACATGGGTACTTTTAGAAAATGATAGCACTGTATAGCACGGTCCTCCCATTGTTCATTGATTTGCTCCAGCGGGCACCAGTAACATCTCACAATAAATTGTGAGACTTGTTGTTACTGTGTTTGGCATATCGAATATGTCACGGTTAGCTTGCCAGGCTTTGCCGTGCGGGAGCAATACTCTAGGTAGCATGCTGGGCTCTCCGAGAGGGGCGGAGGAATCGAACCGGGGTGGGCCCAGATTGGCTACATGCAAGGCAAGTGCCCTACCTGCTGTGCTGTTGCTCCAGCCCATAGAAAATGATAGTGTAGAAAAAAATAGGAGAGAGCTGATAGAGTGATTGGGTGGTAGAAAGATTGAGGGTAGGTTGGGAAAGGGACACAGCCTAGTAGAGAAGAGAGAGCCCGTGTCCACCCTCCAGGAGGATTTGGGCCAGACCCAGTGTTCTTGGCCCTTTCCTGTAACCCATGGAGCTGGACAGCTCCCCTTCACTCATTTTAATTTGCTGGAGGGAGATAAAAAGATTATAAGCAAGAAACAAGAGTCCCCATTGTCAGAAGTTCTTCCACTTGTGGCTTTGGGGGCCCCCCGCTAACCAATCTCTAAGTAGTTAGGGCAGCCCCTCTTTTTATAACGTTAGGTTCCTTGTCTTGCAGTCTCCAGCTGGCAGTACTACTGGGCTGGGGACTGTGGGACATGGTTTTGGATTTGCCACGGGAGCCCTTGACCCACCCTCTTCATTCTAGACTACACAAATCTCAGATGGTCCCTCCCAGATGGCAAAATGGAGCTTTCTTGGTCCTAAAAGGATGAGGAAGCAATATAGGCTGTCTCCAGTGTTTTCAGTTCCTCATCCAGGCTCTGGAGAGGTCGTATGGGGGTTACTAGAGCGTGCATTTTGCAAGAGGCAACAGTGACCAGACTCAGTAAGTAGCATGATTACTATGGTTCCTCAAGTGCCCCCACTGCTGAACACGAGGCCAAGAGGAAGCCTCTGGCTGCCACCACGTGTAGCCCCACCCCCCTACTCTCACTTTCCAAAATAAAGTCAATTAAAAAATAACACTCTTTTACTTTTTCCAACAGTGTCTGCTGCACAGAGCATTACATCCCGGGGAGCCTCTGCCTCCAATTCAGCCACACATTTTGAACATGCTGGATTCCCCGGCGGAAGTAACAGCTAAGTGTGAGATTCCTCTCTCTAAAGTAAAGACTCTTTTCCCTCTGACTGAAGTCATCAAGAAAAAGGATCAAATGACTGCTCAGGACATTTTCCAAGACAAGTAAGTACTTCACATGTGATGGGTAATACCATTAAAAGGCTTCTGTAATTAAATGTGGATAAGGGTTTGAGGAATCACAAAGGTGTAAGATATTTGATGTTTTTTCTTTTTTTCCTTTTTGCTTTTTGGGTCACACTCGGAGATGCTCAGGGGTTACTCCTGACTCTGACTCTGCACTCAGGAATTACTCCTGGCAGTGCTTGGGGGACCATGTGGGATGCTGGGAATCGAACCTGGGTTCGTTGCATGCAAGGCAAAGGCCTTACCCGCTGTGCTATCGCTCCAGTCCCGACGTTTTTATTTCTTTCTACCATACCTGGCTATGCTCAGGGCTTATTCCTGACTCTGAACTCAGGTTCCTTAGTGATACTCGGGAACCTTTTGGGGTGCTAGGGATCTAGCTCAGATCAGCTGTGTGCCAGGCAAACACCCTACCTGCTGTAATATCACTCGAACCCCTGATATTTGACTCTTAACATTGAAAACACTGATTCTCATTTTTATTCATTGCAATTGCACTTTATCCTTATGATCACTTGGGATTCACATCTACCCTCTGATCTGTTAACTTTTGACCTACCAGATTTTTTTTTTATGAAGGAAGATTTTGAATATCTAAGGTTAAGTTTTATCCTTTGTAAAGTAAATGCAGGGAATAAGGAGAGAGGGTAGAGCATCAGGTTTTTGTTTTCTTTTTTCTTTTTTTCCATTGAGGAGAGGTGTCAGAAGGGTTATCAGGAAGATTTTGGGTAGAAAAATAGAAGTGAGAATGAAAAAAATCTGTCCCCTCTTTAGCTCTGCCATTAGCATGTCAGGGATGTTCTTGGTTCTACCATTAGTGAGGTATTTATAGTTTAATGCTCTTCATATAATCCTAAATTAAACTTTCAGGTAGCTATTAAGTTTTTTCCCTCTCATCAGATTTTGTTCAGAATCTGTAGCAATTTCCATTCACAGGAGAGAAAAAATAAACCAGAGAAAGTTGTTGCATATCTGGAGCCATTTGAGTATGTAACATTGGTTTTTTTTCTTTTTTTTAAAACCAGGTTTTGTCTTGGTTATTAGTGACAATTTCTCCAAATCAGAAGTCTTTTCATTTCTCTAGGTTGCATTTTGCAAGCCAATTTTAGATTATGCCCCCCCTTTTTTTCTTTTATTTCCTCCTTTCATGTATATCTTTATTGAAAAACAGTAAAGCAACTATTCCAGTGGGGTAATTTCCAGAAAACCCAGAGTCTGTAAAGTGTTAATTGTGTGGATCATCTTGCAGGTTGGATGGAAAGCTTTGTATTTTCTGCGGCTTTTTAGAGTTAATACTCCAAGACTTGTCAGAATTGAAAAACCCACTTCAGGGGACTGCTGGGTTCTCGAAATAGTCCCTTTCCCAGCACCTCCTGGAGCTTAAAGTCGGTATCCTGCCTTTTACATAGAAAGACTATCACAGAAAGTTCTCTTTCCCTCTGCTATTCCTATCCACCAGTGTCCCTCTGATTAGTATTTTAGAGCAATTCAAACCGGTTCCAGTCTTTCTCAGCCAGTGCCAGCCCGGCTTTCTTCCCACTGCAGTCATGTGGCTATTGTCTCTGTGTTTAAAAGCGATCTTGTGATCTTGATTACCTTCTGGTATTGTGGAAAAGAAATGGGCCATTTTCCCCTCCTCTTGTTGATTAAAATGTAAATTAGCTGGTTAAAAAAACACACCACATAGACCCAGAAGGCGGCTTTGTATCAGTTTGATTCCTGCTGTGATTACACCTTTAGCCTTGTGCGTGTGCCTACATTTATTCCTTCAGGAGGTTCAAGGGTGCAGAACTTCTCGTCCTTTGCTCCCTTAATGCTTTGCGATACAGCCTCACTCTCTGCCCAGGGACTGAGAATTCACTCATTCATTCACACCTACTCATAGGCCTATTCTCTACCTTTTTGTTGCAAAATTTTTAATTTTTTTTTAAGGACTGCAAAAATGACATGTTAAACAAATATTTATTGATAGCTTTTATAACTAGAATGACTTAGTTCTGGGGCTGGAGTGATAGCATTGTGGATAGGGCGTTTGCCTTGCATGCAACCGACCAGGATTCAATCCCAGGTATTCCTTATGACACCCCCACCCCCACCCTGTGCACAGCCAGGAGTGATTCCTGCGTGCAGACCCAGGAGTGACCCCTGAATCTCACAGAGTGTGACCCAAAAAGTAAAACCAAAACAAAACCCCAAGAATTCTTTCTGCAAAGGTGCTCTTGCTAGCAACAAGATACTCCTTTTGAGCTTACGCAGCATCACTGTACCCAGGGTACCTATTTTTAGTGTGGTATTGCAGGACTGAGGTTGGAAAATGGGCAGATGTCTTCAGGAAGTATCAGGCCAAAACAAGAGCCCTGAGCTGGGACTCTCTAGTTCCATTCCAGCTTTTGTGACTCTTGACGTGATTTGAGGGTGGGGAGTTTGGGGATCATACCCTCACACCTATGAAGCGTGTGCTCTACTTGTGAGCTCTATCTCTGGCCCATAATACGATTTTGGTTAAATAAGTTGGCCTTCATTGGTTGTGTGGTAACATGTTGTGAAGAGGCATGAGATTGTCTTCCTAAAACACTTATGTAAGCCAACCTTACTGCAAAATTAAAAAAAAAAATTTTTAAAAATTTGGCGGACTGGGGCCATAGTACAATAGGTAGGGTGTTTGCCTTGCACATGACCGACCTGTGTTCAATCCCCAGCATCCCATATGGTCCCCTGGTAGTATGTGGGGACCATTTGTAGCATCAGAGATCAAACCAACCAAACTTGGAAGGAACTAACGCAATAAATAATCCTTGTATTATCTCTCTGGTTCCAGTAATTTTTCCTTTATGAGAGTTTCTCCCAGCTAAGAACAGGCTTACCTCAAGAGATATTTTAGTAGTTACACCAGATATTAAAGCATTTTTAACTCTATGGCAGTAGTCAAAACCCAAAGTAATAATTGTATCATCAATAAGACATCGAGTATTTGAGATCTGGTTCATGCTAAACTTGTTGAATCCCTTGTGTTAGAAGCAGTTTTTTCATTACACAAGGGCCAGAGCCCCAGCTGATACTATAGCAGAAAAGCAGTACGAGATAGTACCCTGACGTGTAAAAGCTTTGTTTCACCTTCACATTGTAAACTGTCTTTGAAATAAAAATGTTATCTTTTGGACAGGGAACTGAGTTATTAGGATATCTGAGTTCCAGTTCTATCTGTACATTAACTCATATGTAATATTTTTTTTTCTTTTTGGTCTTTATGGAGATAGTCTCAAAATTTCTACATTTTTTCAAGCCTCCCAAGAGTGCAACCCACATCGTCTCAGCAGCTAACCTCACCTAGTTATGGTTAAGATTCAAAACTTGAAGGTCAGGGGATGTGAATTGATGTGAAAGATAGAGAGGCCAAGGTGGCGCCATGACAGGCCCAGTGAAGAACTTGGCCTGATGCGGCCTAAGTTTTGGTTCTCTAAACCTGAGTTACAGTTTTCCCGAAATGAAGCGGTGAGGTCCGCAGAACAACTCATCAGACATGACGCCAGCAAGGGCATCTAATCAGATCAGGAAGGACCCCACCATGCCCACCATATAACCTCAGCCTCCACCCAATCAGAAGTTGCCAAGTAATGGAAGGCCCCCTAGACTGTTGCCAATGAGAAGCACCCCGCTATGTAACTGCTATGTAATGCTGCTGTAAAAACCCCGTGGTCTTGTGGCTAGGTGCTGCTCGCTCCAAGAACACCACTGTGTCAGTGAGCGGGATGGGGGCCCTCGCTTGGACTAGTCCTCGCTCGAGCTAGTCAATAAAAATCCTCTTGCGCTTGCCTTGGAGTCAGCTCCTTGGTGGTATTTCAGGAAACTGAGTCAAAGGCTAACAGGTCCCCTGACTCTGCACTGCGCCCTTTGGCGCAGATTTCTCAGGCGCCGTGTGCCTGTTTCCTCATGGGTGCACAGGTATCAGGATATCCATCTCAGAGTTTTCATGCGTGTGACCGAGTTGTGTCTCTGGAATCTAGCACAGTGCTGACACATGGTATAAGAACGCGGTGTTTGTGAGGCAATGATTTACCGAATCTTAGTCATGGTCCTGGTACTCTGGTGACATCTGTGGTGGTGATGCTGATGACAGTGGCTATGATTTCACAGAGAAAATAAAGGTCAATAGGGAAGAAGTCCTCCTTTTTCAAGCCCATATTATCTAATGTACCTGGAGTACACTGTGTTATACTTCCTGTCTCAGTGAAAGAAGGTCACTCATCTCGACCCATGCGAACTCACCTATGTCTCTGGGTGCCATCCTCTTATCTCATGGGGTAGCTTAGATCCTGACTTTGGTTGATTCACCTATTTTATATACCTGGGATCATGCCAAATAGCCTCTGGGGCTAAAAGGGGTCGTGAGTGGAAACAGTTTAAGAAACCCTACCTTAGACTACTACTGATTTTTTCCCTCTTTCTGTATGTTCAGGTTTTCTCGCTGTGCCAGCTTCTTTCATTCTACATACTACCATTTTATTGTTTCCCCCTAAAACAAAATCACATAATTCCTGCTGTTTTCATCCTCTGCTTACTCCCAGTTGTTATTTGTTTTCTTCTGTAAGCGAGATTTGCTGGAAGAATGTGGGCATTGCTGCTTTACCTAGTGATCATGATATTGGGCTTCTGCCCCCATCATTTCTCTGAAACATCTTCCCAAGTCCCCGCCCACCCACCCACCTGCCCACCCTCCCTCTCTTTCTGTCTTAATCATGACGACTCCTCATAAAGTGCCTATAGCTGTTGAATACGGATCTGGGACTCAGTGTCCTCTTTGCCATCCTATGAAGTAGGTTCTTTTATTAACTCTTTTCATGGTGGGGACAATGAGGCTTAAGAGGATGATGGAGTCAGAGCGATAGTACAGTGGGTAGGGCGTTTGCCCCGCACGCAGCTGACCCGGGGTTCGATCCCTGGCATCCCATATGATCCCCCAGGCACCACCAGGAGTGATTACTGAGTGCAGAGGCAGGAGTAACCCCTGAGCATTGCTGGGTGTGACCCAAAGAGCCAAAAAAAAAAAAAAGTTGAGACGCATGCCCAAGAGCACAGCTGGTTAAGTGTGAAATGCAGCAGGCAAACTCTAGAATCTGGACTTTTAACTATTCAGCCATGTTACCTTAGCAACACATATCCTAGGACCTTGTATTATTTAACAAACAAGACTTGAAAACTACTAAAAAGTGTCCACTTTAATGCATTTTCGTCCGAATGTCTCTTGATATCTTGATATCTTAATGCCTCTTGATTGCTCAAGTCATCGTATCTAAAATGACTTCCTCTTCTTCCTCCTGCCATACCCTTATCAACCCCTTATGCTCTGACTCTCTATTTCAGTGACTGACACCTAATTTTCTGAGTCATTCCAATTCTTTACCTTCCATATCTAATTGGTTTACTGAATTGTAATCAATTTACCTCCAATCTACTCCTTTCACTTCAAGGTAGTATAGTGGCTAACAACATTAATTTTGAAGTTAAAAGGATTTGATTCAAAATCCTAGTCTCTCTCTCTCTCTCTCTCTCTCTCTCTCTCTCTCTCTCTCTCTCTCTCTCTCCATCCCCCGCCTCATTTTTTTTTCTTTTCTTTTTTTTTTCCTGGTGGTGCTCAGGGGTTACTCTTGGTTCTGCACTCACTACTACTTGGCTCTAATCACCCTTGTGGTACAGGGGGGAGCATATGGGATGTCAGGGATAGAACCCAGGTTGGCCACATGCAAGGGCAGCGCCCTACCCTTTGTACTATCACTTCTGCCCCAAGCATTTCTCTTTAATAAGTTGAAATTGACAAGTTGATTTGTGTCAAGTGGTGATAGCAAATACTTCCCTTTTAGATGGTTGAATAGGAGTTATGACTAAGTGCACAGGATTAATTGTGAACCCCTTTCTTACCAACTGCTTCCAGGATGGTCAAGCTTTTTTGAGCCTTGGTTTTCTCGTTTGTAAAAACAAAGCAATAGTAAACTTGCAGGGTTGTTGAGAAGTTTGAGTTATTTTAAATGTGTTCAGAATGATAAGCATTTAAAAAAAAAACCCAAAAACAAAGGTTAAGTCTTATTGCTAACCTCTATCGACTGACATTACTTTTGTGTAGGACTCATAATAACTTTTTTTTTTAAAGATAATCCTTAAATGAATTTTCTAGGCCAATTTTGTTTGATTTGTTTTTCTGTGCCAACCTGGCTGTGCTTAGGGGCTTGACATAGCTCAGCTTAGGAGCTTACTCCTGACAATATTCAAGGAAGCATGTGGTGTTGGATATTGAGTCTGGGAAGCCCACATGCAAAGCATTTGCTCCAGCCCTTTGAACTGTCTCCCTGCCCCCTCATTCCATCCCATTCTTCCTCCTTTCAATGTATTGTGCATTCTGCTGCCTATGATTTGTTTCAAAACAAACGTACATACCTGATCACCATACTCCTTTAATTCTTTGATTTTGTGTGTGTGTGTGTGTGTGTGTGATGGAACTTTTTGATAATCTGATAAAAGCCCAGAACTCTCTCCCCAGGGAAATGCCCTGACAGTCTAAATTTCACGTATAATTTCAGGTGGTTTATAAGTAACATCTTTGGATGCTTGATTAAAAACTTTGCCTTAATGGCTTTCTGTTACTTTGAATTTAAGATCAAACTCTGTTACATAAATGGGAAAAGTCAGAGAAGCAGAAAGAAAAGAATTCTTGTTCATAATCAAGCTCCCTAGAGATCTGTTCTTCTCACAGTTTTTCTGTCTATAATTGAGATATGTTCTCTCTTTATTTCTACTGCCAGTTTATACCTCAGGCCCTAACCTCATATAGCAGCTTGCTATCTTGCTTGAGGTTATATGCTACTTATCATAATGTTTTGTTGTCTGCTTATCCATTTGTCATTTTTATTTGACTGAGCTTCTTGAAAGTGTTTATTAAATGTATATTAAGTTTTTTATATATATTTAGAGTTTGGACCCTAGCTTGGTGGTTGACACATTGTATTTAGTAACAAACAAATGAATCGCAAACTTTATACATCTACAAAAGAGAGAAAGAACTAAATATCCCAGTACTGTCAAGACACACATCACAGGTGTTCGCATTTGTATGCCTGATTCAATCTTATCTGGTGAATAAGGTCTACTTTCTAGGCCTGAGTTCCTTCACAGATAATTTGGCAATGGTCATTTTCTTTTCACACTTTGCATAGACATTTTGAGTTGAATATATGTAATAATGCTATTAAATGGTCACGGTCACGGTCCTCCCGTTGTTCATTGATTTGCTCGAGCAGGCCCAGTAACGTCTCCAAGGCGTTTGCCTTGCACGTGGCTGACCTGGCTGACCCGGGTTCCATTCCTCTGCCCCTCTCGGAGAGCCCAGCAAGCTCCCGAGAGTATCTCGTCCGCATTAAATGGTCATTCTGGGAAAATATTAACCAGATTAAACATGCACATCTTTTAGTTTATGTTTAGACCTGTTTTCACCTGCCCTGTTCAGAATTGGTTGATGTATTTATCCAAATGGCTTCCTTCGATTTACTTTTGGGAAGTTTAAGAGATCCCGTATGATTCAATTTTGTGAATCAGAACTTATACATGGTTCTTTGTATGTATAATGCTTCTTAACACTGCTCAATAAATTCATTTGTATTTTTAGGAATAGTTGATACACTTGTAGTACTCTTCATCACAGTGTTCTCCTGAGGAGCAAACTGAAGCTCAGAGGATAGTAAATTACTGGACACACTAAACTCTAGACAGACAAAAATTAAGGCTTAATCAGTACCTTTAAGAAGGTCTATTTCCGGGAATGCTCAGTGGCAGAACTGAGATTAGTGTCTTAATCTTCCTCAGTGCCATGTCATCCATCCATCTCTTGTGAATTACTGGCTAGAGTGAACTGAAATTGCCATGGCTTTTGTTTTTAACAGACTCCGATTCTGATGGCATTTTATGCTTCCTGGGGTTTGTGCATTTTTCTTCTATTTTGCCATCAAGGCTGTGTTTTTTTCGTTCCAATTGAAGGGATGAGCTCCGGTGACTCACCCCTCCTAATGGTTCCTGGTCCCCAACTTCCTTCTGCTTCTCTCTTCTCAAAGGGAGAAAAAAAAACACATGATGAATGGGAAAGATTTTTTAAGTAATAACACTGGTAATTTATGTTTGTAACTCTATAATGATCAGTTCTTTCATCCTGCTGGAGGTGGAGAGTCATTCTTGAAATACCCTGGAGTAAGCCAATTGAGGCTGTATTTTGCTCTGCTTTATTTTAAGGGTAACCTTTTTTCTCATGTTTCATTTTGTAAAGGTTGAACTTTTAAACAAAAACAAGTCACGTTTTAAGATACTAGATCTCAGTTACGAATTTCTCTTCTCATCCACCCATTTCTTGATGGCTGCTTTTAGATGGTTTGTGAGGGAGAAAAACCTTCATACCGTTATGTTCAAGAACTTCAGGATTATGAGCAGAGTCTCCGGATTGGATTTTCCTCTCCTTTGCAATTATCTTGACCTCCTCTTGACTTTAAGGCAGGCTGTTAAAGTCAGCATGTTATTTGGAGGCAAGAAGTTGGGTGTGCTGTGGAGTCCTGTCGCTCCTCACACAGCTGCTCTTGGACTCTGTTAGCATATCCGGTCTTAAACCCAGCAGAATTAGGTCTACAAATTAAAAGTTGCCTTTCAAAAGTGCCTTGTGTTGTTGTTGTTCTTGTTCAAGTTAGTTTGAGACTTCTGTAAGAGCAAGCTGTTGCATAGTTAATTAAGGGTTATTTAGTACGCTTTGACAGTTGTAAATAAATATGCGCTTAGGAGACACTCACAGACATTATGGAGAAGACGGATTATTAGACCAAAGGGTGTCTTTGTACCTGGAAAGCTTATTTGCCATCAGTTCCGAGACAAACGCTACTAGCAAATCATTTCTGCTAAGTCAATGGATGTCTCACCATAGAGTTAAGTTTCTGTTACCTGTGTTGCACGTTCACCTTTTCTTTTTCTTTTTTTTTTTTTAGTAGACACCATGAGGTACAGTTGTAGACTTAAAAATTTTTGTGCTTGGGGTTCACCACTTTCAAGGAGCTTTGTGATGCAGCTGCTCATTATGACTTTTGTGCCACCAGGAAACTAAAGCCAGGGCTGCCAGGAGGGATGAGTGGGCATAGGGAGATGGGCCACTTTGTTAAAAATGACCAAGAGGGTTCCTTACTTGTTTCCGTCCAATGAAAAATAAATGCATGCTTTTTGTATCAGCAAACGCGATAGCACAGTGGTAGGGTGTTTGCCTTGCATGCAGCCAACATGGCCGACCCGAGTTCGATTCCTCCGCCCCTCTCGGAGAACCCCGCAAGCTACCTAGAGTATCTTGTCCACACGGCAGAGCCTGGCAAGCTCCCCGTGACGTATTCGATATGCCAAACACAGTAACAACAAAGTCTCCAATGGAGATGTTACTGGGCCCGCTCGAGCAAATCGATGATCAACGGGAGGGCCTTTACTTTACTTACGTTACTTTTGTATCAGCAGCTCTGGCTTTGGCATTACGTGTTTTTGGTTTTAAGGAGGAAAAACCCATTTTCTTTCTTTCCAGCCATGAAGAAGGACCCACATCTAAAAAACTCAAGACTGAGGAAGGGGAAGCCCCATTTAGTGTCAGTAGCCTGGCTGAAGGCACTGTCACCTCTGTAAGTAGAACTTGGTCTGTGTGCTAACCAACCCTTTTGAGGAGGTTGGGATTCTGGGAAGAGTACATTAAAAGATAGTCATTTAACCGATCTCTAGTCCTTCCTATATATAAACTGTGCAAGCCTAGTTAACACTTTTTTCTTTAGGTAATTACTGTTAGTAAATTATTTATAAAATTATTTTCCATTTTGTGTTATATAGAATAGCACTCTAGCACTGTCCTCCTGTTGTTCATCGATTTGCTCGAGTGGGCCCAGTAACGTCTCCGTTGAGACTTATTTTTACTGCTTTTGGCATAGCAAATACATCACGGGTAGCTTGCCAGGCTTTGCTGTGTGGGCAAGATATTCTCGGGAGCTTGCCCGGGCTCTCCCAAGAGGGGCAGAGGAATAGAACTCGAGTCTGCCGCGTGCAAGGCAAATGCCCTACTGCTGTGCTACTGCTCTTGCCCATTGCATAGAATACAGTATAATATTTGGAGATATGGGGTGAAACATCTGGCAGCGCTTTTTGTAGAGGTTTTTGTTTTTCATTTTACAGTTGTCCATTTAAAATGAAAAGTGGAAGGTTGAAGATAATTTTGTCTTGGTATTTGCAAGTCTTAATACTTCCCCAGCCACCCTGGCAGTGCTTGGGGATCTCCAGTGCCTCGTGTGGTGGTACTCGGGAGACATACCGAGGATTAGATCAGAATTGGCTGCGTGTTGGGTACATGCCTTAACCCTTTTGCTATCTCTCCAGCCCCCCTCCCACCCCCCACCACGGATGATTAATACTTGAGACCACTAGTGGAAAGGATTTTTGGAAAATGAACATACCGGCTTATTTTGGTTTGGTTTTGGGGCCACTCCCAGCTGTGCTTAGGGCTTACTCCAGGCTCTGTGCCCCATGGATCACTGCTGGCCATGCTCAGGGGCCTTTATTGGGGTACCAGGGGATTAAGCCCAAGATGGCCACATGCTAGACAAGCTCCTCCGTCTGCTCTGCTGTCCAGCCCCCAAACACGTTGGGCTTACCTTACTTTGGCTTTTGTTTGTTTGCTTGTTTGGGGGCCACACCCAGTGGTGCTCAGGGCTTACTATTGGCTCTGCACTCAGCTATTGCTCCTGAGGGATTGAACCCAGGCAGGGTGTGTGCAAGGCTACCACCCTACCCACTGTACTATCATTCCAGCACCATTTTATTTTTTTAAATCAAATCTCATTAACTTACCATTGGAGTATAGTACTGCAATGCTTTCGGAGTATTGGGGCAAGAATTAGCTCCCACGGGCTGACACGGGTGCTTTGCCATTTGGGGCCCCAGCTTCAGCCCTGGCACTGCATTGTCCCCTGTTGTCCACTGCCAGAAACAGTCTCTGAGCAATGCTCGAGCGGGCCCAGTAACGTCTCCATTGGAGACTTTGTTGTTACTGTGTTTGGCATATCGAATACTCTCAGTAGCTTGCCGGGCTCTCCGAGAGGGGCAGAGGAATTGAACTCGGGTCGGCCACGTTGGCCACTTGTAAGGCGAACGCCCTACCGCTGTGCTATCGCTCCAGCAAATCGATGAACTGAGCAATAAAAATTTTTAAAAAAATTAGCATAGATTCACAATTGTGCCTCACCATACCTACCTCCAAATTTCTGGGGATTTCACAGTAACAAAATGACTGCCAATATCCATTCTTCACACCCCGCTTCCCCTTTTCCTTTGGCTCCTACCACAATTTTTATATAGTCTAATAGTTTTTTATGGGTTTTTTTTTTTTTTTTTGCTTTTTTGGGTCACACCTGGTAATGCACAGGGGTCACTCCTAGCTCTGCACTCAGGAATTACTCCTGGCTGTAGCTCAAGGGACCATATTGGGAATCGAACCCAGGTCAGCCGTATGGAGGGCAAACACCCTACCTGCTGTTCTATCACTCCAGCCCCTAATAATCATTTTTGTGTCTCTTGCCTTTTTGCTTGCTTTGTTTAATTCCACAGATGAGTAAAACATTAGCAATTCACTTTCACTTCCTGACTCAGTTCTCATCCATGTTTTTGCAGTTGGTAGAATTTCACCCTTTTTTAGTGGTCGAGTAGTATTCCACTGAGTATGTATGCTGGAGGTTATTTCTCCAGCCTTCTCTCAACGAGCATTTAAATTGGCTGTATTGTAGTTATTGTTAATAATGTTGCTGTCGTCATAGGGGTGCAGATATCCTTTTGAATTAATATTTTTAGGTTTTTCAGATAAATGCCTTAGCAGTAGTACTGCTGGATATTATGGCATATTCATTTTATAATTTGTTTTTAGGAGTTTTTTTGTTTTTTTGTTTTGTTTTGTTTTGTTTTTTGAGCCACACCCAGTGAAGCTCAGAGGTTCTTCTTCTAACTTTGAGCTCAAGAATCATTCCTGGCCATGCTCGGAGGTATGGGGTAATGGGGATTGAACCCGGGTTGGCTGTGTGCAAGGCAAGCCCTTTACCCACTGTACTATCTCTCTGATCCCTCATTTTATGTTTTTAAAGGGCTCTTTGTGTTATTTTTCAGTGTGGCTGTACCAATTTACATACTAAGTGACATTATTTTGAATCAGTGGAGCTGAAAAAGTGTCTCTTCCTAGCAAAATATACTAGGGAGATAGCATTAGAGCATGCATTTCCCTGCTTGTAAAAGAAGTGCTCTTAGCTTAACTGAACATCTGGAAAAAGATTTAGTTTTTATTTTAGTGTTTTGTTGTAAAGGAGAAAATGATAACTTTGTTCTGAAAGCTTTTCTGACTGCTATGCCAGAGAAAACTGGAAACGAGTATATTCTTGTACACTTTCTTTTGTTTTCTTCCTTTATTTAATTTTGGGTTTGGGGCTACACCCAGAAAGATTCAGGAATTACATCCAGCATTTGAAGGACCCTGTGGGATGCCAGAGATCCTACCTGGGTTGGCCTCATGCAAGACAAGAGCCCTCCCATATTTTAGAGGAAGCAATGCTGTACTCTCTCTCCAGCCCCTGTTTGCTTCCTTTAGTTGGGTGATACTTAAACAATAGGGGTTTTGTTATTTGAGATTTTCCCACTTAGCAGTCATTTTTTTTTTTTAAGATGCAGGCAATGCCTTGAGTGTTGGGTTTTGGTTTTTTTTTTTTTTTTTTGCTTTTTGGGTCACACCCTGCGATGCTCAGGGGTTACTCCTGGCTCATGCACTCAGGAATCACTCCTGACGGTGCTCGGAGGACCATATGGGATGCTGGGAATCGACCCTGTGTCGGCCATGTTGGCTGCGTGCAAGGCAAACGCCCTACCCGCTGTGCTATCGCTCCAGCCCCTTGAGTGTTGTTTTTAATACAGATATTATTAATGTACATATATATTATATGTGGGGAAAGTTGGTTTGGGAGAAATTTATCAGTGATTTAAATGATAAACAATTGAAAAATAAAACATTCAGAATCTTTGTCTTATAAAAAGGTATGGGCAATGCCTTGAACATTATTTATTTTTTTCAATCACCATGAACTACAGTTACAAAACTTTTATGTTTTGAGTTTCAGCCATACAGTGATCAAACACCATCCCTCCACCACTATACATTTTCCGCCACCAACGTCCCCAGTATCCCACTCCCCCACCCTGTCCCACCCCTCCGTCTGCCTCTATGGCAGAAAATTTCCTTCTCATTCTCTATGTAGCAGTTATTCTTTAAACATAATTTGCTTTTTCTTTGGGAGGCTATGTTCAACCTGGGCATAGTTAATATATTCTGCCAAAAGCTCTGTGCCTATTAAGGGTCAGGAGTAAAACCCCAAAAAAGAAGTCAGGCTCTTCTCATGTCATCTTAGGGCGGCAGATATATCATGGAGTGATAACCACGCCCCTTTCCTACTAGGTTGGGTATCAGGGTACATACAGGTAGGCTGCTACCATCAGGCGTTCAAGCTAGGTTGCCTCGACTTACATGATACTTCTGATCCCTCTGGAAAGAAGCCGGCTTGCATAGAGTGGTAAATCAAAGATTATCCAAGGCAGCAATTTGGCCACAAGGATGCTGCTTTTAACCGAATCCTGGAAATGAAAATGAATAGAAAGGGCCTTCCCTTGTGTTTGTTTTTCTTTTCAAAGATCACGCACAACTACACTAAATGATCTTGTATTGCCCGGGGTGCTGGCAATAAGAAAAGTGATCCACAGCTTTATTGTCTGGGTGTATTTTAGGTTGGAAGTGTGAATCCTGTGGAAAATTTCCGCCTGCTAGTCAGGCAGAAGAATTCCAGCTTTGGGGAAGGTGAGTGCTCTCCTATTGGCCCAGCGTCCCTATAATTAGGTTAATGGATATAACGTCTAGATGAACAAGTCCTGCTGTTCAGCCGGGATGCTTTATTTAGCAGTTTTCTTTCCTGCCACTGCTGTGTGATCACCCCTGATTAGTGAGCTCGCTGTGCCCTATGAAAACACGGGGTCAGTCATCCCAGGACAGCTCTGCTGGAACCGGCATTGAACTCCTCCCTGGGCTCCTGGAAAGAGAGCTCAGAACTAGAGCTTGGAGCTCTTCATTTCATTTCACTTCATTGGAGTTCTTTGCGGCTCTATGAGTGAGCCTGGAATACAATGCTGTTCTTTTTGGTTTGCCTCGTTTTCTGTTTTCAGAGACAGGTCATTCTTCTTGAAGTCCCAAGGGTTTGAGTCTCTTTCTTTTATTTTTCCTCTTTTTTTTTTATTTTGTTTGTTTGTTTTGGGATGGGGATGATTTGGGCCATAGCAAGCAACGTTCAAGGATTTATTCCTGGGTCAGGAGTGACCCCAACAGGACTCTGGGGAACATGTGTGATACAAGGATTGAACCCAGTTCAGCCATGTGCCTTACCTTCCTACCTGTGGATGAACCAGCTTTTCTAGAATCCTAAAATGACCTCGCCACTGCCCCTAGATTTGATCCTTTTGAATTTGACATCTGCACATATTTCTTAGCAGATAGAACCTAGAATTCTATTAGGGTTTGTCTATGGTTAAAATTACTTCCAGGGATGGGCAGAGTGTTTCTAAAAGGCGGTTTTCAGGTTTGTTTGTCTTCCCTTAAAAGGATGGCGGCGGTCAATCATAATCAGCTGGGACTATCTGGACAGAAGCTTCCTTATATGTGTTAGTGCTGCCTTTGAGCCGGTCAGCCTTCTTGCCCCTTTCTTCTGTGAGTGATTCTGACTTCATGTGTGCACAGACTTCTGCTTACCTCTTGGCATTTTAGAGGAAGCAAACACCAAAAAACCTTAAAACTCCTTCATTCTGGCATCTTTATTGCCTAATGGAGGTTGAGGGCACCGTACTGATTTGAACCTGAGAAACCTAGCAAGACAACTGAACTGGCTGGGCTGCTGACCACAGTAAGTGGGCAGTCCACCAAGCCATGTCTCATTGGCAGGGAGAGCACAGGCCAAACCCAGGAGAACTTTGCTAGGAGTTCTAACTTCCTCACCCTAGCTCTAGGCATTCTTTGTGCTCAAGAGATGGAGAAGAACTTTTTTTTCCCTGTTAGGAATTTACCCTATAGAAGAGACGCTTTTGCATTTTAATACAAAAACAGAACTACATATCAGTAAAGGAAATCTGACGTTCAGGAGACAGGTTTCCAGAAGGATTTGTGTCAAGGGGAGCTCAGAATTTCTTTCCACTTAGTGGGTGGGTCAAAGAAGTCTGTCATGACCTCGTGCCTGTGCTGTTGTTTCTTTGGCTGCGAAGTATGACCATGATGACAAGTCAACAAACTATATTCTATCATGGTTATGTCTTTGGAGAAAGATTGAGACCTTAACTAACTTCTGATGTTGACAGTTACCCTGGCCAAAGTCCAAAGGTTCGACCTTTGAAGTGGTATGTTTTCTTTAGGAACTAAGTGTGCCTTCATCTTCAGTACAAAGCCAGTCACTAGATAATGCCTGTGTATGCCCGTCATTATGCTGGCGTTATGAAATACTTTCTTTGTCCTAATTACCACATATGTCAATCCTGCATTCGTACAAGCAACTAGGGAAATGTTAGTGTTCAACCCACTGGTCCGAGAATTTTCTGGGAAAGAGAGTTGGGTGTTTTGTTATGTTTCTTTTTGGACCACCCCAGCGATGCTCAGAAATCATTCCTCATGGTGCTTGGGGGTGGGATGGAGGGGTCATATGGATGTCAGGGATTGAACCAGGGTCAGCTGCGTGCAAGGCAAGCACCCTACCTGCTCTACTATGTCTCTGGCTCCCGAAAGTTGTTTTTATTAGGAAAATACTTTGATAAATACTTAGGGTCAAATCTGAGTCTTTGTCCCTAGACTTGATTGTTGACTGGTGCTGGGATTCAGAGGACAAAGGGGGAAGTTACTGCCTTAATGGAAGTCAGAAAACTAGAGCTTGTTTATGAGAGCCAGGGAAGAGGAGAATAGGTCAAAGGCTGAGAAAATGAACCCACGAAGGGCACAGTGGCCTGTGATATGTTCCCAGCTCAGACTGACTGCAAATCTTCTGTTAGAAAAGCTCAAGAAAGTAGGATTTGTGTGTTCTGTTTAAAGAAACTGGTGAAGAGACCGAGTTTGGGTGCTGAAATTACTTCAGGCAGAGAAAGCATATAAAGGGAACGCGGGAGAGTAGATTCCTGAGAATTTGCTCATATTTTAGGAAGACATAATGACTCCCAGAGGCCCTGTAATTGGGAAGTCAAGGCAATCTCGTGAAAATGGCAAGGGCTTATAGGTTCCATCCAGTAATACGGCCCGCATTTTACAGTTGGTAGAACTATAAAACTCCAAGTAATGAGCTTGCCCCAGACTCACACCAGATTCAAATCCACGACTCCTTGAGATATTACTGAGGTGTACAATTTCTCCTGGTTCTTACTGGCCTTCCCTCCCCCCCCCCCAAGCATCTTATTTTGATTTTTATTGTTGTTGCTTAAAACATTGTAAGGATGAGGGGGTTGAGGACACCTCCGTGGCCCAAATGATACCTGCCTTGCCAGTGCGAGGCTGCTAGTGGATCATGCGCTGAGCACAGCCCCACCCCGCTCCGTGCTCCAAGTGCATGTGAGCACTGCAGCTAGAATGTGTGACCCCCCTCACACCACCCCTCCATCAAGCACTGCAGCCAAAAACTTTGTGAGCACTGTGGCTGGGTGTGTCACTCCTGCCAGCACCTGCGTGAGCACCGAACTGTGCAGCCACCAGTGAGCACGACAGTCGGAATCGTGTGTGAGCATGACAGTCAGAATTGTGAGTACGACAGTCAAGAATTGTGTGTGAGCACCACCACTAAAGGCTAGAAGCCCCGGTGAGCATGTGCACAGGCAGGCCAGCTAAAATGTGCCGAAAGTAGACTATAGACCGAACATGACGGCCACTCAATATCTCTATTGCAAACCACAACACCCTAAAGGAAAGAGAGGGCAAAAGGGAATGCCCTGCCACAGAGGTGGGGTGGGGTGGGAGGGGATGTGGGTTGGGCGGGATACTAGGATCATTGGTGGTGGAGAATGGGCACTGGTGGAGGGATGGGTACTTGATCATTGTATAACTGAAACCCAAGCATGGAAGTTTGTAAGTCTACAACTGTACCTCATGGTGTTTCACTAATAGCACTGCACAGTAGCACTGTCCCCCCCATTTTTCTTCGATTTGCTCAAGCAGGCCCAGTAACGTCTCCATCGTGAGACTTGTTGTTACTGTGTTTAGCATATCGAATACGTCACGGGGAGCTTGCCAGGCTTTGCCATGTGGGCGAGATACTCTTGGTAGCTTGCCAGGCTCTCCGAGAGGGGTGGAGGAATTGAACCCGGCTCGGCCGGGCCGGCTGTGCGCAAGGTAAACGCTCTACCACTGTGCTATCGCTCCACCCATTTCACTAATAAAAAAATAAATAAAACGTGCACCCCCTCTGCTCACCCCCCACACACACACAACAAACCTCCCAGCCAAGTGTGTAAGCCCCACCGCCTAGCACATGCCAGCCCTGATCATCACAGAACAAAGGAGAGCAGGGGAGGATCTAAAAGTGCCTCTCTGTGGGACTTTGGATGTGTTAGGCATCCTTGGATGCGGACCGTGAGCAAGTCCCGGCCCATTTGCCAGTTTCGAGGGTGGCATGCCCTCTGAGCAACCCCCTCAGGCTGGGGTCGGGCATAGCTGCCCTGTGATGTCCCAAAAGCCGACTCGCTGCCAAGCTGGGGGTAAGACGCAGCTTTCCACTAGATAGCACCTTGCGCTACTGGGTGAGCTCAACTTGACTTCCCTTTCATCCTTCCCTTTCTGGCTCCAAGCCACGGGAATTGGTTTTCCTTCGTTGATTCTCCTCCCTTTGTTCTTCTGCCTGGGCATCTTGACTCAGGCCTGTTGTGGGCCAAGTCTCTTTTCCCTTTCAAGCATAAAGTACTTCTGCATCCTGAGACTGTCTCCCGGCTGCTGATCTTCTTTGTCCTTCCCAGGGATCTCTGCTTAGGACAGAGGAAGGAGAAACCACGCATTTTTCTAGTCTCTTTTTTTTTTTTTTGCTGGGGGCTGGGGGAGCGTTGGGAGGAGGGAGGGAGGCTTGGGCCACATCCAGAGATTCTCAGAAACTCGGTCTGGCTCCGTGCCCAGGAGTAACCCCTGGCAGTGATCTGGAGCCCCTGGACAGTGCTGGGCATTGGAAATGGGGTTGACTGGCTGCAAGGCAGGGACCTTAACTCCCGCCTATCTCTTTGGCCCAGTTTGTCTGCTATTCTTCTCCTCTCTTCTCTTTTCTGGTTTTAGAATTTTCTGCCAAAAGCACGAATGACACCAGAGAACTGGTAAAATTGTTTTACTCTTAGCACTTGGCATTTTCACCTATTGCTCTGGACTAAAATATGGGTAAAGACTTGTTGTCTGATCTAGTAATCGCATAGTCAAAGGAGAATGTTGTGTCCCATTTTCTGATCAGAGCAGTTTACAGAAGGCCGTTACATATTCTCTCACTCTCTGTTTTGTTTTCTTTCTTTTTTTTTTCTCTTTTTTTTGTGGCAGTGATTTTTTTTAATTGAATCACTGTGAGATACAGTTACAATCTTTCATGTTTGAGTTACAATCACGCAATGACCAAATACCCATCCCTCCACCAGAGCGCATTCCCCACCACCAATATCCCCAATATATCCCCCCTTTCCCACCCTCCCACTGCGTCCATGGCAGATAATATTCCCCCATACTCTCGCTCTACTTTTCCTCTCTCTCCTTTTGGGTGTTGTGGTTTGCAAAAGAGGCATTGAGTGGCAATCATGTTTGGTCTATAGTCTACTTTC